CTCAACTAAGAAGCACCGAGGACGCTAATGAGTGCGCTAGGACGCGGCCAAGGACCAGCACTCGAGCGACCTCACGCATGGCACCGACGTCGTGTTTGCGGGCAACGTCACGAGCGCCCTCCGACGCCGGAGCCACGAGCACTACCACAACAATGCGTCGGCCATGGACGACCCGCAGCGACCGCCGACGCCGGCGAGCAGCTTCCCGCCGCGACCGAGCACACCGCTGCAGCGCGAATCCATCACGGCGACGCTCGACCGCGCGTGCGAGCTCGATTTGACGTCGCGCCTTAGCTCCAAGTCGCGCGACTCGATCTTGCACGAGCTCAAAGCGTGGAAGCTCGAGACGTCGGTGGCGCAGGTCGGCCGGCCCGAGACGCCGTCCAAGCGCGGAGCCAAGAAGACGTCGCGGCCGCACACGTCGGGCGGTCGGACGCCTGTCCGCGAGGCCTTTAGCGAGTCGGCGCCGCGCCGCCACAGCCGGTCGAGCCCGATCAAGTCGGTGACCAAGTCCCACGCCGTCGAGATCCTCGTGCTCGACGACCAGACGCCGGACGACTCGCCGCCGACGTTCACGGGCCTGCACGAGTAGGATACCATCTTGGAGCAAAGCGCTCATGTCGTGCGTAGAGAGTGGACGCTGGAGCTGCAAGCGCTCTCGCCGCGGATTGAGGCGCAAGCGATTCCGTCCTTCAAGAAGCACATCTTCGACGCGAGTCCTAGCGACGACAGTGACAGCGAGAAGGACGACGACGAGGACGTCGGACGAGTGCCATTGCGCACCGCGCGCCAGCATTTCAACGTCGGCGAGAGCCTCAACGCGATCGACGAGTGGACCAACCGCCTCTTGCACGCCGAAGACGGACCTGTCGCTGTCGTGCCCGTCCAAGAACGCTGCAAAACGCCAAAGCGCCGTCCGAGCGCCGGGCCAAAGTACTTTGACGTGACGTCGACACCGGCCAAGATACCAGCAGCGACTTCGACCCCGACACCGGCCACACCGAACAAGACACTGCCTCTCAATAAGACAGACGCAGTGTCGAGTGCGCGGCCAGCCGAAGTGCCGAGTGCCGCCGCCGCCGTGCTCCCAGTCGAGGCGGCAACGTACCAAAGCCTCGACGACGCGAGCCTCGTGGTCCTTTTGCAAGGCAAGGACAAGGCCAATCTCCACCACCTCAAGACCAAGGAGAGTTTCCGGGGGTTCTTTCAAGGTATCGAGCGCACGCGGCTCGAGACACTGCTGCGACGAGCATACGGCGACGGCGACAAGATGCAGAAGCGGCTCGGTCTCATGGCCGGGCGCACCTCATAATACACCCTATTCCTTGTTACCTCTACGTTACACGTCTTGGTCGACGCGGTCCATGGCCTCGTCGGCCTCGTCGCTCTCCTCCGTCTCGAGGACGTCCGTAAGGATCTCGTGCAAGTTGTCCATGCCGTGCTCAAAACCGAGGTCGTCGTCAAAGACTAGCACGCGGTCTTTCTCAAACAGCTGGAGTTTGCCTAGTCCACAACCCCAATCAGTATGTTGCAGCACTAAGTTCTTATCGCACCGTCGGGGTCCTGGATGGTGTCGTGGTAGCAGATGGGTACGATGCGCTTGCCTTTATCCTCGGCAAACGCCAATTGGTCGCTCACGAGCTGCGTCTTGACGCTCTCGACTGACAGGACGACGAGGAAGAGCTGGCACTGCAAGATTGCGTCCTTGGCCGCGACGATGCGCTCCTTCATGTTGGACACTTTGGTGCCCGAGTCGACGAGGACACTCGCGCCCATGTCCCGCAGACGCGTCTTGAGCTACAAGACGCATGCAGAGGAGGACGCAGGTGGTGACGCACCGTGGTGACAAAGGCGTCGTGGCAGTCGCCGTGCGAGATAAAGATGGTGTGACCGACGTTCTTGCGCGACGAGTTGGAGCTCGTGAGTGTATAGTGCACGGACGACGCTTTCGACAGAACCGACGAGTTGGAGAGCCGCAGCTTGGACGATGGCTTCGTCGCAGGTGACGCCGTCCCAAGCTCCGTAAAGGACGTGAGCCGGAAGAGTCCTTGCATGTCGCGTGCCTTGTGCTGCTGCTGGTGGCCGCCGCCGAGCCGGTGCAGCTCGACTTCGTCGCGGAGACCGTCGAGGAGCGATCGAAGCCGCTCCGCAAAAGGTCTTCGTCCACGTCAAAGTGCACGTAGCCGTCGTGGCACTCGGCGTCGAGGATGCACGGCTGGAACGGGATGATCTGGCGCGTGTAGAGGTACACTTGCAGCTCTTCCGAGAGCGTGGGGCAGTCACAGTTGACGGCGACGACTACAGCATTTCTCGCACCTTACAGCAATAAAAGAGGGTTCTACCAGGGACGTCGAGCTGCTTGGCAAAGGCGAGTTCTTGCATGCAGCGGTTGCTCTGGTTGTAGCCCTTGGAGAGGAGACACATGACGACGCTGACCGTGTCCATGATCTTGGTAAAGTCGCTCGTGTCGTCGGTCGCGCGCAAGTGCACCGAGATGCAGTGCATCTCAATCGCGTCCCGGATCTTCTCTGCAAACGGCAAGTACGGCGTCTCGTACGAGAGGTAGACGTCGACCGATCTACGGCATCCATCGCCCATGTCAAACCACGCGATCGATCGATCGATAGTATATACCCCGAGGCTTTCTTGACTTCGTACTGCAACTGCGCCGACGAGCAGCAGTCGATCGCGCGGCGTCTATCCGAGTTGAGCGCATAAATATCGGCGCCCGACGCCACAAGGGCGAGCGCCGTCTCTTGGTGGCCGCGCATGAGCGCGTAGTGCAGCGGCGTCTCGCCGCACTCGGTCTTGGAGAGCACGTCGGCCGCCGCATCTGTCGCGCTGTACGCCAAGAACGCGGCAATCGTGTCGCGGCGAAGGAGCCCCGCCTGCGCCGCGAGGCAGAGCGGCGTCAAGTACGCCATATCGGGCGCATGCGGGTCCGCGCTCGCACTTAAAAGCGCGTCAACGACGCCCGCGTGGTTGTTGCTACGCCCGACATATTCTCAGCGTCCACGCTACACCGAGATATATCGTACCGGGTGGCCCAATGCAGGGGCGTGCGGCCGTTGCGGTCCTTCACATCGATCGCGGCGCCGTGCTCGAGGAGGCACTGCACGACACGCGTCCGGCCCATGATGGCCGCCCAGTGCAGTGGCGTCCGGTGGTGGAAACCAACGTGGTACTCACCCAGTGCGTCGGGGGATACCCCTCGCTTGAGGTAGTACTGCACCGACGCCACGTCGCCGGCCGCCGCGACCGCATGCAGCGGGGTGAGCGCCGCGTCACAGCCGTACTCTTCAAGAAGACTGACGAGGGCGCCGCGGTCCTAATGACAGGGATGACGAAAGACAGGAGGAGGCAGGGTTAGGGTACGAGGAAGAGGTTGTGCTGGAGCACGGTGATCGACATGGCCGAGCCGAACGACGGCACCATGAGGTGGTTGGCGCCGTACCGAAGGAGCGCTTCCATGCAGTCGCGCGAGTCGGCGTGGAAGAGCGGCGGCACCGCGAGTTCCTACCCGTTCATGTAGAAAATACAGCGAAAATGCAGAAAAAAGCATGGAAAAGCGTGTTGTACCGACGACCAAATGTCGGCTTTGGCCAGAATGTCCATGTTGGCACCGCTTGCGTGGAGGATCTCGATGCACGCCATGTTGCCGTGCGAGACAGCGACGTGGAGCGCGCTCACGAGGACGCTCTTGCTCTTGTTGTGCCGGCCCCAGAGCCACTGGTAGATGGAGCCAATGCCCATGTCAACGCCGCCAAGCTTGTCGAGAAAGTCCTGTGCCGCCGACATGAGTACGATCTGTGTTGATGGTGGAGCTTGGGTACCGGCTGCATGCCCGCGTCGAGGAGGATGCGCACGATCTCGACGTTGCCTTTCTCACAGGCGACGTGCAGTGGGTTCTTGGTGCGGGTCGAGAAGAGACCGAGCACGATACGTGGCGTCGCGTAGAGCTTCCAGAGAAACGTATTCCGTTCCATCTACGAGATCGGATAAGCTGAGAAAAAGACAACAAGATGATTCGGACGTCGGTGGCGCAGCTCCGGCGCGCTTGTTCGAGGAGCGAGTGCACTTCGTTGGGGTTGCCGCGCTTGGCGGCTGCGTACAGCTCGGCGCGGAGCTCGTTGTTCTTCTTGGCCTTGGCGCCCATGAGACTTGCGAGCCAGCGACGAAACTTCCAGTTGCCCACGTGCTCGAGTTCGTTGGGCGACCCGAGCTGCAGCTTTTGGTGCGTCCGAAAGCGATCGAAGATGACCTAGATGAGCAGATGAGATCACGATGCTGCTGCGCGCAGGCGGGTCAACCCATTGGACAAGCGTCACGAGCATGAGGATGCCGTTGCCGAACCAGACGGCCATGCCCCACGTGCTCGTCATGCACGTGATCTGGAACCGGTTCTGGATGCCCCAGTACAAGAGGAGGACGGCAAAGCCGATAGCGCCAAGGACATGGAGAAGGAAGAGCGACTCGCACCAGTAGAGGTACTTGCTCCGCAGCACAACCTTGGACGTCGGGTGCAAGTACGAGTAGAGCGTCGCAAAGTGCAAGCCCATGCCCGGAAAGCCGAGCGTCAGGTTGAGCACCGAGATCGACGAGAGCACGGGCAGGATCACGTTGCACGTCTCGCTGACCGTCGCCCCTGTCTTCTCCGGGATCCAGTGGTTGATGATGTAGCTCTGCGAGAGCAACGCGGCGAGGGCAGCGATGCCAAGCGCGCACGAGAGGGTCGAGACGAGCGCTAGCTTCCCGGCGTGGTACGAGTTGCGCATCGCGGTCCGGGGCCCGTGCACGCGCCGGTCATAGATGTACGCGTCAATCGACATCTGCTGCTTGGGCGGCTTCTCGCATGACTTTGGCTGGCCACCCATGCTCGGCTTCATGTAGTGCATGGGCTGCGAGCCTTCGCGGCCGACCTCCATCGACGGCTCGTCGATGCTGCCCCGGTCGTGGCCCATCGAGCTCGCTTCCATCGCGCTGAATACCTCGAACGAATACAAGTAATGCGTCCCAATAAAGTGCGTCTCCGCATAAGAAAGTCTTGTATGCAGCTAAGTGCGATACTCGTCAAGTGCGTGCTACCTGGCACAATCCTCAACCTCGCGCACCAGAGGTAGCAGAGCAGCAGCTAGAGGTACATGTAGCAGCAGCCAGAAACGGCAGCAGCAGGTCAAGCAGCTAAGCCAAGAATTGTGCTGTTGATGATGGCGCTTTCACGCACCGATCCACTGTCTCCGTCTGCACTAGGATTCCTGGAGGTGCTCTGGTCCTGGTCCTGGACCAAAGGTACTCGCTCTGTGCCATGATGTACAGACACGTAAAAGCATCAGCCATGCGCTGGCCACCTTGCTTTCCAGAGATCGCCACGACCTCTGGCCGCTGAAACGTAGCATTCGAACGGAGCTGCTGGCTTCTCGGTGGTTCGACGCGAGCAGCTCGTGCTTCTCTCGCTTCTACGTACTAGCAGCGACGAGATCCCACAAGTGCCCAGAAGTGGCGAGGCGCACGCGAGACGCACAGGCCAAGTAGCCAAGGGACTTGTTATATTGCAGGTGACTTTGCACGTCCAGGGAAAATCGCGTGTCACCAGATCCACGACCAGATCTAGCGCAGTAGGCGTCTGGTAAAGCTACAGCATGAGCGATGGCCTGGCCGCTTCTTTGCATCGGCGCGCGTCCATACCACCTGCACCACCCCGTCATCATCATCCTGTCTTGACGATCATCGAGATCTGTGAAAGCATCATCATCTTCATATGGCTGGGAACGCATATTTCCATCCACTGTATCTGTCCGACGTTGCTGAACAGTGGAATACTGTACTGTGGCTCCCGTTTGGTTGGCGTTTTCGAAGCAGTTGGCTCTGCGCGACGAACTCGATGCAGCTGTGGGGCAAACGGTCGCCGCCGGCAACGGGGCTGCCCGACGTCGCCGCGACCTACCGCGTGCGCATCTCGGCGACGCGTGAGACCCGCAAGAGCCTCGCGGCCTTCACGCTGTACCACATCAGCGTCTCTTGCCTCGTCTCGCGCGAATGGCGCATCATCCAACGGCGGTACTCGGACTTCTTTACACTGCGCAGTGCGCTCGCCGACCTCCAGCGCCGCGCATTTGGCGCGCCGTGGGCGGCCGCGCTGACGCCGCTCGTCGATGGGCCGTTCCCGGCCAAGCGATACTTTCGCGACACGCGGTCGATCGTTCGTGAACGCATGCGACTCTTCAAGGCCTTTGTCGGGCACCTGCTTCGCTTTCGTCATCACTACTTGGTGCACTTGCAGCGACATGTCCATGCAGCCACGTCGCCGCTGTTCGTGGAGCTCCTGCGCCTGCTTCATGGCTTTCTCGAGCTGCGGCTGCACAAGCTGCTTCACGCACCGCATCTTGCTCGCGCCGACGACTGTGCCATCTGCCTCGCCGGGCGCCGCCGCCAATGGCTCCAGCTAAGCCCATGCCAGCACGCATTCCATGCGTCGTGCATCACCGACTGGCTGCTCCGCAAGCCAACCTGTCCAGTCTGTCGCACTGGCGCCAGCGCAGGCGTCCTTATGGCGTAGTACCACATCAACCGTCGACGACGATGCTCCCAAAAGTCTGCTTACGAGATGCATCGGAGAACAACCTCGTTGAAGAAACGCAGGCGCAGCTGGGACCGCGTAATTCGCTCAGATAGTACATGCCGTCCATCTGAGCGTCGCGGAATCAGGTGCGCGCAAGTAGCTCCAGCCGTGATCGTCATCGCACAACTCTCGCATCTCGAGCGATAACAGCACGACCTTTGCGCGGATGTCGAGTGATATCTATGTGTGGGCAATGAGGCAAGCAATGGAAGGACCGTTCGAAGGGGAGAGGGCCCACGGGCAAGACCGAAGCCAAGGCTGGTGCAAAAGAAGCAGCATCTGGTTGTCGGACCAAGGCAACGCCACGGTCTGGTCCGGCCCATGTTTCGAATTTCAAGGTCAGTGGCATCCGTCCTTTGGATTGGCTGAAATCGTAGTTGAAGTAGCCAATGCGTGTCGACAACGACGAAGAACGCGTCGGGATTGGTGCAAAACGCAGCCTGCGCCAAGTGGTTTCATGTGTACTGGTTCTGGGAATTTAATTTGGTCCGTATCCGGTCGTGCAATGCAAAATATCCTTGTTTTCTGTTTTGGTCATTTTCTGATTTGCCATGCCAGCCATCACTGCCGCGGTCCAGCGTTGCCTCGCGCACCAGCTCATTCACCTCCACCACGCCGTCTCGCGCAAGGAGGAGTCGGCGCCTCGAGGCCTCTCGGACGACCAAGCCGCCTTCCTCGAGTCGGCGCAGGTGCACCCATGCGCGACTCAGGTCGTCGAGGACGCCACGATGTACACGCTCTACACGATGACCGCCTATTGCCCCATCACGCGCCGGTGGTGGCTCGTCAAGAAGCGCTATTCTGCGTACCACACTTTCCGGAAGCAGCTCGATGCGCTCTGGGTTCACTGCGAGCTGAAGATGAAGGCCGACCCGCTTACGCCGATGCTGCGCAGCATCATGAAGATGCCGTTTCCGCGCCGCGTGTACAACGGCGACAGCGTCTTTATCATCAAGGAGCGTATCCGCATCCTCGAGACCTTTCTTCGAAAGCTCATGGCCGTCCACGCTGAGTGCTTCTACTACGCGTACCAGAAGCTCAAGCTCGACGAGCCGCTCTCGCCAACCTTTCACGCCTTCCACTCGCTCCTCCAAACGTTCCTCGGCGTGCCCAGCGACATGCTCGACCTCCGCGCCATGCAGCGTATGCTCAACCACACGCTCGACAAGCCGCATGGCGTCGACGCCGACGAAGCCTGCTCCATCTGCCTCTCGACCTTTGACGAGACCGAGGGCGAGGCCATCGTCCAGCTCTCGTGCTCGCATCTGTACCATCGCGACTGCGTCGTCTCGTGGCTCGTAGCGAAGAAGTCGTGCCCGCTCTGCAGAGAAGACGTCGACTCGGGCTCCGTCCTCTGAGAGATCGCGCTATCTATTGTAATTTGTAAGTTTGTACCGGTAGTATTTGCCTACGCAGTCGCTCGATGGCGTGGGGCGACTCGCAGCTGCGTGTGCTCGGTGCGACGCCGGCCGAAGCCATATACGCTGCGACATGGCCAAGCGTCGTGCGTCCGCAGCTTCATTGACCAGGTTCCGGTTGATGCAACTGCACTGCCACCTCTGTAAAAAACAGTGCAAAAACACTGTTTCTTTCAGCTCGAAGTTCGAAGATCGGCCAAACCCGACAGTTGCAGGCCACAGGACCAGCATGGCCAGCAGCACGATGGACGCGGTCGAGGCCAGCTTTGGCCAGCGGGACCTCTACGCGATCCTGGGCGTCAAGGCGTCGGCGACGCCCGCGCAGCTCAAGACGGCGTACCGCAAGAAGGCGCTCAAATACGTACGTGCCATACCGGGTTGCGCGTCCGACGTCGCTCTGTAGCACCCCGACAAGAACCCGGACGACGACGACGCGACGACCAAGTTCCAGCTCCTCTGCACGATCCACGCGGCGCTTAGCAACCCAGAGCTGCGCGCCGTGTACGAAGAGACGGGCGAGCTCGAGACCGAGGCCACGGAAACCTCTTCCTTCCGCGACTGGTGCAACGCGCGTGGCGGTCGCCGAGGCTCATGTCGACTATATCATAGGGTGGACTACTGGCGCAACCTCTTCCCCAAGGTCACGACCAAGGACATTCAGAGCTTTGAGAAAACGTACCGCGAGTCGGACGAAGAGGCGCAAGACGTCTTGCAAGGTCCGTATGGATCGTGCGAGATGCCATATATCGTGATGGTGCATTAGCCTACGAAAAGTACAAGGGCAAAATGCAGAGCATTCTCGACGTCGTCATGCTCTCGACGGACGACGACATTGATCGCTTCACCAAGATCATTCAAGATGCGATCGATGCCAACGAGGTTCGCAGCTCCATCCATCGCATCACACGCCTTACTGTCTCTAGGTGCCTCTGTACCCAGCGTTCACCAAGAAGATCAAAACCAAAGGTAAGAGCAAGAAGGCCGCGGCCGAAGCCAAGGCCGCCGAAGAGCTGTTGGCTCAAATTCGCGGCAACCAAGCGGCCGCGCTCTCCAAGCGGTACAACACACGCTGATTTTTATCATCCACCAGCGCAGCACTCCGCACGCATGCTTCGTAGCCAGCAAGGGTTTGCGTCGCTCCTCGCCAAGTACGCCGACGAGAAGCCGCCAGCCAAGTCTGGTAAGAAGAAGAAGGGGCGCGACGACGACGACGAGCCGTCGGAAGAGGCTTTCCAAGCAGCCCAACAACGTCTTTTGCACAAGAAGAAGAAGAAGACAACGTAAAAGCAAATCTACATATTACCATATTGGGGTGCCTACCGCGCCCCCTTCCAGACGCGGCCGCGACCGGTGGGCGTGGAGAGGACTGGCGGCGTCTTGGCTCCCGGCTCGAGCGAGCTGTGGCGCTTCAGGGCGAGACCTCCGACGACGGCGGACGTAAGCAGCGCTGGTGGCACGACGCGGCCCAAGTTGAAGACCATGGGACTCAGTTGGTCAATTGAAAACTGCGGCAAGAGGGCGTTGGGTCGCAGTATCGCCCATGATTGGTCGAAACGGACTGTAAACAACCAATCAAAATGCGGGGATCCATGGTGCGGGCGGTTGAAGTTGCAGCGCGGGAAAACCAACGCCACGCGCCTTCCCACTGTCGTAGTACGTTTCGACTAACTAAAGCAGCACGCACGAATCGATGCGTTGATACTAAAACGACATGCATCTCGCACGCATGACGCTGGTGCTTTCTTCAATCGACATGCAGGTGATCGCAGTGCGCAGAGAAGTCGTCGGACGTCGTGGCCTTCCGACGCCGGCAGCTTCTTCTGTCTCTGCAGAAATCCATTTTGGTGGGTGCCAAGCAGCAGAAGCAGCACACCCGGCCGAGTCGGATGGATTGAAGATATGCAATCACCGCTCATCCTGCTCTGACCGTGCACAGTACAGTAAATAGACGCCGTGCCACTCTCGTCTTCCTGACCATCCTAGGACGAAGCTTCTTTGCCGCAGACGTTGGCGTCTGCAAGCACCCGTGACGACAGGACATTCAGTCCTGTGGCACCGCACTGACCGTCACGCAGGCGCCTGCCACGGTACTCCATGTGGTGCTTTGCCAAGTGCCAAGTTGTGGGTTCAGTCGGTCGCTTGAAGTGCTTCGCTGTTACTCACACATCTCGCACGTCAAGTTGCAGCTCTACCCGAGGCGACATCCCCGCTGCATCAAGAACAACCACTACGCTCTTACTCTATATTACTGACGCCACGCCGCCATCGCTTGCTTCGTCTCCTTGGAGGTGCCGACGTGTTCGTGGTAGTAGCCAAACTTGAGTCGGCAGCCGTCGTGGCCGCAATCGTAGCCCGTCGGCCCGTCGTCGTCGTTCTCGTCGTCGTCGTTTTCGTTGGTCGATGTCTTTGTTGGCGGCGTCGGCTTGGCGCTCGTCGGTGCGACAAAGTCGGTGCGCAGAACGTTGCATTTCTCGAGCCACGGCAGCAGCGTGCGGTCCCTACGCAGATAGTGTGTGCTCGTTGGTTGACGTCGGTAGAAGGTGTACCAGTCATCTTCGTCAAAGATGGCGAGCGACCGATGGGCAATGTACTCGCCGCTGCTCGAGAGCGCGAGTAGCATCGGGCCCGTCGCGACCCGAGGGCAGAGCCGGCGAAAGGCTTCGTCTGCGTTGGCCGAGACGCCAAAGAAGCACGTGCCAAGGAAGCGCTCGGCGCCCTGAAGAAGCGCCGCGGCCACGAGCGGCTGCGTCGCGACGTCGGAACGGGCGACGACGATCGGTCGCAAGTGCTTTGCCGTGACCAGCGCCTGCGTGTCGCGTGCTAGGACGTTGCGCACATACGCCTTGAACTCGGTGTCACCCCAGACGATGCCGAGCCCTTGCTCGCGCAGAGCCGCCTTGGCGAGCAGCGCCGCGCGGCGCTGGTGCTCCAAGCCGCCGACGATGCTTTCGTCGTCCATCAAGTAGGCGTACTCGTCGTCGTCACTGTCAAGGTCGTCGTCATCGTCGATCGACGTCAAGGCGACGGCGGGCGCGGCCCGCGGAAGTGCATTGTCCAGGGACAAGTGGCGCTGCTCGAGGCGCTGCATGGTCACGTCTTCGCGGCGGAGGACGGTCATGACGCGCGCGACGTACGCCTGCTCCTGCTTGTCCTTGAGGCAGCACGCCGAAAGCGTCGGGTCGTCGCCCTCGATGTCATAGCCCTCGACGTGGCCACGCGCGTGCTCGTGGTGGTCGCCGCCGTCGTCGCAGCACGCACTCATGGCCCAACGTGTTAGAATATCCGGTTTGCGTCGAACGCGTTCGCGAACCAGACGAAGCTGCTCGGCTGCATTTTGTTATAACATCAGCATCCGGCGTGTTACGATCCGAGCCGATCGCAATGCATATGGCCTTTTTTGGCGGCGCCTGAACCGACGAGAGCGCTGCACTGGCGACCTCCTGCGTGTCTTCGTCGAGAGGTCCTTCGATCCTTTGGCTCCAGGCGATGGCCTCACACCTCTCTCGGGATCCCGCCCACCGGCCGCCTTTCGTAGCTCGAGTAGCTCGAGTGCAGCTCCTGCTCCAATCCAGCTTTCGCAGCCGACGGCTTCGAATCGCTCGACGAGCCAGCTCTGGCTCGGAGCTTGGTGAGCTCATGTAGCTACGGCGAGCGAACGTCAGGATTGCTAGGCCGAACGTCGTATTTTTGCTGCTTGATTGGCTTCGATGGCTCTATCAGTGCCGTCGTTCTGCCTGCTTCAGGCGCAAGCCGCAGCAGCTGTCGGACGAGTAGCCTCCGGAGCCAGGGTGGCGCCAGCAAGGTCCCACTGGCCGCTGACCCGCAAGATCTCGGCAGCATCATCGCGCTTCGAGCTTTTTTATTACTATTATTTAAAATGCGCGGTAACGCCCGGTAAAATTAGAGTCCAATTTGCGCCATGAGCCTCAACAACCGCGTGGCAGCGTACCTCCCGGCCATCGTGCGCAGGTACCTCGAGACGCGCGACGAGAGGCTGCCCGTCCCGGCGACGCACTCGCTCAAGGTCGTCTCCATGTTCGCCGACGTCGCCGGCTTCACGGCCATGACCGAGTCGCTTGCCGTGCGGGGCGGCCCCGTCGGCGCCGAGTCCTTGAGCAAGCACCTCAACGCGTACTTTCAGCAGCTCGTGCGCTTCATCACTGGCGCAGGTACGTACTACGAAGAAGGGCAGCATCGCTTACGCAATTGTAGGCGGCGACGTCTTCAAGTTTGCCGGCGATGCGCTCATCGTGCTATGGCCTGAAAACAAAGAAGACACGATCGAAAGCCTCGTGCGGCGCTGCATCCAGTGCGCACTCGGCATCCAGGAGAAACTGCATCAGGCCAAGCTCGCGCCCGACGTTGAGCTCAGCATCAAGATTGGCATCGGCGTCGGTCGCGCGACCGTCGTGCACCTCGGCGGCGAGTCGGACGGCGCGACGCCGCGCATGGAGTACGTCGGCGTCGGGCCCGCGCTCGTGCAAGCGTTCACCGCCGAGCACCACGCGCTCGCTGGCGACGTCATCGTGTCGCCCGAGTGCTGGGCCATGGTCGCCCCCAACTTTACAGGCCGCGACCTCCCCGACGGCTTTTGCAAGGTGCAATCCGTCGTGCATCCCGTCAAAGTGTGCAGCCGGCGCACGTCCATCACGCGCGACGACGTCCAGCTCCAGCTGCACATGCGCCAGTACGTCTCGCGCGCGGTGTGGCCCTACATCGTCGCCGACGAAGAGACGTGGGCGTCCGAGCTCCGCGAGGTGACGGTGCTCTTTATCAACCTCGGCTTCCAGTACGTGCTCGTACTCGAGTGGATTGAAATGCTGACCAAGGCATATATATCTATGTAGGGAAGCCGACTTGTCCCAGATGCACGACACGGCGAGCGTGCACGCGCTGCACACGGCGTTTGCGGCCGTCCAGCGCTGTATCTTTAGCTACGAAGGCACCGTCAACAAGTTCCTCGTCGACGACAAGGGCAGGTACGAACGACGACAATCGTTTGCCTCCGCTGCATCTCAAACGCCATTCCAACATATGTAGCACCGTCATCGCCGTGTTTGGCCTCCCGCCCGTGAGCCATGAGAACGACGCGGTGCGGGGCATCCTCGCCGCCCTGGCGATCCGCGCGGCCTTGGCGCCCCTCGGCCTCAAAGGTCTGTGCGGCCACGTGATACGATATATTGATACGATTCTCGTCGCTAGCCTCGGTCGGTATTACGTCGGGCACGGCGTTTTGCGGGCTCGCCGGCCACCACGGGAACCGACGCGAGTATACCGTCCTCGGCGACATTGTGAACTTGGCGGCGCGGCTCATGCAAAAGGTCAAGCTCGAGCACGGCGACTCGAGCGTCATCACAGACGACAAAACCCGCGCGTGTGCCGAAGACGTCTTGCACTTTGAGAAGGCGCCCGAGATCTTCGTCAAGGGCAAGCACGACCGCATCCCGATCCACCGACCGTACATGCGCATGTCCCTCATGTCGCACATCGTCGCGGCGCGCCGACCCGTGCACGCCTCGGCCGCCGTCACGCCGCTCCACGTGATGCAAGACATGTACAAGTGCCAGCTGCAGTACGCGCAGCGGCGGCTCAGTCGGCTCGCCGACGACATTCGGCCGTCGATTCCCGAGAGCCCGTCTGCGATGGCGATCCAAGCCCAGCTACTGGCCAAGATTGGCCAGCTGAGCCCGGTAGCGGTCGCCGGTGCGCTTCTGGTGGAGGGCGACATTGGCCTCGGCAAGTCGCGGCTCGTGCGCTCGACCCTCTCGCTGCTCCCGCCCGAAGCCAACGTCGTCGTTGTCTTTGCGACTGCGTCGCCGTTCCTCGCCGACAAGCCGTACGCGGTCTTCGCCGACATTCTCACCAAGTGCCTTCCGCCCGAGACCGACATGCAGACATTTATTGCCCATGTCGTCGCCGAGGGCATGGCCCCCAATCGAACGCTACTGCGGCACCTCCACGAACTCAACGCAGTCTTGGATGTGGCCTTTCCTGTACCGGTCGAGAGCTGTAGCAACAACAACAGCGACGACGACGACGACGACGAGACCGAAAACAACCACGAGACGGCCAAGAAAGGCCACGTGGACTTGCCGAGCTTCTTTTCGACGCTCTTTACAAACGACGTCTCGTCGCCCGAGACGACGTTGACACTGTGTGAAGACGAAGAGAGCGCGTGGGAGCCAGTGGCGCTCGATATGGCCGGCTGCCTCCTCCTCACGGCGCTGCATGCGATCTCGCGGCGACGGGGCCTCGTGCTCTGCTTGGACAACGCCATGTACATGGACGAACGGTCGTGGATTCTCTCGATTGCGCTCGCGAAGTACTTTACCAACTGCGTGGTTGTCGCGATCTCACGGCCGCCGAGCCTCGCCGTGACGCAGCGCACGGCCAGCGGTGCCTTTCGCCAGCAGCTCCGGTACGTTGTGTCTCCATGTCTGGCAAGTAGACGTTATCGTCGGGTGGGTAGGGCGCTTAAAGCACTGCCGTCCACGACAACGTGCGTCCTCGAGCGCATGTCGCCGGCGCAGACCGAGTCGCTGGCCAAGCACATCTTGTCGATCCAGACCCTCGACCCGGAGCTCGCGACGCTCCTCGTCGGCCGCGCGCAAGGCAACCCGCTGTTTCTACACGAGATTCTCAAAGAGATGCAAGCGCACAAGTCGCTGCAGATCCAGGCCAACGACGCGTCGTGCTCGCCGATTGCGCAGGTCGCGTATGGCGAGAAGAAGGATGCGGATCGGTGCTTCGAGTGCCACGACGCGCTGGGGGCCCACAAGGACAAGTTCCGCTGCAAGCACTGCGGCTTTGTCTTCTGCGCCCGGTGCACCCCCAAGGCATGCTACAAGTACTTGACTCTTCTGTCCATGCGGGCTGGCACACATGGATGGATGGATGTAGAAAGCTGCAGGGCAGCGGCACCGACCAACACGTGCGGCACTGCCGGAGCTGCTATGCGCTCACGCGCACGCGCCGACCCAGCATGGAGCGTAGCGTGAGTGCGTCCAGCGTCGGTGGCAGCAGCGACAAGAAGCCGCGCAAGCTCATGCTCTCCAAAGTCTTTTCATCGTCGTCGTCGGCGAAAGAGAATGCAACGACGCTGCCGCTCAAGTACCGGCTGGCGCTCACGCCGCCCCGCACCATCAAAGCCGTGCTCACGACCCTTTTGGACCAGCTCACGGTGCCGCAGTGTCTCCTTCTCAAGGTACGCAGTCGACTCTCTCGAGGGAAAGAAAAAATCTCATGCTGGCGCAGACGGCGAGCATCATCGGCCAAGACTTTGACCTGCGAACGCTGCGCGCGATCTACCCCATCAAGGACGACGCCTTCGTGCGCGACGTCGACGAGCTCGAGCGGCTCGCGATGCTGCGGCCCGTCGACGTCTTCATCGGCGGCCTCTCGCCGTCGTCCAACCGATCGCACACCGCCAAGTACGAATTCTGCCACGGCTTCATGGCCGACGTGCTCCGGAGTCTGCTCCTGAGTCCGCAGCTCGATAAGCTCCACCTCAAGCTGGTCGAGTACCGCGAGGCGCAGCACAAGCTCGTGCGGCACCAGTACTTTGAGAAAGTCCAGGCGCACTCGCGATCGCAGTCCGAGGCCACGGTCGTCCTCGACGGTCGCGGCAGCAACATGCGGCTGCACGCGGGCCTCGTCCAGGTCAAGAAGACGTCGAGCCGGCTCCGGGCGCTGCATCTTGGCGCGACCGAGTGGAAGAAGCGCATGGCGCTCCTGCACACCAACCGCCTCCTCCTCCAGAGCGAGCCGAACCTGAGCGGCCGGTACACGACGATCGAGCTCGCGGGCGCGCGCGTCACGGAAGGCGACGGCGGCAAGTACGCCAGCTTCCACATTGACGTGCGCGAGTGGTCGCGCAACTCGACGAGCCCGTCGAGCAGCAGTGAGGTGCAGCCGCCGCGGACGTTCACGTTTGGCGTCATGTCCGAGGCCGAGATGAAGCACTGGGTGTACATGTTGCGCTTCGCGATCGAGTCGCTCGAGGACGAGGATGGCGCAACTCAACGATAGACTTAACATAGACGGTAATAAGAACGTAGTAGTATGCTTGAGATTTGCCGTGGTCCGCGACGGTGGTCGGCAGCGCTAGGAAGCCGCACAACAAACTACTGGCACGGTAGGCAGGGCGAGCCTGCCTTTTGCCCTGTAGCTAGCGTCGGCGGCCAAGTCGTTTGGTATGACTGACTCTGAATACCTACCTACGTTCTGAAGCGGCTTCCAACGACCTTGTGCGGACCCATAACACCTGATCAGTATTACGCGCGAGTGGATGATGCGCGTGCTTCGACCGTCGAGTCGGCCAGCTCGCGACAGCATGATGCTCGCCTGCTCTGCAAGTCCAAGTCGCTCTGTATTGATGCGGCTGGTAGCTACCCTGCTCGCTGCCACCACTGCGTTGCTGCCGCACGCGCTGCTTATGCGGCTGCAGACCAAGGCGCGTGAGAGCGCCGTCGAGATATGGGTTGGGTTCTCGTTACACTTAAAAGCCGGCACACGTGCCTTCGCAGCATGGCGCACTCGTCAAGGGCGGTGGCTGCTGGGGCGCGCGGACTGGTAGGAGCTAGTTGTCAACTGAGAGGTCGCGCGCTTACTCAATGTTGGCTTCGCGGGCCTTGCGGAGGCGGGCCAGCGTCGAGCGGACCGTGGCGGCCGACGGCGTGTTGAGGAGGTAGGCGCCGCCGGCGACGACCTTGTGGCACGACTTGCACTTCCAGATGCCCGTGCAGGCGCGCTTGACGTTGTCCTTGCCGCAGAAGACGCAGTTGTACTTGGCGTGCTGCGAGACCTCGATCTTCTTGACGACCTTGCGGAGCGACGAGCCGTAGCGCACGCCGTACTTACCGCAGATGCCAACCTTCTTCGTGCGCTTGCCCATGTTGTTCTTTTCCTTCTAAGTGTTTGGAAGTGAAATCCACTGCGTGAGATTTACGCGCAAGCGATTGGCCTCAAAATCACGGCCCCCGCGTCCAGTGCTTGACGCCACCCAAAGTTTATATGGGCGTTTGTATACCGCGCCAACGGCGTGGGGTCGCATCCGGATAAAGAGCACAGTATCCGGATTGTTTCGGCCAATGGCCTTGTTCCGGTGCATGGCGGATGGAGCGGCCGCCGTCGATGCGCGCTAGTGGCATCACCACGTAGCAACGATGTGAGCAGGTAGCAACGATGCGAGCAGGTAGCAGGAAGCGCGAGCAGGTAGCAGGTCGAAGAACGTGCGAGAGAAGTGAGAAGCGAGGCGAGAGGACTGCCGAGCGACGATGGCCCAGTCGCGCACCGGCGTGGATGGAAGCGATCGTTGCGCAGTGATCACATGGCAGTGCGAGCAGATAGCAGCCGACGCGAGGTGGCGCACAAAGATATGACGCGGCTGGTGGAAGGCGCTGGCGTCTCGGCGGTGCGAGTATGTAGTGTGATGCCAAGAAGATGCGGTACAATATAGTAGGCGTCGCGCGATGCGGCAACGTGGCCGAGAGATTGCTACAAGGTGGCGGTGAGATGGTGCTAGGATGCTTTGTGCAATGCGGCAACAAGCGCTGGAGGAGCACAACGCGTCGTCTCCTCGGTGCGAGCATTCGCCAATGGATAGCTTCGTGTCAATGGCGCTGAAGCAGAATCCCTCGCGACACGAGCTTGGATTCAAAGCGATCCAAAGGGCTTATGCCGATGCATTCAACCGAAGCGCAGTGAACGCAGAGTCGTCCTGGAGTCTATATTTGCTCGTTTGCTGTCTACCACGCTTGCGGACAATCCACGCGATGAGGTCAACGTGCGTGTGGCGTTGTGTTCGACCCGGTAGGCAAAACAGTGCTGCTGGTTGCCGCAGGACAATCGCCATGTGAAAGCCGACTGCATCGACGTCCAAGAGATGTTGACTGCGGGATGGCAGAGCGGTGTCAACGCAGTAGGCTGGAATCACGCGCTTACTCAGCCGACGAGGACCTGCAGCAAGCGGATGTTATGAGAGTCGAGCAGAACGGTGGGGCACACTGGCTGACGAGGTAGCTTCGAACGTCCGGTGGGCATCGCGACGATGGCAAGCCATTGAGAAGGCCAAGGTCGTCCAGGCCGCCACGTGGTCGTCCGTTGTGCGAGACAGACTTTTAGATAATTGGCGCCGACATACAGCCGATGGCACGTGCGTTCACTGGAGGCACCAACACCAGCCTTCACGTTGGTCGTTCTTCTTTCGTGCTTCAAGAGTCCGTGCAACCATGGAGCAAACGATCGACATCAACAGCGCCTCGACGCAACGAAGGCTTCGGAGATCAAAGATGCTTCGAGAGCCAACATCGGCGGGCTCGCAACGGCTCGCAACGGCTCGAGCAACGATTCGCGTATTGGCATCACAAATCCCTGGCGCAACGTACTACCTACATACCGACGCCCATGTGGTCTGCGGCGCCAGTGTTGGCCACGGTCGCAGCACTCGCGCGTTGCCAGAACCTTCGACCGCGTTGCGTGCGTCGATGGAGCCAGTACAGTGTCTTGCCCTATTACAGTGTATTGTTGGCATATATTTTTGCACTTTGGTGCTTCCCCTGGGTGCATGGTCTTGCCGGGCCGCGTGCGTGCCACGTGTCCCAGGCAGCACACTCCGCTCTATCTGCAGATGCTACGCGCCAACGGGCTTTACGTGAAGTCGATCGAACATGGCGCCAGCTCCCATCTTCCTGTCTAGCTCTTGAGTACGTACACCTTCACATGCACCTGACGTGCTGCGGTGGCAAGTTGCATGGCAACGCGCGAGCGCCTCCTCGGTTGTGGCGGGTCTCAGCTGCACGCGTCGTCGCAGTACAGCCGTCTCATGGCGGCGCGTGTGTGCAGACGCGGGCTTGAGGGTGTCGTCGATTACACTGCATGCTTCCTGCTTCCTGCTGCTGTATGCCCGAGAGTGCCTGTGCACTTCGAACCCAAGCCGGGATCTGCGAAGTTTGCTCGCAGATCCAGCCGCGCGCCATCTGCTTGGCGTGGTATCGCACGTTGTTTGGGGATCGTCTCCGGCTCTTGGTTCGAAAAAACAGCATTTTCACAGGATTGCATTTGCCAACTTGCCTCAAACCCATGATGTCGTCGTCGTCGTCGCCGGCCTGCGGGCTCTGCATGCAGACCTTTACGCTCTTCCAGCGAACGCGGTACACGTGCCCGTGCTGCCTCGACGTGGTCTGCCGCAACTGCTCGCGCGCGCTCGTTGGCGTCAAGGACGTGCCCCGCGCCGAGCGTCGTACCTGCCTCCGCTGCGCCAACCCGAGTCTCCTCAAGGCGCCCGAGCAGCCCCGCGATGTCGTGGCCTTTCTTAGCTCGGGCGGCCTTCAACTGCGCGCGCCGGCGCCGCGCGGCCCGATCATCGACACGGACACACTCGACTTTGATTGGGTGCATCCGTACCCCAAGGCGCCACAGCCTGCGGACGAGTCGGCCCGCATCGCGGTCGTCGAGACGCTCCGCGTGCCTGAGCACTTGACGGCGCTGCAGCAAGACACGACCTTCGTGATCCTCCTCGAGAAAGCGATGGCAGCCACGGACGCCACCATGGCCGCCATCTACCTCGTCGACGGCACGCACGCGATCCCGATCGCATCGTCCGGCATGGTCATGCAGCGTGTGCCCCGCCTCGAAGCTTTGGCGTCGTACGTCGTCGTCTCGGGCGACGCTCTCGTCGTGGCCGACTCGGCGCTCGACCTGCGCTTCCGAGCGCACCCCGTGGCCACCGAGCTCCACGCGCGCGGCGTCCTGAGCATCCCGATGCTGCTGGGCCGCCACGTCATCGGCACGATGGAGCTCTTTGGGCGTGACGTGCTTCCGACGCCCGTGCCCGCCAAGCTCCAGTCCGAGCTCACGGCGCTGGCCGCGCTCGCGAGCGGCTTTGTGCAAAACACGTGCAAGACGACGCGGCTCTCGGACAGCGAGAACAGCCTCCGGCCGCGGCGACAGACGGCGCCGGCCAAGATCGAGACGGACGGGTCGCTTGTCGAGACGATGGAAGCGCTCTTGACGCAGTCCATGCGCACGTCCAACTACGTCCACGACATCATTGCGTCCCGGTAGACACGCCGCTGTACCAATTTATTTAATATCCCATATTTTTATTCCGCCAGTTTGCGTCCTTATCCGCGCAGGTAGGAGATAGCACCGAGCCAAGGACGTACTAGCGAGCGACGCGCTGGCCTGCTGCACGCGATGCGTCAACCATTTGATGCCTGCGATTTTTTTAAATTTAAGGTTCGAATTGGTGACGCCCATGCGTCGGTGGGCACCAACGCGGGCACCACCGGTTCGTACAGCCAGAGATATCAGAAGACTCTCAAGCACCTTCTTTCGACTCATGCACGCGATGTGCCGCCTGGCGCATCACCAGACCTACATATCAGCAGGCCGACTTCACCATCGATTGCGGACCTTTGGATGGGCGCAGCGCTGCAGACAATCAGCAGAAATACATGCTGACCTCTCTGCATCATACCGTCCACATCAAGCTGTCTACTACCTCTACCATCGCAGCCCGAGAGCTTAGCTCGAAGGCCCATCTCGTCGTTGGATCGTCGAGACTGCACGCTTAGCCCAGTGGTCTTAGCCCAATCTTAGATCGCTTGGTGGGAAACATGCGTGTGTGTTTTATAATCTCACAGATAGAATGTATGAAGAATAAAAACACAACGTGTTGAATGGCGTGAAAAACACCGTGTCAAACAGCCGTTACACGAAATATGACGTGGCAGCACACAGAGCGAGGTGGCTGAAAACCAGTGGCCGTAGCTGGTGGCGATTCCTAGGAGTCCTCGTCGGAGTGTTGATGTGTTTACGCACGTTAATGCATCGCCGAGAAACAGTGGAGTGTGGACAAGTGAGCGAGCTCATCACCCGAACGTTAAGATGGTAGTTCCCGCCTGGAACGAGAAGTGGCCGGGTAGTTGCCAGCGAACGGTGAATGCATCGTCATCTCTCCGAGAGATATCGCCCTTTCGACCTCTTGCTACGTATCTCGTACGCTACCACCTCGGTATTCTCCTCTCTGGTTTTGCGATCACTTGAGCTTTACTGGAGCGCCTCGCTATTACATCAGCCATCGCGCAAGGACAAATATGGTTATAATACGTACCCCTTACCTCCAATTTTCAGCAAGATGGACGCGTGTTTCGTTAGACGCGGTACTACCGGCCTCGCAGCTGTCTGAGTTTGCAATCGGCGCCAGCCTACATACACTGTATGGATGAAATGCAGTGCATTGGCAGAAAGGTCACAGGACAACCAAGAGCAGTTGCCCGTGCGCGGTTGTACTTACGGTATCAAAACACATTGGTGACTCTGTAGACTACACAGCAACACTGCGCCTACGCAGCCGCGTTATTAGCACAGACGCATGCGCGGCAGCGATACCCAGCGAGCTCACCCAGCGGCAAAGACACGTTGTCAGAAACGAATACAGTGTACGAAGACTTCAGAAATTGGATGGAGACGATCGATGAAGTCACTGCAGCACCGAGACACTCGGTTGAGATGCTCGCGTTGCATCCTTGAAGCTACCATTGGAGTGATTTACACGAGCTCCCTTTGCATCCCACGCGGCTGCACACCCGTGCCTCGAAGTGCCACCCTCCTCCTGCACCCGCGCTAGCCATGGCTCTTCTGCCTGCCTCGCTTTGCACTTAAACACTTTAAACGGCTTTGATGACGTCAACCGAGTTGCAGGAGTCGCCGGCGTTTGGCAACGAGCAGTGCTTTTGTATTCTTGCAACAGTTTGCTAGGCGTGCGATCAAAACTCGAGTCCTCGCACAAGTTAACGTGGCCAATGGTGGTCTGCGTCAGTTGCACTGTACTTGGTGGCGTCATGTTCCGCTGTTCAAACAAACAGTGGCTCGGCTGCCAGGTACAGTGTACCATGTTGCCTTTTGCCAGTGTTTGATACACTGTTTCCAGAAGACTCTGTATGAAAACAGATTCTTGTAGAAGACAAAACTCTGTCTCGAACCCCAAATACCCTTGCACGAACCTTTTGCAATCTCTCGCCACTTTGCTGTCGGAGGAAACCAAGACGATAATCACACTGCTGATACTAAAACACTCCAAGATAACCAGGCAGGATACACGAAGAAGAAGCCATCGTAGCGAGCTGTTGCCAAAGCCATGATCATGTTGTCCAGAAGGTGTGTTGCCCCAAGCATGCGTTTGAACGAGCTTCACGTCGCGCTGCTCTGGCAGAAGAGATAGAGCAGGGCGCCCCTTCTTCTGCCTACCCTTCTTTAGCACATGACACAGGCCATCCTCGTCTCCCAGGCAGTAGGCAGTTGGATTGCGTTCCGCCACGAAGGTCGGACTTGAGGTCAATGAGGCCTTTCACAAAGGTTCTTGGAGTGCAGAGCCAACACCACCATCCATGTCTGGCACCCGTGCTGGCTGTACATGAGCAAGTAAATAAAGATGCTTCTGACGTCCAACGAGTCTCTCTCCAGCGAGGCAAACTTGCAGTGGCTGGGCATGGCTCGCGAGCCCAGACCCAAGACAAACCGTGCGCGTCAGGGGCCTCACGCGTTGCGGACCCCTTGATGGGCAAGTGACTGCGTGTCTACGATCCTTGGACTGACATCCGGTCGAGATCGGCCTCTCAACGAGCCATTTGAAGACAAAAGAAAGCACAAAGGCGTAAAGACGAGGAACGATGCACTATCGAAGCGCTCGTTGGCGCGAAAAGTTTGGTGGTCGGAGACTCATCAGGTACTCAAGTACTTCTTTAGCACGCCGGATCAGCCAGCCAGACAGTCTTCTAATAGCTGCAGGTTTTATGACATGTCTTGCGCAGCATCGGCACCAAGGTAACAATACCTGGAGGCGATGCACATCCACGACCGCAGCTTGTGCACAAACATGCAATCGATGTATGTGAGCCGTGCACTGCAATCTCCGCCCGTTGACGGTTACACCTGCATCGTCTACGGTGTCCCACACAAGATTCGAGTTGACAAAATGTTAGTCTTTTGTTGTAATAGGTTTCAAGATAGCGCGGGAACATAGCCACGCTATCACCCACCGCGGGTTGACCCGGTACCCATCGCACGCAATCGCCCGACAGCCCTGTCACGCAGCATCCATCCATTGGCAGCCTGAGCGAGTTGGTAGACCTCCTTTCGGTTATTCGTCCACTTGGTAACATACACTTTTTCTACCGGTACGGAGTGAATGCTGCGATCGGATACTCGCCCTCGGCGAATCCAAGTGTACAATGCTTCGGATACCGCCCTCGGAGCATTCAAGATCAAGAGTACGATGCCCCAGGTCTTGCGATTGGACACCCGCGTGTCGTGGATCTATCCAGTCCATTGTCCGTGTCGACGCCATCGCTCATTCATTGCGAATCACTCGCATGCGATTATAGAAATGTGGGATTAGGAAGAAAACAGAGATTGTCTATTGTTCCAGTCGCCACACGCCAGTGGTGATGCGGTCGTTCGACGCGCAGGCACCTGTCGGCGAGTCAAACCAAATGTGGTCGCTTCTGCCGCCTGAAATTTGAAATTGGTGAGGTTGTCTCGAATGTTGAAGCCCATGCGGTGACGCTGCTGGGACGTTCCGAAGAACGAACGACGGCCATCTGCGACCAACGCCGCAAGACAGCCACGACTAATGGAGCTCCAGTCTCGGTCGTTGACGCTGCGTTTTTGTATCGGACCGCGTCTTTGGCCAGCGTGGGCGTCAGCGCCTTGTCGCGACGCACGTCAGGTGGCATCCAACTACTCGGTCGACTTCACCAGTATCTACATGCCTGCTTCTACGTACCCTTTGGAGGCGACCGGACCTGATATCAAGCCGCAAGCTGCTACCGTGTCCCATGGCGCGGGCCGGATGTCGGCGTCAAGGACTGCGCGCATTGTACGCCATGGTAAAGTCGGGAGTGTAGTGCAGTGCAAATTACACTGTCTGATGCTGGCTCTCCTGTCACAGAAAAGCCGAGAGGCGGAGAGGGCCGAGGAATCGAAGGATGCGCTCTCATAATGCTCACTCTCCTCAAGAGCGCAGCATATCAGGACGAGGGGTAGGTACACTGTACTATCCAAGTACGCCGGACGCGGCGATGTTTATTCGATTGCATAGAAAGCTACTCGGTCGACCGCCGCGCGTGACGCCACGATCGTCGATTGTGCCCTCACGCACGCGAGCTTGTATATACCCATTCTAGCATCGTACGTATATGAACGAACGAAATACCGTGAAAACGCGGTATGACGATCGAGACGAGTACGTAGTATCTTCAAGCGGCCTTCAAGGCGGGAGGAAATAATCTGGAGGAAAGTTAGACGGGCGACTTCGCCAGCAACAGGCTCTGCGAGCGAAAATTCCTTCTACCGTCGTCAATGCGACCGTCCTGCCGTCCACGGAATCGTTAGTACCGTCCTCGCTCCTGCACTCGGTGGTCAGCCGGACAAAGGACTTGGTTGCATTTTGACACACGAGTCATTCATTTTCCTCCCAGCATGTGGACGACAACGAGAGCCATTGAAGGCACTACGGCCAACCAGAGGTGCGACCGAGCTCCACGTACTGTACAGTAGATGGAGTTGCGTGCGGCTACTGGCGTGTAATGGATCCATCTTGCAGTCAATGACGCCGCTCCACTCGCGCCATCTCCAAAATGTACAGCTTCCTAGTATGGCCTTTCCCTTCGTTCGACATCAAAATAAAATAAAATAGTAAAATAAAATCAACTCGTCGAATGAAAGAGAGCGGTCGGCGCCCATCGGGAGCGAGGAGATGCGGGCTGCTCCCTTGCGGGCGACGGCGACACGATCGGTAAGCGACTTGACGCCGCAACGATGCTAATACACCATTGAACGCACTTGTTTCTGGAGGCACTCTCATTGCACTCTCCTCACTCTCATTGCTCTTTCGACACTCTACACTGCATATCCGGGTGGGACAGGTGGGCGCAAGGATACGGTCACAGCGAAGCGTATGTCTGCGGCTGCGCGGTCGCTGCGCCCACAACTCAATTTGCCAGCATGGCCGCGAGTAGTACGATGAAGCTCAAGTTCAAGGCGTGCACGACGTGCATGCGCTCGTTCGACCCGTTCCATTGGCGCTACAACTGCCAGGGCTGCGACCGAAGCGTCTGCCGCGAGTGCTCGTGCAAGGTGGGCTGGAAGAAGCGCGTGTGCTGGGCGTGCCTCGTCGCGGCGCGCGCGGACGCCGAAGCCAAGCACCGACACAGCGGTACGACCCACGCGACGTCGTCGTACGTCTCACCAACCACGTCGCAATGCAAAGCCGACAGCCACACGACGTTCAGCTACCGCATTCCCGAAGAGGGCGAGCTCTCGGACAGCGACCGCGTCGCGACCCGGTCGCGCGGCCAGAGCAAGGTCGACTCGTTCCTCGAAGACGGCGGCCTCCGCGTCAGCGGCAAGTACGACAACAGCAACGACGACTTGGACCGCTACTCGACGCGCATCACCGAGTCGATTTCGGACGACCTCGACTTCAACTGGGCCAACCCGTACCCCAAGGCGCCACTGCCCACGGACGAAGCGTCGCGCCTCGCGCTCGTCAAGGACCTCGATTTTGAGCGCCATATCGCCCACTTTGACAACGACGCCAAGCTCTCGACCTTTGTGACGCAGTCGCTGGCGCTCGTACCGTGGGCGTCCATGGGCGGCATCCACCTCATTGGCGAGCACTACGTCTTCAACCTCGCCTGCAGCGGCTTTAGCTCGGTCTTTGAGATCGAGCAGCAAACGCTGCGCGAAGAGGCGCCTTGCAGCTACACGCAGTCGACGCCATTGGTCGTGCTGGACACGACCCAGGACGCGCGCTTCCGCGCCCACCCGCTCACGATCGAGCAGAACGGCCTCTCGTACCTCTCGGTGCCGATCGTCGTGACCGGCCGCCAGCACCGGCGCGAGATCATTGGCAGTCTCGACTTGGCGGGCCACAAGCCGCTGGCGGCGACGCCGGCGCCCAAGATCCTCCGCGAGCTCCAAGCGACGGCCGCCATGATTGGCTACTACGTCGAGCGCCAGTGCATGGAGCTCAACATGATGGAGATCGAGATCGAGTCGTCGCGCGGCCGACGAAAGACGGCGCCGTTCGGGAAGGACATGAACGGCGACGTGCCAAGCAAGGACGTCTTTGCCGAGTCCATGGAAGCGCTTTGGAAGAAGACGATCGAGACGAGCAACCTCATGCGGAGTACGATGCCAGCCGTGCCCGCCCAAGAATACGCCTTCTAGACCCTTAATTAGCTAATTTATGAAACAATTTCCGAGCCATACTGGCGCCAGACGCGAACTCACGCCTGCGAGGCGCCGAGGCCATAGCCACGACATCCTCCCACTGCCTGGCTATGCACCAGCCTTTCTTCCATCACGCGTCTGAAGCAGCGTACAGTGTATTTCTGAGAAGGGAACACTGAGAGCGCCGAGTACTGTCGCGCCGCCTGTCTTCGCTACAGCCCGCCTCTCCCGAGTACCGACGTCGTGTGCGGCCGAACGATTTGAACGTGCATCTCGGGGACCTTGCGCTTTGCGAACGCAAGCCGCGACGTGGCCATGGACACCATGGCCTTTCTCAAAAACGACGGCGACTTAGGCCCGCCTCGCACGACTACGATCTCAGTTGGCCTCTTCTCTCGCTACGTGGCTACCTTTGCTCATGGCGGCGAGGACGCGCCCTTCGGCCTTGTGCAGGGCCGACTCGGGCTTCTCGTCGTCCACATAGATCCGCGCCAACCGGTTCTCTTCGTCGACCTACGCGAAAAGGGCAAAGTGAATCATCGACGGGTCGATAGATGGTAGCTACGGCGAGTGGCGCGAGGGGCTTGGGCGGGCGCAGCGACAGCAAGAAGGTGCCAATCTCGTCGAGCGACATGGTCGCGCGGTAGTCTACTCCACCGGATTAGACGGAAGCAATGTGTGGTGGATGGCGAACCTGCGGCCAAATCGTGTTCGTGGGATTCGAGCTCCTTGCACAAAAGACACAGCGGACAGACGCGCTGGACGGTGCAGAGCGGGCAGTCTCTCGCCGCGCGGCGGAGGTCGTCCAGCGCCATCTTGCTCGTATCAAACGTCGGAAATTCGTCCAAAACGCTCTGAAAGCGGCTGTCGGCAGAGAGTGCACGGAGATAGGCCTTGTCAATATCGCTATGATACATCCAAGCATGTTCGCGTCTCCACCATCCACTGTGTGCAGTACCTCTGGGCATACGTGGGACGGCAGATGACCACGAGAATGTCGTCGCCAGACGCTACACTGTGCACGCGCGGGCCTTGGTACACCCACTCTTCGGTGCCAAAGACCTCGACCTGGGCGAGGCTGAGGATCGAAGCGCCGTCGATTTGCACACGCACGTAGCGCCCTGCCCACTCGGTAAAACGCGACTCTATTCTATGGGCCGCGTACCAATCGTGTTGTCTGGCGGGTGCCATACGAGCGGATTGGCCGCTGTCTCGAGCTTAAACTTGGTAAAGACGCTATGGGCCTTGGCTTCGTGTAGCGCGTGCTTTCCCGCTTCAGCCTCGAACGGCTCTTGGCCGATGCACACAATGCACGGGAACAACTGGTCGCCGGTGGCCCCTGGTCGGTTCCAGAGCCGCACCGAGGTGATGCGGCACATGACACCGAGGTCGACCTGCGTCCGTGTTGTATTTGCCGATTCGGTAGACTTGACGTGAGAATGTACCTGCCAGAACGGACACATCTCGCGGAAGGTCTGGCAACAATTGCTTTCCAAGGCGCCGTCGGTGACGCCGTCGAGGGCGAGGTGTGCCTAGGGTAGGTTAGGACTAGGGTTTTTACGAATGTCCAAAGAGCACCGTACGCCATAGCCGGTCGCGACGCTGCTCTGGAGTGCGACAATGGCGTAGGACGGGTGTCGCGCCATGTTACTCGGCGATTGATAAATGCATGGCACGCGCGACGGCGTCCCAATGAACCGGTGGCTGCTGTCATGGCCGGTGCAGCCCCCGACATTGTTGCCCCACGTGAAAAGCTCGCCGTCAATCGAGACGGCAGCCGTGTGGGCGTTCCCGCACCTGTATCGGAACGTGAGCTTTTATCGTAGCCAGCAGAGCCGTCTCGTTACGCGAGCGCGGTGACTTGCACGGATGCGAGACCGGTCGGCGTCACGAACGCGGGGCAAAAGTCGCCGAGCGCATGCGCACTCCCTGCAACAAAGACGCGGCCTAGTGTGGATCGATATGAAAGCAGAACGATCAAGAACTGTCTACCGCCAGAGCTCAGAGCCCCGTTGCTCTGAATGGCGCTCACAACCGCCGTATGCGCCGTACCGCAGCTCACGTCGATAATGTGGTGTTCGAGCAGAGCCGCAACTTTGGTTGGCACCGATACAATGCCGAGGTGGCCCCCTCGCAGTTCGTTGTCTGTGTCTACGCCCAATCGTCAAAACATTTCAATGATACCGTGGAAAAGAGAGGGAACCGGTGAATCGACCGTCGCCCAAGCCGAGCCGACCGCCGTCGCCGCTGCCCCAGACGTAGAGCTCGCCGTTGGTTGAGATCACTGCCGAGTGTGATGGACCACAGGCAATCTTGCGCACCTGTATAATACCATGGTTGAGTACCACAATCAAAAATGCAGGATAACACCTTGGAGGGAAGTGCCAGTGGCAATGGCAGAATCGTAAAACAGTCCTCCAGCGACGAGACCCGCACAGGCTCGGTCGTATTTGCATGCCGGTGGCCCACGGGCGTCGTGTGCGGTCGGGCGATGGCTGGTTCTTTTGAAGGCGGCGCGAGCCCGAGCTTGCCGGTGGCACCGGAGCCCCATACGAACACCTAGCCCCACGTGAGCTGGCGTGCGGAGGTAGGACAACCTGTCCGTCGTGGCGCAGCGCGAGACTGTGCGAGTACCCACACGCGACGGACCGGAACCGCATCTCCCGCAGATGAGCAAGAGGTTTTGGGGTCGTCGTGTCGTCGTGGGAGCTAGACCCGAGACGCCCGTAAGTCCCGAACCCCCACCCGTACAGTTGCCTAGGGATGAGATCTTATTGCAAAGCTTTAGGGACACGTGGTACCCCGACTGGTGCACAGCCAGTGCGTGTTTAGCGCCCACCGACACTTGCTGGAGCGCTTGGTGCCCCAGAAATGTCTTTTGACGTGGCCCTCGCGCCGTCACACCACTCATTTGGAGGGTTTTTTCATGGTCGGGAACCGCCTAAAGGCCATCTTTAATCTACTCAAAGTCATTCAGATACGTACGCCCAACGTAGCACCTTCTAGCCCGCTGCGCGCCTGCTTGCGCCGAAGCCGCCCGACTTCACTTCGCTTTTGCTCCCATAGATCTTGCTTGGCTTGGAACGCCGACGTCTCGGTCTCGTCAATGGCCGTCACCAGTTGCCGCATGTGCTGCCAGAGCGCAGCGCCCTTCTTGAGAACCCTAGCTCAATATTCGTGAGCGATGGATGTGCGTCAGGGCTGCTACGAGGAGATGGTGGCGTCTTGGTAGTTGTGCAGCGCCCGCAGGAGCTGCTGGTCGAGCTTCTTCATTTGTCGCTGGAACGGTTCGCCCATGCACTCGAGCTCGAGCATTAAACACTTGCTAAGCTTTGTGGCGTTGGTGGCTTTCCCGGTTTGGCTCGACTGCAGCGCGCGCAGCTACCACCACGATGCTCACGCCACGTTTCCAGACACAGTGAGGCTACCCGCAGTGCATTGGTGACGACATCAGCGCGCAAGTCAAACTCCATGAGCTCCCGCGCCTTGGCAAGGTTCACTTCGGCGCGCAAGGCGGGTGGGTACAGCTCAAAGTAGTCGATCAGCACAAGAAGCCTACAAAGGCAGTTGATCGCTAAAATGGCATCTGCGAGCACGGGTTGCACCGCTGTAGCTCGGCTTCGTCCGACTCGACGGGCACCTCGGGCGGAGCATTCTCTCGAAACATGCTGCGCACGTAATTCTTCAAGTGCTCGTGCTCGTCGGCAAGGAGTTGATTGGGCGCACTGAGCTTGAGCATCTCGGTGCGCGCCGTGAAAGGTCGTGACGCGGCTGCTCCCGGCACCTGATGCGACGGATCTACTCCACTCGTGGTGGTTAAGGTTTGTTCCGTAGTATATACCCGCCGAGTGCTCGGGGCTGTAGACATAGTCCCACGTGCGGCGGGTACCCCCCCAGCAATAGAGCTCGCCGGCGTCCGTTAAGGCATAGGCCACCGACGCCCCGCACGAGACCTACAATTCCATTGCCTCCCTCTACAGGATGATACCTTGCGCGGCTACCTGCTTGACGCGGCGTGCCCAGAGCCACGCGGTATTGATGGCCACCTACCCCTCGAGCTCAACCCCGTACATTCTGAGACGACGCACCACACGGTTGTGGAACGCGAGCTGCTGCGTTTGCGTCGGGTCGCGTGCGATGCGCTCGGTCTTGATCATCGGCGGTCTCTTCTTGGGCGAGTCCCAGCCGCCCAACTTCTTCTCGGGGCTCGTTGGTGCTTTTGGTGCAAAGGCTTCTGCCCCCCGGACGCGGCTTGTCCAGAGGGCCAAGAGCTGCGAAAAGTACGGGCACTCGACAAAGTCACGCTCCGCCGGCTATCGCAGCATAAGAAGAGCAACTTGACGAGCAAATGAATGCGTACGGCTCCGTCAAAGCGGTTGAACGAGCCTTTGCCGAAGACGTAGACCTGCCCTGCAGCGTCGAGGGTCTCCCCCAGAACGTACTACAGGTTCCCATACTTGCCTGGTTGCCTGTGTGTTCTGCCAACGTACATCGGCATAGCGTTTGGCGTTAGCGAGTAGCTTTTCCCGGCGCTCTCTAGCACAACAGGAAGCATGAGACATGAGATGCGAATCGCGAAACGAGCCGACTTGATTGTTTCCCAATTGAAGTTCCACTGGGCTTCCAGCATCGTATACTGCTCCTGCGCGTCTTCCTTGTCGAGAACCGACTCGAGCTTCTTGGCCAGCTTGGCGCGCGAGAGGAGTTTGTTGTACGCAATGTTGCGGTTGTGGAGCTCTTTGCGCACGTCCACAAGCTATACGACAATATTTTCCATCACCAAGTCGGGTGCACCACGTACCGTAAGCCAAAGCGACCGAAACGCAAGGTACGTCAGGCCTTCGGTCACAGGCTACGGCGTGGCGTGAGTGCGAAGCCAAGCGTCGGCACGGACATTCTCAAACTGGCTAAACACGGTCTCTTGTCGGTCCAGCGCCATTTTGATTTTGAGAAAGCGCAGAATTGCTAGACAAATACAAGATCGAAACTCAATAAGGATCGAACAAGTGCGTACCAGAAAACTCGCTGCGACCGATTTCACCCGAGTCGTCCGTGTCAAAAATTGCAAAGAGGTCTTTCGGGTTCAGCACTTTGCTTGGGCAAAAGCCGTTGGTCCGTGTCGGATTCGTCGGGTCGCACGTAAACATCGCGAGGCGAAATTCATCAAAGGTGATGAAGCCTACGCGGGCCCATTCGACCAATTTCAATATTGCAGAAGGGACCTTTCTGCGCCAAATCGCACTTTCTAAAGTACACTTGGATTTTTGGCGGCGGAATGTCGATCTGGAGGTCCACTAACAGCAGCTTGAACTCGTCGAGGTCGATGCCACCGGACCGATCAATGTCGTATTTCCGAAACATCTAATAGGTCGTAGGCAAGGACGGGATTCGAGTGGACGCCTACGGCTTCAGCGTCGATGAAAGCGTTCTCGGCTTCGGGTGGCGCGTCGCTCAAGCTCGGGTCTTCCACGAGGTCCCGACTCAGCGGTATGCCGTCCACGACAATGACGTCTAAAACGACCGTGAGCCAAAGACAATCCGATGCCACGTACTCGACGGTGGGGCCGCCGCCTTGTTGCGGAAGAGGCTCTTCTTGGCCACGGGCTCGGGCGCCATTCTTTGTATTACCAGTTACACTCGGTTTCAGCCCTCGTTACGACCTTGAGATCGCTTTTGTTGTATCTAGAATCTCTCTGGTATCTGGTATCTGGTATGTGATCATTATTGGTACATCTGATAGTCGAGGAATAGATATTATCTGATTGCGTCTTATTGCTGCTTAGACCATGGTCAGAAAATTCTGAATCATCGTCTTGCCGTCCGGCGTGAGGATGCTTTCAGGATGAAACTGGACGCCTTCGACAGCGTACGTTTTGTGCCGGACGCCCATGATCATGTCCTTGCCCGCGATCGTGGCCGTCACTTGGAGCTCGTCGGGCAGCGTGCTGGGCAGACCGACCTAGGCCGTCGCATGAGAATCCGCTCTCAATTTCAGCTAAAGGCCCTACGAGCGAGTGGTAGCGGATGGCCTTGAAGGGTGACGGGACGTTCTTGAAGAGGCCTTTTCCGTCGTTTTCCATATCCGACTGTTTGCCGTGGATGATCTCGCCGGCGTGGCCGACCGTGCCGCCATAGACCTCAAACATGCACTGGAGCCCTATCCGAAGCCGTTCGTTCGATGCAGAGGAGAGACGCAAGCGTACCGAGGCAGACGCCAGCGATGGGCACGATGCCCTGGAAGGTCCGGATCACGTCGCACGAGATACCCGCGTCCTTTGGGAAGCCGGGCCCGGGCGAGATGAGGATCCGGTCAAAGGTCGGCGCCCGCGTGTACTCGGCCAAGAGCAGGGCCGCGGTCGTGTGGTCGTTGCGGATGACGGTCACGTCCGCGCCGAGCTCGGCCATGTACTGGAAGAGGTTGTACGTGAACGAGTCGTAGTTGTCGATGAGGAGCACGCGCGTCATGCTTTAAATTGGAAACTGAGCTTGAGTTTGAGATTTCGGGATAGCAGATCCGACCAATCAGAACGCGCCATCTGATTGCACATTCAGCGCCAGCACGTTCCTCTGGACTTCCTCGCGTCAACTGATTGCGCGTCGGCATGGTCGCGCCCATCGAGGCTCGAGGCGCGTGTACGTATATACTGCGTATGTATGTAAGGTTAGGTACTAGCTGTGGCGGCCGAGCGCCCGTGGGCGGCAAACCAGATGCTCATGCCAAGCGCAGCGCTGCCGACGGCGCCGAGCGAGACGAACGCGAGCGTCTCGAACGCCGCCGGGTCCGAGCACAGAACGCTAAGCAATAAGATCGCAATGTAAAAGATCTTGGACGTGGCCGTCTGCATCGCATTGATGGCGCCGCGCATCGACTCGTGAACGCGCTCCTGCATGAGCTGCGTCTCGGCGAGGTCGGTCATCCAGAGCCACGCGCGCGAGACGGTGACGGCGACGACCATGACGATATCGGTCGTCCGTGTCTCTCCAAATGCAATGTACGAGACGCCCACCGGTAGCAGCGTGAGCCAGAAGAGCCAGATGCTAACCAGCACGACGACCGCGGCGCCCCACGACCGCTCGAGCGCTGGAAAGACGAGCGTGCCGACCAAGCCAGCGAGCGCGCCGAGGCCAGCGCTCGCGCCTGCCCCCTTTGTGAGAACACGCATGTACACAGAGGCCTCGTACCGAGGAGAGAGACGGGAAGTCCGCGCCACTGCAGGTAGGCGATGTTGAGGCCGCTGCCACAGAGCACGGTCATGTAGAGCGCGCAAAAGGAGACGCTGAGAAGACACGTTGGGTGCTTGGTATACGCAGCCCACTGCGCGACGAGCGTCTCGCTCGCAGGCGCCGCCGTCACCTTGAGCGTCGACGCAGAGAGCGTTGGCACCCACGCGTAGACATCGCGCACCATGGCGTACTCCAACGGCGCGGCAAGGAGGTTCCAGGTACCGACAGCGGCCGCGCCGACGGCAGCGCGTGTCGCAGAGTCGGCGCTGCTACTGTCGAGAAGGATGCCAAAGACTGCCGGCGCCAGCAGTGCGCACGTGAGGTCGATGCGGCGCAGAGTCGTGTTCCACGAGGCGAGCGGCGTCTGCGTTGCGGCGGCCACAACGACGACCCAGTCCTTCTCGATCGCAAGGGCTTGGGCGTCGTTGAAGACTTGCCCGATGGCCCCCGCGAGCATCGTGAGTGCCAAGAGGATATGGGCGGCAGCCCTAGTACACGCCAAACCATCGCCTCAGGCCTCGGCAGTCCGAACGTACGGCGACGAGACTAGCAGAAGAGACGCGAGGGACGTGGTGCTGAGGACGACGCAAGTGTTTTCGATGGCAATGGAGCGCGCGAGCACAGACAGGCGGTTGGTCGCATCGAGCCAGCGACCGATGCGTGGGAGCGCCACCAGACCCACCACGTAGACAACCTAGAACGTCGTTGCGTCCTCGTCCTGATGGACGAGTAGCTTTCATACAAGGGAAAAAAGAGCACTTGGAAGCAGCGTGTCCTTGTAAATCTCCATAAAGAGAAGTGGGGTCGCAAATTGCCACATGCGGTCTCCCTAGCACAAGACAATAGATGCATACAAGCAGGTTCCGATTAGTTGTTGGGCGTACCCACGCAGAAAAAAAGCGACCAACGTACAAGCATGCGCGCAGGCGGCGCGCCACGTTGCGGCCCATGGCGTCCGTCAAGCGTGAGCTGCGCCATGTTCAAGTCTGCAAGATAATGCTAAGACGCGCACCCGAGAAGCGGCGACGTCTCTGTCGCAAATGCACTCGCCTCTTGGTACCCGATCCAGAGGTAATACGCAATCGGCCCCACGGTTGTCGCACCCACGATGCCCAGTGGCACGACGACCGCAGTCGGGACGAGGCTCATGGCCGGGGCGGCTAGGCACACTGGCGACGAGGCTTGATGTCATGCAGCAAGCGCATGCAACTTACCGAGGCTGCCCGCTAGCAGCATAAGGCCAATCGCACCGACGGCGAGACTCGCTTGACCACTCGACATGCCCGTTTCGACGCTGTGAGGCCGACGTGGTCCTGAAACGGCTCGCGTGCTGCCACGTATGGTATCCGGATAAGGTTGCCATTCAGATCCAGGCAAGGACACCATCTTGCAGTCGTAGCAAGTAGAGGTCTTGAGAGCCTTTGTCTGTACCTGCACTGTCCTTACCAGTGCAGGTAGTGATGCCAAGGACCTGGTATGATGAACTACTGCAAGCCTTTGAAGTATCTACGTGCCGATGAACGTGTAGAAGGCACAGAAACAACTTGCCTGGGAAGAGAAGGAAGACATATTTTAACACACTTCATTATGCAAAATACAAAGAGATCCAAGCTCAAGCAGTAAGAGCGTCGAGGCGCGCGTCGGCGCGGGTGCGCTTGTGCTTGCGGTGGAGACGGTAGTAGGTCCAGTCGCGGCAGAACGTACACATGTACGTGCCCGCCAAGAGCACCGTGTTGGTGGCCGAGGTCAGCGCATTCGGCTGAAAGAGCGCGCACTCGTCGCAGCACGGCTCGGGCCCGCGCTTGCGCATGTTGAACGGATGCTCGTCCGTGAAGCTGACCATGACAACCTTCTTGGTAGTCGCAGCCAAGGGATGGGGGACGTCGTCGTCGTCTTCGTCAAGGAGGTCGTCTGGAGCCGCATCCGTCGACGCAGCCGGAGCGACGCTGCTAGAGGCGTCGTGTTGAGCTCGGAAGTCGGCGATTTTGGGCAGCGGCGGCGGAATCTCGCCGGCCGCAATCGCCTTCTTTCGCGCGTAACTAAATAGGAAAAACCATGAGAAAACCGCTCGGTTTGATCGCAAGGACATGGTACCGAGCTCGGTTGTATGCATGTTGGTAGGCCAAATTCGCCTTGCGCCACGACTTGTCCTTGGCATGGCGGATGTCCTGGTTCTTTTGGTGGTATTCCTTCTTCTTCACCAACAATTGCGCGCGGTTCTTCTCGTAGTACGCCTTCTTCTGGACCGCAATCGCTTCCTTGTTGGCAGTCTTGAACTTCTTGTCCTTGGCCGCAATCTTGGCCTTGTTCGCAGCAGTGTACGCCTTCTGTCGGGCCCGGCCTTTTTCTGCGTTGGCAGCCTTGTACGCCTTCTGTTGGGCACGCACTTTTTCTGCGTTGGCAGCGCGATACGCCTTCTTCTTGGCCGCAATCTTGTCCTTGTTCGCAGCGTAGTACTTCTTGTCGGCAATGCGCTGCTGCGCCTTCTTGACGTCGTCCGTCACTTCCATGGCTTGTTGGTGAATGACACCATAAGGCCATTTTGTGCCACGAGCCCGTTGGATTCGATTCTTGTATCCGGACGACTCTCAGCTGGCAGGCTGTGCGCAGTGCATTATCCGGACCAAGCCAACGCCCGTTGCTCCACTTCAACGACGGCGCCCTTCTCCGCGCCCCACCCTCTTTGCTACTGAACGAGCCCACGCGAGTCGACTAAAACGCAAGCCAAAACGTTGTAGAGGATATAAACTCATGTGTGTCGATATCTACACGCGGGCCGTCGGGTCGGTCGCTGTCAAGACGTGCGCGACGCTGCCCATGGCGGCGGCCAGACTCGACCAGACGTTGACGATGAACTCGACGTGGGGCGGCACGAGGAGCGCGTAGTTGAAGACGAGGCCAATGATGCCGGGCGAGAGCGCGTGGCGCAGCGAGACGAGTGCGAGGAGCATCACCAGCATCAGAAGCGCGTGCAGCAGCTGCATGCGCAGCGAGAACCACTGCAGGAGCGTCTCGTGCACGTAGCTCGCCTCTTGGTGCGCGTTGACGTGCGTCATGTGGAGGCGGTGGAAGCGCCGCGTCTGCTTGGGCCCAAACGCGCGCACCACGACCGCCCCCGTGATCGCTTCCGTCACAAAGTGCAGATGCGGGCCCCGCGTTGTGCGCGAGAGGCGGTCAATGTCCTGGAGCGGCTTGACGTAGTAGGCACTCACGTAGTAGTAGCCGTAGAGCACGAGGCCCATCGGGAGCGCCGACGACTGTAGAAACCACATGGACGTGCCCAACGCGAACGCCGCGATGAAGACGTTGGCGAGGAGCGCGCCGGCCGCGAACGGCAGCTTGGTGTCGAGCGTGACCATGTCGCTGTTGTAGACGCTGAGGAGTTCGCTCGAGACGGGCGGCACGGCTGAGGGTACGAGCGTCGCGGCCTTGAGCCCGTGGAACAAGCTTCGGGACGCACGGAGGCCGGCGCAGGACGTGGCCAGCGTCCGGAAGACGACCATGAGGACGCTCGCGCCGGCGAGGATCGCGTACACTTGCATGTGGTAGGTCGCAAAGGCGGATGCGGACTGCCGCGCCAAGGGCACGTCCATGTCGTGGCCCGGAAACACAATCATGGTGTCGTTGCGCGTCGTCGCATTGTGCGAGCTCGGGTTTAAGAACGTGTTGGCGTCGACAAGCGGCTGGAGGCTGCACCAGTGGCCGAGCCAGAGGTCGCTCGCGACCTGGAGGCTCTGCCACAGCGCTTGCACGATCAAAAGGAAGAGCATGAGGAGCCAGCCCGCCGCCGAGAGGTACGCGAGATACGTGGCCGTCCCGACCCGCGGCGTCTCCTTGCTGGAGGAGAGTAGCGTCGGGTGTGCGTGCTCGTCCATCGTGTAGCTGTGCTCCTCGGACAGAAAGCCGTACGGCGACCGAAGCGACGGCGACATGAGCGCATCCGGCGCCTCAAAGCCGCTCGTGAGCGACGACGTGTCGGCCTCCAGCGCCGCGTGGTGTTCGTCCCAGAAGCCCTTGCGCGCGGGGAGCGCTGGCAGCGCCATGGCCGCGACCTTGGCCAAGTGCGGGTTCTCGAACGTCGTGACAAGATCGCGGTTGACGAGCTCGAGCGCGCGGTTGATCGACTTGCTATGCACGATGTCCGGGTGCAGCGACACGAGGAGGACCGTCTTGTGGCGGAGGAGGCCGAGCACGACCGACTGGAAGAGCTGGACGTCCATGTGCACGTTCATATCCAAGAGGTAAATGTCGGCGTCGTTGTAGCATGCACGGGCTAGGGCAATCTTGGCTTGGAAGGACGGCGAGAGACCGTGGGTGGTCGCGACCGTCTTGTCGCCGAGGCGCAATGGGCGGATGTCCTCGCGCAGATGGCACGCGTCCAGCACGACGCTATAGCGCTTGTGCTCGAACGGCTTGCCAAAGAGGATGTTGTCCTGGATCGACGCGTGGAGAAGCCATGGCGATTGCGGGCAGTACGCGACGCGGCCGCCCACAAACACAAAGCCTTCGTAGAGGTCGAGTTCGCCGAGCAGCGCCGAGAGGAGCGACGACTTGCCTTGGCCGATGGCGCCATGGAGCACGATCGTCTCGCCGCGCTTGACGCTGAGATTCAGGGCCGCAAACACGGGCTTGTCGGCGTCCCACCCAAAGGACCCGTGCTCGATCGCAATGTCAATCTGGTTGGCAGCAAAGCTGCGGTACTGCGATGCGCTGAGCTCGTTCGGCGACGTGACGGCCTTGGCGTTCTTCTCGCTCATGCCCATGAACGCCATGAGCCGACGGTGCGCGATGATGGCCTGCATGATGTTGCCGACGATCTGCGGCAGCCCAATGAGCGGGCCACGCAGCGACCGGAAGAGTGCGAGCGCCGTAAAGACCTTGGCGGCAGTCACGCTCTCGTGCTGCACGAGTGTGTAGAACGCAAGCGACGCGGTCGTCACGAGGACGGGTGCCGAGTAGAGGAGCGCCGTGACACCCGCGGCCACCGAGAAGGCGCGACCGAGTTGCGAGAGCTCGGACGAACGCGCGGCCTCGACGGCCGCCGCCGACCCTTCGTCGTCCTTGAGAACGTCCTTGCTCGACGAGCTGTGCTCCGTGGCCGTATCGTCTTTCAGCGACGCGTCCTTCTCCGAGTCGGACTCGATGGTCTTGGGCGTGCGGGGCATCGGTGGCGGCGGCGGCGCAAAATATGCAAGGACCGCGCGCGCACGCACAGCCTTGAAATGCATGAAGCGCTTCCAGAAGCGCCGCTGCCACGAGACGAGACCGTTGTTGAGGCCGAGCGTCACGACGATGATGACGGCGCCGATGAAGGATGCATACCCGAGAAGGTGGTAGAGAAAGTAGAGGATCGCGCCGAGCTGCGCCGGGATGATCCACGCCTGATGCGTGTAGTACGCTGCGCTGATGATCCACATGATGTCGGACGTAAAGAGGTTGGTGACATCGGCTGGCGTCTTCTCCTTCTGTGCTTTCGCGTCGAGCAGCAGCGCCTTCTGGAACACGAGCTGCTGGACCGCCGACGTGAACCGGAGCACGATGGCTTCGTTCTGGAAGGCCGTGTGCGTCGAGAGAAAGGCCTGCGCCGCCTTGACCACGAAGAGCGAGAAGACGAGCGCGCAGAGGTACGACGCCGACGCGTTGGCTTTCGTCTCGATGGCGCCGACGACTTGGTAAAGCACGTACGGGCCGTAGAGCGTTGCGGCGACCGTGAGGAACTGCAGGACGCCGATGAAGAGGAAGCGCCAGCCAAAGATCGAGAGGAACGTCGTGACAAAGCTCTTGGTCTGGCGGAACTTGGCCTCGAACTTGGCGCTGACGTGCTTGCACTGGTTGTCGCGGGCGAGGGGCCAGAGGTCCGGCGCCTCCAGCGGGTTCTCCTGGCTGCGGTCCATGAGCGGGTTGGCCCAGCGGAAGAAGACGAGCGAGAAGACCGACGCGCCCGCCACCGGATGCACGATCTCCACGTCCCGGACCCGCCGGTCCTCGATCGTCTGGTACTTGGTCCCGCGCATGCTGCCGACGACGAACTTCGAGGATGATATGACGTCCGGAAACGCGAAAGCCAGGCCGGCCGTATCCGGACTTTCAACCCAATGAGCTGGCAAGCCCACAGGCGGCGATCGGCACCCAACTATTCAACACCAACTATTATACCCAACCACCCAACTATCCAACACCAACTATCTACCGACCCAACTATCCAGTACCGACTATCCAACACGAACCAGTGACCCGTGGATGGCGCCTCCCTCGGGTACTACATGCTGCGAGACCTCGTGTCAGTAGCTCAGGGGTAACGATGTGTTTACCCCAGCTACACCTTCCACCACGAGTCGACGACAGGCAAGCGCAATCGAACCAGACAATACCGCCGGAGAGCGCTACTAGTATATACATATATGGTTCTAGTTAGGGCGCGTTATACTGCGCTGCTTACTTCTGGAGGCGGGCGGCGTCCACGACTTGGTCGATGACCGTGAGGTAGTTGCGGGCAAAATGCGTGCTGAGATGCCAGCCGTAGCACATGACTGGGTACCCATGGTCGTCCGTGACCAAGATTTCGTCGCCGAGCGAGTAGTTGTCGGCATAGTCGATGAGCGTCGCGCCGGCGTTCTTGACCATCGCATGCAGTGGGTCGAGGAGCCACTTGTACTCGCGGTTGAACTCGGACTTGAACATGGGCTTGGGCATCGTCACCGTGTCGCCCGAAATCCAAGCCGCCGGGTTCATCTCTTCGTACTCGGGGCTCTGGTCGACAACAAACACCTTGATGCCCATGTCGGTGAGCTCCTTGAGATCCTTCTCCATCATCGACCACATGGCGTTGACGTCGTGGATGCTTTGCTCAGGGCACTGGCGGTTGTCGTCGTAGCAGCACTGGGGCGGCGCAGTGTACGGGAGCGAGTCCGGGCCCATCGGGTGCACATAATGGTAGTAGTGCTGGACGAGCAGGATCGCCTGGGGCTTGACCGACTTGATCATGGCCAAGTTGGCGTAGTACTCGGCCCGGCACGGCATGAGCGGACGCCCGGACCAGCTGTTGATGGCGATGGTGGGAAACGTCGAGTCGTTCTTGGCGGCCTTGGCGTTCTCGTAGAGCTGGGCAAGGCGCGGCTTGGTCATGTCCGAGTGCGAGTCACCGAGCACGATGAGGAGGCCGTTGTCATTCTCGTGGCCCGGGTTGACGAGGAAGACGCCGCCGGGGAGGAAGTGCTTGTCGCGCGATTGAAAGTCGTCGGGGCGGACAGCGTCCTCGAGGTACGGCGAGTCCTTCGGGCACTCAATCAAGTCCTTTTGCCAGTTGCCGTCGTAGATCGCTGCCTGCGCTTGCTTGAGCGAGGCTTGGACGTTGCCGGACGTGATATTTGTACCAGGCTTCACCATCGGCGGCGCGACGTTGCGCAGACCGCCTTCAGTCAGCGAAAAGGTTGCCGGGTACGTGTACACAGCCGCCGACAACGCTGCGAGGGCGAGAACGCCGAGCGCCAAGAGTGGCGTGATCCACTTGGATTTGCGCCGGCGCAGACGCAGCTCGACGTCCTCGTACGTGAAGATACTCAAAGCGACCGAGATGAGGAGGATGAACCACGGCTCGGCAAAGAACGGGCGCGGCACCGACGCTGGGTACCGATCCCCCCAGACGACGAGCAACGGCCAGTGCCAGAGGTAGAGGCAGTAGCTGATCTTGCCAATGTACACGGCAACCACGTTGCTAAGGACGTAGCGGTTGAACGGTGCGTGCGGACCGGCTGCGATGAGCAGCGTGGCGCCGACCGTCGGAAGCAGCGCCCAAAAGCCGGGGAACGCGCGGTGTTCGTTGACGGTGGCAAAGCCGACGACGACGAGGCATAGGCCGGCGGCCGATACCCACCCGCCCGATCTCGGCGCCTTCTCGGAGGCAGCAGACGCCTCCAACGCCGGTGCCGCCTGCGACGTGATGTAGGCGAGGAGCCCGCCCATCGACATTTGCCAGAAGCGGCAGAGCGGCATGTAGAAGGACACCTTGTTGTCGCGGAAGCCGAGAAAAGCAATGTTGATGACAAAGCTCAGCAGCATAAAGGCCACTTGAAGGATGATCGCGCGCTTGTACGAGAGCTTCATGATGATCGCGCAGAAGCACGGCCAGAGAATGTAGAACTGCTCTTCGACGCCGAGCGACCAGAGATGCAGCACCGGGTTCGCGCCCAAGTCAAAGTACGCCTTCTCCAGCGAGAGCACTTGGAGGTTGGCGGCAAAGAGTGTGCCGGCAAACATCGTCGCCGCCATGAGCTTGAGCTTGGGCGCCATGAGGTAGAGGTACCCGAGCCAGAGCGTCGCGCCCAGCACGATGATGAGCGTCGGGAAGATGCGGCGGACGCGGCGCTCGTAGAAGCTCGCGTACGTAAACTTGCCTCGCTTGTGCTCCTTGAAGAGGATGCCGGAAATGAGAAAGCCAGAGATGACGAAGAAGATGTCGACGCCAATGAAGCCGCCGGGAAAGAGCTTTGGGTACGCGTGGAAGACGAGGACGGGGACCACCGCGAGCGTCCGGAGACCGTCAATGTCGGGCCGGTACGTATGGCTTGGCGCCGGCGGCGCATGGTCGTGGGCAGCCTCGATTGCCGACGGCGTGTGGTCCGAGAGGAGGACGCCATCGTACTCCATTTCGGGCTCGTCGGCGATGGACAGGCGCTTGTGGAGGTCGGTCATTGCGCTCCACTTCGATAATGGGATTGTGACGCCGACGAGCACGGCTTTCAAGTTGAAGACCATATTACACACCCGCCTTTTCTACCGGGTACCAGCTGTTTGGAGTCTTACGGACAAATTTTGTCTGCATCGTCGAGGCCTCGCGAATATGATTTGTAGGCTGCGAGCCGCGCACGGTGTTAATGCCTGCGCCAGCCTTCCATCTTCACCTCGAGATTCATCGTCTTTATGAGGACACTGCGCAGCCTTCCACGAAACGACGTCGGCGCCACCTCGGCTGAAGACGTGGCTGTCCTGAGCTCTGTCCTGTCCATGTGGGCTGTCCGTGTGGGCTGTCTGTGTGTCCGGCCCATTGTGTCCCGCCCGTGCGTCTGGGAATCAAGGGCATACGTTAGTCTCTTGGTTATTCCGAAAAACCAAGGTAAGCTTGGTACTGTGTATTCCCTTGCTGGGAATAAACGGGGCTGAGCCAGGACCCCCGGTCGCCCGTGCAAAGGGGATCCAAGCTACATACCTCAAAAGGCCAAACCTCGGAGGGGGTCGGGCAAAACAATGACCTACTCTAGGGCACTTAGAGCAGTGGTCGGAGCTCTACCCTAGGGTGGCAGGCGACCCCCGGGAGATAATTGAACCAAGGTTGCGGCCGCATATGGGTGTCATGAAGAAATATTCAGAGAGCGGTCTTTGTAGATGTCGTCTGGTTACTGCGTCCGCTTGACCATGTTTGTGAGCAAGTGCAACAGCAGCAATTGGTCTGCTCATCACGGTGTCCCACAGCAAGGGTATACTGTAGGTACCCTTGCCCACACGCACCCAATCACCAGCCCAACTACCCACCAACGGCGCATGTTGTCCAGCTGGCAACGTCCTCTTCGCCACGTTGCCGTCACCAGTCTCAGGACGAGCGAAATCACTCGCAAGAGAGACCGCTGCTGACGTGCTCGCGTAGCTGCGGAGAGATGCGAAAGGGAAGGAAGAGGAATGAAAACGATGGACATAAACGGTTCTATATCGACGGTATACTGCGCTGCTTACTTCTGGAGACGGGCGGCGTCCACGACTTGGTCGATGACCGTGAGGTAGTTGCGGGCAAAATGCGTGTTCAGATGCAAGCCGTAGCACATGACCGGGTACCCTTGGGCGTCCGTGATCATGATTTCGTCGCCGAGCGAGTAGTTGTCGGCATAGTCGATGAGCGTCGCGCCAGCGTTCTTGACCATCGCATGCAGTGGGTCGAGGAGCCACTTGTACTCGCGGTTGAACTCGGACTTGAACATAGGCTTGGGCATCGTCACCGTGTCGCCAGAGATCCAAGTCGACGGGTTCATCTCTTCGTACTCGGGACTCTGGTCGACGACGAACACCTTGATGCCCATGTCGGTGAGCTCCTTGAGATCCTTCTCCATCATCGACCACATGGCGTTGACGTCGTGGATGCTTTGCTCAGGGCACTGGCGGTTGTCCTCGTAGCAGCACTGCGGCGGCGCTTCGTACGGGAGCGAGTCTGGGCCCGTCGGGTGCACGTACTGGTAGTAGTGCTGGACGAGCAGGATCGCCTGGGGCTTGACCGACTTGATCATGGCCAGGTTGGCGTAGTACTCGGCCCGGCACGGCATGAGCGGACGCCCGGACCAGCTGTTGATGGCGATCGTGGGAAACGTCGAGTCGTTCTTGGCGGCCTTGGCGTTTTCGTAGAGCTGGGCGAGGCGCGGCTTGGTCATGTCCGAGTGCGAGTCGCCAAGCACGATCAAAAGGCCGTTGTCCTTCTCGTGGCCCGGGTTGACGAGGAAGACGCCGCCGGGGAGGAAATAGTTGTCGCGCGATTGAAAGTCGTCGGGGCGGACAGCTTCCATGAGGTACGGCGAATCCTTCGGGCACTCACTCAAGTCCTTTTGCCAGTTGCCGTCGTAGATCGCTGCCTGCGCTTGCTTGAGCGAGGCTTGAACGTTGCCGGACGTAGCATTTGTCGCGCCCACCGAATGCACGATCGGCGGCGCGACGTTGCGCAAGCTGAGCTCGATCATCGAAAAGTTCGCCGGATTGGTGTACACGGCGGCCGACAGCGCTGCGAGGCCTGCAACGCCGAGCGCCAAGAGTGGCGTGATCCACTTGGATTTGCGCCGGCGCAGACGCAGCTCGACGTCCTCGTACGTGGCAATGCTGAGGGCCACCGAGATGAGGAGGATGACCCAGGGCTCGGCAAAGAACGGGCGCGGCGCCGACGCCGGGTACCGATCCCCCGAGATGACAAGGATTGGCCAGTGCCAGAGGTAGAGGCAGTAGCTGATCTTGCCAATGTACACAACGACGGCATTGCTAAGGATATAGCGGTTGAGCGGCGCGTGTGGACCGGCTGCGATGAGCAGCGTGGCGCCAAGCGTCGGCAAGAGGGCCCAAAAGCCGGGGAACGCGCGGTGTTCGTTGATCGAGGCAAAGCCGAGGAGGATGAGGCCAAGGCCGGCGGCCGATGTCCACCCGCCCGAGCTCGGGGGTGTCTTGCCAGACGCCGCCAAAGGTTCGAACGCCGGTGCCGCCTGCGACGTGATGTACGAGAGGAGCCCGCCCATCGACATTTGCCAGAAGCGGCAGAGCGGCATGTAGAACGACACCTTGTTGTCGCGGAAGCCCAGAAAAGCAATGTTGATGGCAAAGCTAAAGGCCATGAAAGCCACTTGGAGGATGATCGCGCGCTTGTACGAGAGCTTCATGATGATCGCGCAGAAGCACGGCCAGAGAATGTAGAACTGCTCTTCGACGCCGAGCGACCAGAGATGCAGCACCGGGTTCGCGCCCAAGTCAAAGTACGCCTTCTCCAGCGAGAGCACTTGGAGGTTGGCGGCAAAGAGTGTGCCGGCAAACATCGTCGCCGCCATGAGCTTGAGCTTGGGCGCCATGAGGTAGAGGTACCCGAGCCAGAGCGTCGCGCCCAGCACGATGATGAGCGTCGGGAAGATGCGGCGGACGCGGCGCTCGTAGAAGCTCGCGTACGTAAACTTGCCTCGCTTGTGCTCCTTGAAGAGGATGCCGGAAATGAGAAAGCCAGAGATGACGAAGAAGATGTCGACGCCAATGAAGCCGCCGGGAAAGAGCTTTGGGTTCGCGTGGAAGACGAGGACGGGGACCACCGCGAGCGTCCGGAGACCGTCAATGTCGGGCCGGTACGTATGGCTTGGCGCCGGCGGCGCATGGTCGTGGGCAGCCTCGATTGCCGACGGCGCGTGGTCCGAGAGGAGGACATCATCGGGCTCCGTGTCGGGCTCGTCGGCGATGGACATGCGCTTGTGGATGTCGGCCATCGCGCTCCACTTCGTCAATGGGTGTGTGGCGTCGAGCAGTGTACTGACGTTGAAGGCGATGTTACACACCCGCCTTTCCCGCAGGCCATTGGACCCCCGCGTCGCAGCTGTTTTACGCCCGAGGAGCTGGCCTTGCCCTCGGCCACGACCACCATGCGGACGTCCTCGCCTCCATGGCCTCGCCTCGCCTGCGCACAGGACGCACCAAAGAGTGGACAACTACGCATGGTAATGTGAATGCGCCGGGAGATGATGTGCTTCCCATCCTTCGCAGCCTCATCCTCCGCATCTGCAGACGGTGCTGCATGGGAACATTGGACCTTGTCGGTGCGACCTCTGCCACAGTCTCTGCCACCGAAGACGACCTGCACAGAGCTTGTCGAGTGTCCAAGGCAAAAAGCTTGGCGCGCTTCCAGCCCCGCTTGCCAGGAGCCGCGTGGCGACCACATGTCGCACGTCCATCGGAGCACGGGGCGAGGATCCAGCGTGGACAGAGCTGGCGTGGACCTGTGTGGGAGGTGTGACGGCCTCGCAGCAGCGGAGACATCTCCTTCCTAATAGCAGCTTCTTCGGTGGCTCGTACACGCTTCCAGGCCTTCGGATCGATCCATTGTCTCTGCCAGAGCTCGCACTACGTAGACAGCAGGCCATTGTTGCAAGCTTTCGTTAGTGCATTAGAAGTTACGACGCAGGCTCGATTAGCACACTCGAGCACGAAGCGAGCACAATGGCGGCTAGGCAGCGACTTGGTCGCTGGCGCAGAGCCGGTCGAGGAGTGCTTGGCCACTCTCACCCGAGAGAACGATCTTCGTCTTCCGGACGAGGTCGACTTCCACTTGGTTCTTCTTGGTTGCGTAGTCGAAGGTGCGCTTGGCGGCCAGGAGCGGCGCTGCCTTGCCCTCGGTGTTGGCCGCAGCGCGCAAGCCTTCGGCGGCTTTCAAGGCGGCGTCGATCCGCGCCTCCTGCTTGACGTCCTCGGCCTTGACAGTCTGCTCGTACTCTCGCTGCGTCTTGACGAGCGTCACCATCGCGTCGTTGCGCAGCTTGGTGGCCATGGCCGACGCCGCGGCCGCCGCAATGTCCTTTTGGCCTGCCGCGCGAAGCACTTTGGCCTCGCAGATCGAGCGCTGGTCGATGCAGAGCACCTCCATCTTGGCTTCGGCATCGAACCGGAGCTTTTGGCGGCGAATGAGTTCGCGCTCTTGGAGGGCGACGAGGTCCTTGACCTTGCGGTCGTTCTCTTTCTGAATCGCGGTCAGAAGCTGCGTCTCTTCGTTGATTAGAATGCGCATGTCGTTCTCTTGCTTCTTCTCTTGCTCCTCCATCTTGGTCTTGAACGCCGTCGTGTGCTCGAGCGTTTTCGAGAGCTTGTCCGGCAGCTCGACGTTGGTCACCTTGACGTTGTGCACAATGACGCCGTAGGCGCCGACCTTTTGGTTCAGGTCCTTCTTCATGCCGCTCGCAAACTCTTCGCGGAGGTCGTGGACTTGGTCGTGGCGTACCGAGTGCACAAGGCCGCGGATCGCCTCCTCGGTGATCTGCGAGATGAGCTCGTTAAAGCGCTGCGCACCGAGCATGTACACAAACTTGACGGCGTCGTCGGCGGTCGGGCCCACTTGAAAATTGATCGAGATGTCAATGTCGATCATGACGTTGTCGGACGTCGCGCAGCGCTGGACCGGCGCCGAGTACGTGACCGCGTGCTTGGTGATGATGTGCGAGACGCGGTAGTACGCGGGCCAAAACATCTTGAGACCTGGCTCGAGTATCCCCGCGTGCGCGTTCCATTTTTGGTAGAGGACCCACATGCCGGAAGGAATATGGACAAAGACGTCGAGAAGGTGCGGGTACTTTGGTACGAGCACGAGCGGAATGCTGCCGTCCTTGGTCTTGGCGTTGAACGCGTGCTCAGCATGCATGTGCTTGCGGATCGTCGTTTGGACGACGATGCTGCGCTGCATGAGGCCTTGCGATCGCATGGTCAAAATTGGAATGCGATACAGAATGGCTTTAGCAACTTGGCTGCAGCAAGCAGTGGGAGTCCCTTGGGAGCCACTTGGGCGCCACAACAAGGAGCTGTGGGACAGTTTAAGGATGGCGTAGGAACGAATCGGGAATGGTGGTCGGGTCTGTGGAGAAATATCTGATATTGAACAGATGCACGTGGCTCCAGGATGAAAAAGATCAAGTCGACTGCACAGATATCCTTCCGACTCGTGGCGTGCTTTGCTGCAGCTTCTCGTATGACTGCATTTCTTCTTCCTCTATAGAAGGCGCTCCTCCAGACGCAGCGAAGGGACTGTGCACAAGTAGTAACTTGGCGTACTAGTACGATAACGTTATTTGTAGTACATATGAGGCCGTCTGTCCATTGCAGTGGTAGTAAGTAGTACGAGGTTGCTGTTCTGTTATATGAAGTACGAGGGCTTGTAGCCGCGTACAATTGCAAAGGGAATTTACCGCACCGGTCGCCAGGCACCCACGGATGAATGCACGTTGAAAATTATTACACGGGATTCCCTTTCCGCGCATCGATGTACTATTGTTGGAGGGCCCACGGGTTCGAAGCGACGACAGTGCTCCTGACGGCCCTTTCCAACCGGTAGGACGAAAACAGATGTGTTGTCGCTGGATGTGTCCAACGCCGCACTCGAAAGCTCCGCTGGATCCCTTGCGACAACGTCGAGAACGCTGCGCAGATGCGAACCGACGAGGTATTAGCAGGACGCTCTGCATCTTCATTTCCAAATCCGACTGCCATGACCGACGCCAAGGTCCAGACGCACCTTCTCTACGACACGATCTGGCGCGTCGACAAGGCCAACGAGCGCTTTGGCTCGTGCAAGGACGGCAAGACGATCTTGATTTTACAGCCAGGCCGGAGCCCGATCAAGCCCTACATTCGCATCCCCGAAGGCATGTACGCGATCGTCCAGCGCTACGGGAAGGACCTCGATTTTGAGCATCCGGACGGGCGCCGTAGCCCGCTCTGGCCCGCGGGATTTCACATGGCGTCGATCTTTACCAAGGTCGCATACCTCGTCACCAAGCAAAACGTCGTCTTCAACACACCCGTCAAAGGCTGCAAGACCGCCGACAACGTCACGGTCCACATCGACATGTGTCTCGTGTTTCGCATCATGGGCGACAAAGCCAAGGGCGAGGACCCGACGCTCGTCAAGCGGTTCGTCTACGAGCTTGGGCCGCAGGGACTCGAGACGCAGCTGCGCAACGCCCAAGAGGAAGCCGTGCGCGCGCTCGCGCGAAGCGTCGAACACACCGAGGTCTACTCGCTCCGCGACGGCACGGTCAAGGAGCGCATGGAAAACTCGCTTCAGACGCAGCCAGCGGCGCCCATCGACGACTTGCTGTGTGACGAGGAAGAGACCAAGGCGGACGAGACGCCGTTGCCCGTCAAGTACCTCCAGGTCGAAGGCTCGTCCGATATACCGGCGGCCAAGGTGCTCTACAGCGTCACGGAAGACATCAAGCACAACCTCAACATGCAGTTCAATCCGTACGGCGTCGAGATCTCGTCGGTCGCGATCACGAACGTCTTTTACCGCGGAATTTCGAGACGCAAATGGAGGAGAAGACAACGTACCAGAGCGCAATCAAGGAGCAGACGATGAAGCAGATGAGCGACATGCAGTTGCTGCAGTACAAGGAAGCGATCGGCACGACCAAGCTCTCGAAGCGCATGCGCCGCATGGAAGAGACCGAGTCGGGGCACCGCCAGTGCGCCGAGATCCAAAAAGCCATCGACGTCATCAAGGCCGACACGAAGCTCCTCGAGGCGCAGATCAAGCAGGAGCAGAGCGTTCGTTGCGCCAAGATTGTCGCCGACGCCGACCTCGCGATCGCAAAGATCACGGCCGAAACCGAAATGATCCAAACCGAGATTCAGGCCGCGTGCGACGCCGAGGTGATGCAGGTTTACGCCGAGCGTGACGCGCTCCAGCTCAAGATGAAGGCCAACGTTGACCGGCTCCGCGCACTGGGCGAGGCCCGCGTCCAGGAGATCCTCGCCGAAGCCGAGGGTGCGGCGGCGACTAAGCTCGAGCAACAGCGCGCGTTTGTGCTAAAGATGCAGCGTCTCGACGTGACGAGTGCGATGGCTGCCAACAAGGACGTTGTGGTTGCTGGCAACGGCAACAAGAACCTGCTCGCTGATGTCTTCGTCGCGCAGCAAAAGGCCAATCTGCTCCTAAACCTCCCAGGCATCTCGACGTAACCGAATGCACGCCCTTTTCTGCTCTTTGAGTGGTTGGATTGAAAGGATCAACTTGATAAGATGAAGCTCCTTGTACTGCATTGGGAGCCTTGGAGTCGGATCTCTTCATGGAGTTTGACCATGCAGGAGCATATTTCTTGGGTTCGAGAGTCGACCATCTAGTACCGAGTATTCTACTTCACCGAGTTCCGACGCCACTAATACCAGTGTGCCTTTACCCGATGGAGGAGAAGAGCCAGGTTGCAAGTTGAAAAGCTCTCGCATCGTCTTTTACCACTTCACCGGTAGCGCTGCCTTTAGTTACAGAAAGGGATGCGATCTAAATCGACGACGTTCAGCAAGCAGACGCTCGAGAAGCTGCTGCGCCAGACGAACCGCCACCTCGCACACTTCTCGACGCCAGAGAGCCTTGCGAATTTCAAGATGCGCGCTGTGCTCATTGCGCTGAAGCGTTTCCGGGATGCTATTGTTCGCACGCGTCTGGCACGCACCTTCTCGGAACGTGCGCACTGCCACCGCGTCCTCATCGATTGCATCCGCCGTCTCAAGTGGTTGGCCCCTACGTATCGATGCGCGAGACTTCTGCGATAATCCATCGGTATTCCTGGTGTTGAGTCCATCACCGCTCGCATAGATGATGCTGACAGACTTGGTCAGAGTTTGGATCCGAACTCTGGTGCAAAAGCACATTCGAAGATCAGTTGTCGGTTCCTGCTTGAGATACCGTTGTCATCACGCCTTGCCTTGAATGACAAGCAGCGGTGGCGATGCTTGTGAGCAGGCGAGTCTTAACGCCTCGCGCCGCCCACGCGGACGTGGAGAGCCCCGACCTTGTTGCACGTGTGTCTGCCACTAACAGGTCCCGCGCGGGGTGAGCTGGTAGGAACGTTTTGGTTGCGAGATACTCGATTTCATACAGAATCTCACACGCTGTTTTGAAACGCTTTTGCATCGAAAATCCTGGCTTGTCGAAAGGCCGCAGTCGATGGCGCACGAGTAGTGATCCTCACGACCGACCGACCGACCGACGATGCCAAGTGCCCCCACGACTGCGCCGATCCACGCCCAACACCTCGTACCATTGGCTGCATCGTCGCTTCAGCACTATACACATATGTAGAACACCGAGAAGGACCTCCTCGTCACGCGCCTCCAGCAAGAGCTCACGGCAATCAAGCAAAAGCTCGTCGAGCAGGTAAGCTTCGTTTTCACGACCACGGCCATGAACTTAAAGGTCCATAGAGCGAAGAGCTCGTCCAAGTTCGGTCGAGCAACCTCAAGCTCCAAGAGATGCTCAAGAAGAAGGAGAAAGACGTACGTTGTTACTTGGAGCTAGCCATCGTAGCACGTGTGTAGCTCCAAAGCGTGTTTGCGGTGATGCGCGAGGGCAACACCCAAGGCGCTGCCAAGCGTCGAAAAGAGATCACCGACCGCCTCGTCAACGAACTCCAGCAGAAAGTACACTTGCGCGCCTGTTCCTTGCTGACTTTCATGGGCGCCATAGGTGCACCACGCAGAGGCGCTTGCTCAGGCCCGCAAATTGGAGCTCGACGAGCTCAAGTACAGCTGGTATCTATCTACCCAGTCGTTCAAGCGATTGAGCTCATGTTTATGCCGATAGCAAGTCCCTCCGACTTCAAGAGCTTCACATTCAGGCCCAAGAGTACTACAAAGAAGTCCAGCGGCTCCGAGACGCTCTCGCCGCGCAGCCAGCAACCACACCGTCGCCTCGGTACTGCGTTTCGTGCTAAATCATTCTCATGTAGAAATAGGAAGGAGACGCGCCTGCAAGCCAACAATGTCGAGCCAGAAACGACGTTGCCTGTGCCCAAGAAGGAGCCAGTACCGCAGCCCATAGCTCTGCCCAAGGTAGTCCAGAGTCTGGTGCAAATGATGCTATTGAGGGTCGTGCAGACCGATGTCTCGGCGTCCAAATTCGTCAAGCGCAAAAAGCAAGCCGTCATTGAAGCAGAGTATCGGCGACAGTGCCGCATTGCCGAGCTCGCAGCGCAGTGCGAGATGGAAGAGAACATTCCGCGACAAGCCAAACGACTGGCCAAGCAAGCTGCGGTCGAAGCGGCTGCGCGGGAGCCTCCCAAGCAGTTCGAAACGACACCAAGCGAGCCCAAGATCCAGGTGGCACCGCCCACCGTGACCATGGCGACACCAGAGGTACAAAGCACACGCAAAATTGTACCGCCACCGTTGTTGTAGGTCCTTCCCACGGAGCCATCACGCTGTCTTCAGCCTGCCTGGACATGTCCCGTCTGCTTGAGCAGTACGAACCGAAATGGGAGCATGTGCGAGACGTGTGGCACGGCCCGTCCATCGACCGAAGCCAACACGCTCGTGCTGTGCTCCATTTGCACTCACCGACCGGCTACGCACTGCAGCGAGTGCGCTCCACCCGTGGTCGAGACACCGTGGCCGCACATCAAGCCGGCGCAATCGTCTCTTCTCGCATCCTCGATTCAAGTCTCCCAACGTACATATGACGCGCTGCTCGTCACGATCGAGTGCGCGCGCGGCTTGTACGACGCGCAGTGGGTCGGGAAGCAAGACCCGTACTGCTTTGTCACATGCGGCGACGTCTCGTTCCGAACCAGAACGCACGCGGACGGCGGGCGAGACCCTGCGTGGCACCAAGAGCTCACGTTTCCACCATCTTGCCTCGACGCACTTATGGCAATCGAGATCAAGGACGAAAACTACGTCCACCACGACGGCTACATCGGCTGCTGCGAGCTACCAGCCACCGCGTGGCACTTGTCCGATGTCACCAACGTCTGGCTGCCGGTGCAGCACCACGACACACGGGTCGGCGAGCTCTGTGTCTCGATCCGGAAATCGCTGGCGGCACCAAAACAAGAGCCCAAGGCATCAAGCAAGAGTGTCGTCGAGGAAACCGCTGCGGACGACGAAGACGAAGACTCGCGTGCTCCTGTACAAGACACCCGCGACGTGACGCCGCCACCAACGGACCTTGTAGCCGACTCGGTGGACATGGACGACGACATCCCTGATGTTGCCAAGGAGGAGGCGCCTCTCGAGGAGGAGCCCGTCGAAGAAATGTCAGAGGACCATGCGATCGCTGTGCCAGAAATGTCGACGGAGCACGCTGACGAAGAAGACATAGTCGACGAGAACGACGATGACGGGAAGCGCGCGATGCCAGTCGACGATCGTTTGGACGATGCCGACAGATTAGTCGTAGCCAACGACAGCAATAGCTCCGCTGCCGTCTCGGAACCTCTTCCACCGGACGAGCCAACGGATGCAATCGCGACAACCCCAACAACCGAACCCCCAGGCACATTGACGATCGACGTCATATCCGCGGAAGAGGAGGCGTCGTCCAAGACGCAAGACGCTACGACTTTTCTGTCTAAAGAAGAAGCGACTGCAGATCTCGTCTCGCCAAGTGACCCGACTGCGCCCCTCAGCAGCGAAGAAACCATCGAAACCTCCCCTGTCGACGCAGGAGCACAACCAACAACACCAATCATCGCGAGCCAGAGCATCGAGCGCAGTGATAATATCGAGTCGAGCACTCTTCCGGTGCAGCTGTCAACGCCGACACTAAACATTTTGATTACGCCAGATCCAGCGTCCTCCGATGCTCCAGTTTCCACGCCAGACTCAATGGCGATACCAGAACCAGCGACCACACCGGAACTAATGACCACACCCCAACCAATGACCATTCCAGAACCAGCGACCATACCAGAGTCTGCGGCGACACCCGAGCCCATGCACGATGACACGACAGCTGCCCTCGATGACGACACGGCCAATCTAGAAGACGGATTTGACGAAGAGTAATGTTATATTTTGTCATAGAGGGTCTTGTCGCGGCTTGGTGGGGCTGCGCGGAGCTGCCAACGCGCCACAGGCCGTCGGCTCGGATGGATTGGGCGGCTGGATGAGCACAAAGGTCGTCGGGTGCTCGGGCGGGGGCGGCGGCAAAATTGTGTCGGCAGGCGACAGTAAGAACTCGTGGTAGAAGCGCCGGACGCGGAAGCGATACCCGAGGTGAAGGCAGAGAAGCGTAAAAATACCGTGGTCCGCGATAAAGTGGGGAATTGGCATCCAATTCAGCTGATTGTTGATCCACAAGAGCGGAAAATACGCGAAGAAGACCGCGGGCAGCGCATAAAACACCTGAATAGCAACCTGTCAACTCCGTGGAAAAGGGAAGGGTACCCTTAGTTTTTCCATGATGGGGGTCGTGGCCGGGTCGATATGGAGTCGCACTTGCATCTCAAAGGTCAAGTTGCGAAGGCGCTTGACGTGGCGCCGGGCGTGGCTGTAGTTGCTACACCACCACCTCGACTAAGATGATCCGTTTTCTGTACGACCCGCTACCTAAACATGAGGTAGCAAGCGACGCTCCACTGGATCTGTCTCAAGACGCCAGGTCCGCGCGCCGCGTTCGAGTAGAGCGACGCGTTGCGGCAGATGGTCCAGAACATCACAAATGTCCAGTCGAGCGAGATCCACGTCGGGTTCTCGAGGCCATTTTGGGTCACTTGGTAGCCATCGGCGAGCATCAAGACGAGCTGGACCTAGTGCCTCGTCCATGAGGATAACCTACGCCTTCTTTAGCAATGTACGGTGAAGCAGCGGCAGAGGAACTGCAGAAAGAGCGCGCCCACGACCGAGTAGCCAAACTGGAGAAAAATTTGAATCGGAGCCAGTGGACTCGAGAACGTCACGCACGACAGAAGCGCGTACGAGGTCTACATTAGCATTTTGAGCAAAGCCGAGACGGGAGTTGACGTCGGCATACCTCCATGAGAGCAATAATGGCAAATAGGTAGTGCAGGCGAAGACAGAGATACGGCTTCTTGAGCAGCGGCGCGACCCAGAGCAACGTCAGGACGATCCACAGCGCCGCGTACGCCATGTAGAAGCGCAGCAAATCCGCAACGCTGTCGCCCAGACATTGACCGTCGCCGTCGCACATGGCGATGTCAATCTGTCCCGTAACATTGGGTGCAATCGTCGGCGACACAATGCAGCGGCTCCTCGCATCCTCGTCGTTCGAGAGCATGTCGGGGCACGTAAAGCACGTTGTATTCAGACCCGTCGCGTTCTTCATGCAGGAGGGCAGCCAGCCTAGCAAGCAGCATGAATGCTGGATGCACGCAACATAGTATTACTACCATGGGTGCCGCCGAGGGCTTCGCACACGTCCAAAAAGAGGAACTTGGCCCCCGCGGACGCCTCCGTGACGCGGACGTGGAGGTATGTGATCGTGTGGTACGCAGTCGACGTCTGGTTATCTAAGAATGCGATATCTTATGAGATGTGTTGAGTTGGGTTGCGGCGTCGTACAGAGGCTCACAAAGCTCGATTGCCGCAGCGGAAAGGTGCGGCACCCTGCGGCCACGCCGAGCGTCCGGTTGCGGCAGTAGCTGTCGCCGAATACCATGTCGTCGCAGAGCAAGAGGTACATCATGGTGCGGCCTTGGACGACGGCGGGCGTCGCTTGTAGCGTCACGTCGAGGTACACGACAGCCTCGCCGCCACGTGTAAAGTTGAAGACGTCGACCAGCGGCACCAGATCCGAGCTCGACTGCACGACGTACGGCTGCGTAAACTCGATGCTGCGCACGAGCCCGAGCAGGATGCTGGTCAGCAGCAGCAGCAACATCATTAGTTTGCCAATGGCAAGGATTAAGGAGCTAAATCGGGCCTGGCCAGCGTATTGGCGCGTAAAAATACGAGCGCGGTTTGAAAAAAGAAGCCTGTCGAGATATTTTGTTTGCGGCATATGCCGAAGATACGTCGTCGGCGCAACATGCCAAGCACTCGACGTAATCTTGACACTGCGAGATACTCGATGCAAGGGCGATGCATGTGAGGCAGCGCGCGTACGCTGAGACGCTCAAGTACTTTGAAGCTCAATGGCTCCATTGCGTGGTCCGGAGATGGTGGTGTGGGTTTAAAAGTGGCATTGGTGCCGAATCCGCCCACCAAATCCTGCGAAAAAAGGATGAGCGATGGCAGCGAGCCGGCCCCATGGGCCAAGATCCCCAAGCTGATCGTGTTCGACCTCGACTTTACGTTGTGGTACCCCGAGATGTATGAGCTTGCTGGCGCGCCCTTCCGCCGCAACAAGGCCGGCGTTGTCACGGCGCGCGACGGCGAAGAAGTCCATCTCTTCGACCACGTCCACGCTGTCCTTAACGAAATCGCGACCGCGCCCGCGTTTGCCAGCACCGAGGTCGCTGTGGCCTCGAGCACCACGTATCCGCACTGGGCGCGCGACTGCATGGGGCTCATCCACGTCCGAACCGACGAGGTAGTGCGCCCGCCACCTCGTATCTCTCGAGTCTTGACACTAGGCCAAGAAGCCCAAGGGCAAGAAGCCACCATCACCGCGCGTGCTCCACAGCTTCATAGACTACCAAGCCATTTACCCCAAGAACAAGCAAGTGCACTTCAAGCAGCTCCACGAAGAGTCAGGCGTCGCGTACGAAGACATGCTCTTCTTCGACAACGAGCATTACAACATCGTCAACGTCCAGCGGCTCGGCGTCGTCTGCGCCTACTGCCCCGACGGCCTCACCCTCGCCGTGTGGAAGGAGGGCATGGAGCGATTCCAGACCAAGGCCGCGCTCGACGATACCTCCGACTATTAGACTCCACGGTCGTTCGTTCTCGAGCGAGAAATGCAGATGAGAGCACATGCTTGAGTAGATAACGAGTAGTACGCCTTGTTACGCGGCCGAGATGAGCTCCCGCGCACGCACAAAGATGGCGACAAGCGAAATGAGCTGCAGCGTCTCGGACGTCCCAGAACAGAGTCGGTGTTCGAGGTGCGCGAGCTGGTCGTAGACGTACATGCGCGCGGCCGGCGGCAGCTCGAGCTCGTTCGTGTTCTGATAGACGTGCTGCAGAATGTCCGTGGTTGCATACCCTTTCTGGAGCTGCATCGCCATGCACTGCTGCACGCTCTCCTCAAACGGCGCAGTCCATAGCCAGTTGCAGAGCGCTGTCATGTCGGCGGGGAGCGGGTTGCCCGTGCAGAGATACACCTAATGCCAAGGTGAATGTACGAGTCGAAAAGACATTCGTACGTTTGATTCGTTCACTTCGTCGTGGGCCATGGACGTGGCCTGGAGGATGTTGAGGATGCGCCGCATGTCGCCACCGCCAAGGCGCAGCACGGCTTGGAATCCGTCGGCGGTCATCGCCACACTAGCAGTGCATGAGCTATGCAGGATGGAAACTGGAAGCGCACTTTTCGAGCTTGGCAATGTGCTCGACGCGGTCACGGACTTGGTGTTCCTCGAGCGGCGAGAAGCGGAAGCGCGTGCAGCGAGACTGCAGCGCGGGGATGATCTTGCTCACGTAGTTGCAGATGAGGCAGAAGCGGGCGTTTTTGGTGTACTTTTCAATGACTAGACACGCATATAAGCCAAGGTAGACCAGGTGACGATGGACCTACCGCGACGCAGCGCAAACTGCGCATCGTTGGTCATGGCATCGGCTTCATCGAGGATGATGAGCTTGATGCCATCAGAGAAGAGCTTCTTCGTGCCGGCGAACTCTTTGATCTGATCGCGCACGACATTGATGCCACGGTCGTCGGATGCGTTGAGCTCGAGCACCATCGACTGGTAGTTGTTGCCATAGAGGCGGCGGGCGGCGGCAAGCATCATCGACGTCTTGCCCGTGCCCGGCGGCCCGTAGAAGAGCAGATGGGGCATCTTCTGCGAGTCGATGAGCCGGTTGAGCGTCGCGACGATGTCAGCGTGGGCGATGAGGTCGTTCAAGGACGACGGCCGGTACTTCTCGACCCATGGCCACGACTCGGTCGAGCGGTTCTTGGACGAGATGCCCTGGAAGCTATACATTCTCACTGTGATCTTAGGCATCGATGGCCCATCGAGTACCTGGGGTCGGCCTTGGCGTCCATCGTGTCCTCTAATCGTCGAATGGAACGGCCGCTGCCGCGAAGGCCTCTGATTGGCTGAAATCCGGGTAAGTGAGCTAACGTTATTGGTGTATTTCAGAAACAATTGACATTTTTAGCCAGTAAGCAGGCGCCAAACAAGCGAGAGCTGTGGCCACATCGGACGTGCAGCAGCTCACCTCCAACTCCATCAGCACCCGCGTTTACCACCACAGCACCCGCGTATACCACCACAGCGAGGCGCGGTACAAAGTCCTTCGTGCTCGAGCATTCGCACCGAATTGAAATTGCGTGATTTTAGCCAGTCTATTTGCCACACAAAACAATATCAAGGTATCGAAGATATTAGGTGGAGGTTTACGAGCACGCCGTCAAGCCATGGAAGGTGCCCAATGCAAGCGCGTGATAATGCGCGCGGCGGCGGGCGAGCGCTCTGAAAAAGTCAGCGGGCAGCGCTTCGTGGCGTTGGACGTCGGCAAAGCACGTTGGGTACTCGACAACCTCCTTAAACAAGGAGGGCAGGCGAAGCGATGTAATGTGGCTCGGTACATCAATGTACCCCTGGTAGCTATAGAGCTTCTCGTTGGTCGGGATGGGTTTCGTGTCAATGAGCGTCGCCGCATGCACGAAGAAGAGGCTCTTGGAGATGTGTCTAATCGCACACAATTTGACTCGCTCGATTCCACCGCGTTCGATCGCACGTACACGGAAGGCGCAATCCAGCGCTGGGCGACAGGGCCGCAAAAGACAGTCGGGTGCAGCTCGAGATCCCGCGGCGCATTGAGCGTGTTCGCGCCGTACGTTGCCACGTGGAACGGCTTGTGCATGAGCTCAAAAACCGAGAAGATGGCGTCGTGGGGTGTCACTACAAACACGCAACTGGATGCTCGCAAGAAAGAGCACCTAGCGACGTACGCCATGCGAACGACGGATCGCGCGGTGCTTGACCAATGAGACGCTTGAGCAGCTTGGGCAAGCGGTCGCCGTACTACTCAAAGATATTTCAGCATCGCAAGCAAACATAACAAGACGTACCCGGGTCTTGTGCACCACGAGGAGACTCGGGTCCACGGTTTGCAGCGCATCAAACGACGAGCCGAGATGCTGCGTAAAGTTGTTGGAGAGCTCGAGGTTCACAGCTTGGATCGATGTGTCCAAGTGGTACAGATCCGTGTATTTCCGCAGAAGGTGGGTGTACCGGTCCGCTGCGTTCGCACCCGGCACGAGGTTGCGCTGGCGAAAAAAATAGGACCCTATTTTGTGCCATCAAACGTCGTGGCGCATCCCACACCTCGTACCGCTGGCCTCGTAACCTGCGTCGGTCCAGATGACGTTCGGGTTGCGCAGAAGCAGCGTGTGCGCGTCCAGGATCATGACATGGTCGAACGTCGACGTGTAGAGAGCCAGCGGCTTCATCCACGCGTCGCGGGGCGATGCAAACAGCGGCGGTCTCGGAATGCCATGGGCGGCGGCCAGGGCGCACGAGTCGACCACGCGGACGTGTGTGAATGCGGCGTGCTTGAGCACAGCCGCCAAGTCGGACGGCAGCTCGCGCTCTGTGCAGTGGTGCAGCTCGACCGGCAGCTCTGTCCCGAGGCACGCGAGCTCCGTGACGAGCGAGAGCGCGGCGGCAAAGTTGCCTTCGTGGACACAAATCACGAAACCGCGGTTGTGCGGATTCGCAATGGCGTCCTTGCGCAGCAGCGTATCACCTAGCAGCAGTGTGATGCCATCGGTCCCGTCCTGCTCTCATCGTAAATACTTGGTACGTCGACGCGGTGCCACTGGAGGTTGCCAATGGACTCGCGCATAAAGGCCATTGGCTGCGTCGCGCCGTCTTTGCCCCAGTCGTACGTGTACAGAACGAGACAGAACGTCACGCACTGCAGCGCAAGGAGGCGCAGAATGCACCGGCCGCGCGTCGTCGAGGCCATCGTCAAAGTCCTAATGATCCAGCGTCGAAGAAAGCGCCAACATTCGAAATTCCATTTATCCGGAACCCGTCCACGGAATCCGGACGCGGCCGGTAGCCGCCTTTCTACCGGCGGCGCAAAGGTCGAGAGCCTCGACACGCCCGACGAGCCAAATTCCCGAGAGACATTACGCTACGCTTGTGCGTGCGACGCTCGACGCGGGCAAGCGACGCGTCTGCTGTAAGAATACGCGCGGCAACGGCAAGTTGCGTGTTTTTATCTGTCGCCCGAAGTCGGTCCCGCCGCCTCAGTACTAGTTCCCAGAAGATCATGTGGACGATCAACCTCGAGCCGGACGCGCCCCGGACCCGACTCGTGCTCTCGCCGTGCCCGTATTGCCAGGAGCAGTTTGGCACGGCGTCGCTCCCGATCCACGTCAAGCGGTGCCGGGCGCTGTATGTGGCACCGACGCCCGAGGTGCCCGAGGTCGTCCCGACCAAAGCCCGGTCGATCCCGTCGCTTCAAGCCATGTACGACACGCTCTATTCGCTGCATGCATTCATAGTCTGTAGGTGTACGCAAATGATCTTGGGCAACCTCCACATCACGTGCTTTAGCGGTCTCTTCACGCAGCCCGCCCACCAAGGTTCGCGCCATCGTCGTCGCGTGATGATAACGATGGCGTACTAGCGGCCCTCATTGCGAGTCTGCCCGAGACCATTTTGCAGCAGATCTTCATGCACATTGTGTACGAGCACCAGAACGTACACCCCATGGCGTCGTCTTCGCCACGCGCTCATGATGATGATGATGATGATGGTAGCGCACGAAGCGCTATGAGAAGCACAAGGCCAAGCTCCGGCTCGTCAAGGACAACTGCGCGGCGCTGGAGGCCACGTGCGCGCAGGTCCATGGCTTGCGTAAGGAGGTCGACCGACTTCAGCGGGTCATCGAGGCCCGCGACGCGCAACACGCCAAGACGCGAACCGCTGCGTCGGAGCTCCGCGCCGAAGTGCAGCGCCTTCAGCAAGAGAACTCGCGGCTCGCCAAAGTCAATCAACAGCAGCAGGTGCAGCTCCAGGTGCGCACGTTTGCCTTCAAGACCTTGCGTCTCCACCTCATGCATGAATAGCGAAAGGCGTGTCTGAAGCCACCTGCGACTCCGAGTACAGCGAGAGACCGCTCGAAACCAGCGGTGCGTCGACCGATCGCAAGAGCGCCGGCCGTCAAGCCGCCGCCGCGGCGATCGGGCTCGGGCATTCCGTACCCGAGATCGCTGCCACGCCGCTACGCCAACGACCTCGATGCAGCGACGCGCGGTCTGTGCCATATAAAGTTGATTTAAAGGCAGGCCGCTTAGTCCTTCTTCTCGTCGTCCTTCTTCTTCTTCTCGTCGTCCTTTTGCGTGATCTGCTTCATGGCGGCTTGGATCTTGGGGTCGTTCGGGTCGACGCCCGGCAGACCCGAGAGGAGCGAGCTGACAAAGTTGGGGTCCATGAACGGCATCGTTGACGCGGGCGCCGGCGCGGGCGCAGCCACAGCTTCCTTCACGGGGGCCTTGGGCGTCTCGACGGGAGCCACCGTCTACAGGAGTCAATGTGAGACACCGCGATCGCCGTGCATGGGCCACGTACTTGCTTTACAGGCGTCGCAAACGTCGTTGTCGGAGCAGGCGTCGTCTCGGCGATAGGCGCCAAAGGCTCGCTCTTGGCCGCTTCTTCGGCGGCACGCTTCGCAGCAGCTTCCTGCCGGGCGCGTTCTTCCTCCATGGACACACGGAGCGCCTGCAAGCAAGTAAGAGACAGCTCGTGTAAGGCGACGGGCGTACCAAGGCAAGATCGGGGTCCATGCTCGGATCGACGCCACCAAACTCGGCAAAGTCGTTCGAGCTCGAGGCAGCGCCGCCCATGCCAGCGCTCATGCCGCCATCGCCATCGCCATGGAAGATCGGCGACGAGACCAAGACGTCCGACGGCAACACCCCCGGCGGGACCGTGATCAGATGACTACGCCTTCGGTGAGTATTCCTGCGCAAGAGCAAAGTGCATTTCGTATACCTGTTTTGGTTGCTGTTAGCCGCATCGACAAAGGCCTGGAGCTTGGGCGCGTTGCGCTCAACGTCGCCCATCGAGACGACGTCGACGCCAATGTTGTTCTTCTTACAGAGCTTGCCAATCTTGACCAAGGCCTTGTCGTCCTCGTCAATGGGCGAGCCAAGGAACACGACGATGCGCGCGCTGCCCTTCTTGTTGCGGCGGTGCTTGAGCGCGAGCTGCGCGACTTGGATCGCCTCTGAAACTGGACCGTGCCGCCGATCGAGGCCGGCGTGATCTCGTGCATGACGTTGAGGAGCTTGCCAATGTTGTCGGTCGGGCTCGCGAGAAGCGAGACCGTCTTGCTGTGCACATTGACGGTCGAGGACATGGCGAGGATACCGACCGTGCTCTCCGGGTTGGCGTTCGTCTTGAAGGTCACGAGGAGGTTCACGGCGTCGCCCTGCGCCTCGATGCGCGAGGGAACGTAGTCGCCATTGCGCATCCACTCGGACGTGTCCACGACGATCATCGTCGACTCGAGGCCCATCCTAGCTGCGCGTCCCGAAAGGTATATGGGGCCCACAACACGTAGGATCTTCGTGGCATTAGCATTTTGTATACTATACTCCACTGCCGCTATAAAGTCCTACCGGAACGACGCTCGGCGTTCTTCAATTAGGCCTTTAGGTAGAGATTCGGATTTTCCATCGTGCCACGCTTGGTCCGACAACATGGAGCCACGGTGACGACGGATCTCTCAGGGGCATGGAGTCGAGATAGCCTCGGAGCGAGGATGCTATCAATCACCTGTTGACAAGGCTCGCCAGCACGTAGCTCTAGTTGCGCTCTGCGAACGCCTGCTACACCAACGGCAGGGATCCACACGCGAGGCAGATCCACTAGCTGGCAGGTCCAACGGCGAGCATGCAATGGGGTTCGAGTTGAGTGCTATGATTACATGCGCGAGAGCTATTTCCGAGGGCCCTTGCCTTCGACGCTAACGCGGTGGATCGCTATAAAGTCGTTGTAGCCCGAGAGGATCTTGAACTTGACGAACGACGCGTCTTCCCTCGAGACGGGCTGCGTCTCGATCTGGAGGTTGCCGTCGTTCTCGTTGATCTCTGCACGCAGCCGTCAAGCCTACATGAGGTCGAGGATGGCACGTACGGGCGTCGACAACCTTGTCCCACTTGGTCGGCGTCGGGCCTGTACATACCTCGACGACCATGTGCTTGGCTACAGGCACGATGCGCTTCGTACTCCTTGTAGCGTGACGTACCGTTGGTCGTCCATGTCTTGATGCGCGAGATGACCGAGGCCGTCGCGAGCTGGATCACGATCTCTTGCGGGTACATGCCCGTCGTCATCCACTTGGTCGACGTCTCGCTACATGGCCATGAGGTCGACAATGCTCTAAGCACATGCATGTATGGACCCATCGAGGACGTTGGAGGGCGGGAACTTGCTGTCAAAGGACGTCGCGGCCGTCACTTGCGCTCCTTCGACGTCCAGCGCCAAGTCCATCGTCGCGAGAAACACAAAATAGCGCCCGTTTCAGAGCCGGAAACGACAACCCACGCCATTGAAACCTATCCCTTTATACCGTTGATGTTGTGAACGACCGAGACGATCGCAGCGCCTGTCCTATGTGCAGTGGCAGAGCGATGCAGATGCCACGCAAGACCATATCGAATGCGTTAGATTGAAGGCGCCTCGCTAAGGTCGACGTTCCCAGTGGCATGGGCGTCAGTCGCGTGCGACGCAAGCAAGCGCTCTTCCACAGGCGCGGGCTCGGCAAGCTTGGCGGCCAGGGACTCGGTTGGGCAATTCATCTCGTCGGCGGCATGGAGCTTCTGCACAATGCGCTTGGCGACGTCCAGCTCGACCTTCATGGCCTCGCGCTGCTCCATCTTGGCCGTCACGAGTCCGTCGCGCTTCGTGGCCCAGTCCTATGCGCAAAGTCGATGAGACGGCGCGAGTGATGATGCATCGAGACCTTTTCGCGGTTCAGAATGGCATCGACTAAGGATCGGCTCGTCTGCATGTCCTTCTTGATACCGTGGATCTTGCGCTGGATGTCTTGAGGCGTGTGTTCCTCGTACTCTTCCATGGCGAGGCGCTCGAGATGCCAGCCATTGAGGTGCCGGGCCTTGGGGTGCGTGATCTGGAGAATCTCCTTGAGGTCGTCTTCTTCAGTCCGTTTCTAGCCCAAGCGCAGCATGAGATGACGGCGTCGAAGCACCGTAGATACGTCGAAGACGCGGATAAGATCTTGGATCTGTCCGCGAAGCTCGTCAGCGCCAAGGCCAAAGGTCAGCTGGAGCACTTGCTGCACGGCGTCGCCCGTCTCGGCCGCCGACATTGCCAATTTCGTTTTTGCCCAATCCCATCATGCCTAGCTCGGTGATTGGCTTAAATTCACGTCATTTGTTTTATAGTGTCATATACGAAAGAAATAGTGTATGATCCAAGACCGCATCCTCCTGCACCGAAGTGGGCAACACATGAGCATGCCCCACTTGCCGCATCACAGCTTCACACATCAAAAGGCTTTGCGCAATCGTCGTACTTCGTAATATGCCAAAAGCTGCTGCCAAAAATCCTCATCTCCAAGGAGAAAGCGTGGAAGATCGATACAACTGTATTGTGCCCATCGGTTCATGTCGAGTCTCGTCATCCAAGCCGCAAAAGGAAATCACAGGCATTCATAAACAGCAGCTGCGTCTCCAGCCCTATGGTTTCCGGTCAGCTACTGTCTCCGAGCAGCTGAGCGCTGGTGGCCCAAGCCCAAAGCGTTGCGAGACTCACCTCTCAGTGCAAGCTATCGGCGCAGGGCGTCCATTGGGGTGGGAAGCTCATCAGTGCATCTGTCCCCCGCTCCTCCAAGTATACGTAGTGTGTACCACTGCAAGCCACTGCAGTATCCTTGATCGCACTGCACCACACGCCAATCTGAATCGTGATGGCGCGGACGTCGATGGAGTAAGCTCAAGTTGAAGTTACCGCCCCATCCCATCCGGACATCCGGTTGGAAAAGATCGTGGAGGATCGATCACATTTGCACGAGCGCGCTGGCCCATGGAACGAACGCACGAGCCCGCTGTCTTGATCCACGGTGCGACCATAGAGCTCTACTTTCTGCTACGCAGCACGCGCTGAATAAGGTCTTAGGACTTCTCGGGTGGGGCAAGCGCAAGCCGCTCTACAACTTTGGCCCCGACTACTGGCCCGTCGACGCGTTGACTGCCGTGAACCCCAACTGCATTTTGGTTGACGTGGGCGTCGCCTCGTCCGACCACGACCGCGCGTGCGAAGCCTTTTACCAGCTCATGGGCGGCCGCGTCGACTATGGCGAGATCCACGCCCTGGAGAAGCGTATGCCACGATAGAATAGTACAATGTCGCTCATTTGAAAGGCACCGTAGAGCACTACCGCTACGGCTACACGTTTGAGACGCCGCTGTACGCTGCATGGAGCGAGGTGCTACTCTCGTCCATTGCACCTATGCCGCATGTCTGGGTGCTAGGACAACCCCGTGCACCTGATCGGTCACAGCTACGGCGCCACGACAGGTAGCCCGCTCCGTTGGGCGATCGCTTATCAAAATGGACTAGCGCTCGAGCTCTACCAGCTACTTTGCACCGACTTTTTCAAGGTCGGCAGCAACCACAAGTGGGTCAAGAGCATCACGTCGATCGCAGGTCCCCTCAGCGGCGCGACGATGGGTAATAGAATGCGCACCTCATGGTGACGTCTGACGCACTTGCAGGCCACATGTGCGGCCTCGAGGCCGACGAGTCGATCAAAGCTGGCGGTATCAACCACATTGTGGGGTCGGCCATCTCGACGCTCTGGAAGCTCCAGCACCACTTTCCATGGCTTGACAACCTCTACTCGATTCGCATGCCGCAGTGGCTCGGCTACTGTCAGTGGTCGACCATCTACGACGTCAACAGCACGCCCATGACCACCGGCGACATGGGTTCGCACTCCCTTGCACCCAACGGGCTCTTACACATCGTGTGGTACGTAGCGGCCTACTGCCTCCTTCCGTCGTCGCGCATGCGCCGCAACGGCGAGCTTGTGCACATGGACAAGGTCCACCTCGTAAGTATCGTGTCGCGCGATGACGCGCCTCCGTCACACCACTACCGCGACGCCGCTGCGGCTGTCATTGTGCTCGTCTTGTGGCGCGCCGGCAAGGTAAGATGATGCGAGCATGCAATGGAAGGTAGCGAAGTTGGTCTAGCTCAACAAGTGGCTCCTGGCGCTCGTCGGGCTCGCGGCGTGGCAGCGGTACCGGTCCTTTGACGCAGCGCAGATGCCGTTCCTCATGACGTTCTTCCTTCGGCGCCACGCGCACTCGATCGCGACACCGATCTACGACAGTACCGCCCGCGCATTTGGTTCTTCGAGGTGTAGTATACTGATGTGATTTGTAGCTTTTGAAAAGGAAGAGTGGGCGGCCAATGATGGCGTTGTCAACACGTACTCGATGCTGCGTCCGCGCTACTGCGAGACGTTTGCCACGGACCCCGACTTGCCGCGCATTCCATCGCACGTCTCGATCGACTTGGAAGAGGCGGATACGGCGCTGCCGACGGTAGGAGCTCGTACACTGGAACGAAACAGAGTATGATGGGCTAGGGACAATGGCACGTCTACCGCGTGGCAAAGAACCATTTCTGCGGCACACGCTGGGACCGCGATGCGAAAGCCCTCTACACCAAGCTCTTCCGTCTCCTGAACGCGTCTCGGACGCCGGGTCGCATCGCCTAAGCTACAAAAGGACTCGAACCGTGGTGCATTTATTCCTCTAGGGAAAGCACCGTCGTAAGACCAGGCTATTTTATGATTCTGCGTCGTGAGCGTCTCAAATTCAAACCGGCGATCTTGAAGGGCAGGCGGGAGCGTACACCGGGGCATACCGGTGTTGACCCCCGCTTTTTTGTGTGCCCCGGTGTACCAACGAGATTGGGCCTTGAATTTTGTATGGCAGCTTTGCAAAGGTGTCGAACGGCGACTTCGACGACAGGCCCGATGGAGGTACGCGACGGCTTCCGCTCGACGGCCATGACGACCTTCTCTTCGTCTCTGGTAGCATGCAGCGCCGGAACCGTACCGCGCCAACCGAGCCTGGCTCAACGCCGTGACCAAGACGGCGACAGGCAGCGAAGTCCCGCCCGAGGCGCCGGGACGGGACGTAGTGCCCCCGCTCGCGACGCGGCCGGCGCCGGCCGCGCCCGTCCGAATCACGGCTGGTGACACCCAGCGCCGCCCTGCAGAAAGCGCGGTTGACGTCAACTCGTACGAGTGGAAGCTGCGCGCGTACAAGATCGCGGTCAAGCGCAACATTCCGCTCGTCTCGCGCTGCAGCTTTGTCCAGCAGGGGGCGTGCCACCTCTGCAACGGGACAGCCATCACGATGGTGGTCAATTTGTGTCCTCAGTTTGACTACTCGCACTCGATCTGCTTGCGGCACCTGGACTCGGTTCTGAACGCGACGATGAACGATCTCCTCTGCGGAAAGGTCTTTCCGTGCCCGATCTGCGCCCACGAATGCCCCTGCGGCCTCTGCGAGCGCCTCATCGCCAAGGACTTTGAGTGCTACGAAGGCTGGGAGCAGTCGAGCGAAGCCAAGCGCGACGCCCGCACGCCACCGCCGGCTCTGATGGCGATCCCGTCGGCCGCGGCCCTTCCAGCCTCCGCAGCACCGCTCGCGACAGTGCGCACGCTCAACGCGCAGCACATTATTCGTCCACCGGATGCCTACCCGCGACCGGCGGCAGCGCCCAAGATGGCGGCCAAGTCGACGGGTCGCATGGCACTCCCGCCGCAGCCGCCTATGGTGGACGTGGCCGACGCCAAGGAGCCCGCGAGCTACATGGCACCACCCAAGGTCGCGGCGAAGAGTCTTCCGCGCGTCTCGTCCAAGCAGCAAGTCCTCGAGGCCAAGACGCCGTCCTACCTCGAGTCGGACGCGATGCTCCGCGCCGACAGCAAGGACACGGGGCATGCACCCCGGCAGCTCAAAACAGCAGCGAAAAGTCTCATGGCCGCCGCACAGCACAAGGCACCCGCGTTCGCAGCGCCTCTGGCCCCGACCCCGACCCCGACCCCGGCCCCGATCCCGCCGATCCGCCATGCGCCGAGCGAAGACGACGACGCGACCGAGGCGTCGGGTGACGAAAGCGCGTCGACGTCAAGCGGCTCGGACGACGACGAGCCGCGGCTCAAGCCTGTCCGCTTTCACGCGCGCACCGAGTTTGGTGCGGAGAGCAAAGGCACGTTTGGCCCGGTCGCGGCGGCTGCCGACGTCAAGTCGACGAGTACTGTCTCGGAGCACGGGTCGGCGACGCCTCGTTCGCCAGCGATGTCACCCGACGACAAGCCCGAGGCCAAAGAGGTCGCTGCGAGCCCGTCGGTGGAACCCAGCGCGGTCGTTGCAGAGATGCGAGCAATGGACGACGACGACGACGACGACAATGACGTACCGCTGCCGTCGCCCAACGTGTCGTCGGCCGCAGACGACGCGTCGATCGACGAAAACGTCAGCGCCATGGTGACGGACGAAGCCACAGATCTTCTCAACATGCCATTGGACAACGAGTTGGACAAGAGTGACAGTGCTGCGTCACCACTGCCGCAGGACCAGCATGCTGAGACGACATCAGAAAACACGGTGCCTAGCGCCGCCGACGCAGCTGCGATGGAGACCGAGGACAGCGCAGAGGACGATGCGGACAAGGTCGCCGTGGATGCTATGGGTGCAGCGGCTACCCCGAGCGCAATGTCAGTGGAGGCGACACCGCCGGTGGTCGTTGCGCCAGCTATTCACGAGGACCCGTCTGCCGCACCCGAGCAAGCGCTTCAAGCATCGTCGCCAGAAAAGCCCAAGCAAACGACGGCTGTAGCCGCAACCCCCGCGCCGGCGTCTCCGGCTATCTCGTCCCCCACACCAATGTCGGCTGCCACGGTCGGGTTCCCTACACTACTGCCCAAGCAAGCGTCTCCGGCAGCCAAAGCCGTCTCTGCTACAGTGACGCCACCAACGCAAGTGACGCCGGCAGCCCCAACACTGACAACCGAGCCGCCGTCGCTGGCTGCTGCAGTGACGCCGCTAACACAAGTGACGCAGACGGACACGGTTGCGTCCCCTGCACTAGTGCCGACGCATCCGTCCTTGGTGGCCACGACCGAGGTGCTTACACCGACGCCGCGCCAGGAAGGAATGCCGGCGCCGACGCGCTCTGTCGCGCCAATATTCAGCACGTCGGTCTCCTCGTCGGACGCGAAGGCAAAAATGCTATTTTCCACATCGACCGTCGAGCTGGCAGCACTCAAACCGCAAGCAAAACCCACCAAGAGCCCTGCGCCGGTGCAGCCGACGGTAGTTGCCGCGTCGACCGACCACGAGCCTAGCATCAAGACGCGCGCGCAGCGTCAGGTGGCACCGCCACCGGTCAAGCAGACACGCTCGGCCGCCGCCGCTCGTGACGCCCCCGCCGCAAAGCGCGCAAAGACGGAAGAGACCGCGAAGCGTCCGTCGATCGACTCGAACTCGGCGCCGGCCAAGCGCGCGCGCGGTGCCGAGCCCAAGGCGCCATTGACGCTTGAAAGCGACAGCGATGATGAGAGCATGGACGACGACGACGACGACGACGAGCTGGACGCCAACCTCGACTACTGCAGCATCTGCAAGGAAGATGGCGACCTGGTGTGTTGCGACAAATGCCCACGGTCATTCCACCTCTTGTGCTTGAAAATGGGCGACGACGACCTTCCGGAAGGCGACTGGGAGTGCCCCGAGTGCACGGGCCACCAGGACGACAAGCATTTCGACGCTGTTTTTAAAGGCCGCGACGCCAGAAAAAAGGTAGGACGAATGGCATCAAGGTGGATGCTATGAAAAAGATGTGTAGAGCAAGGCGATGGAGCTCGTGCTCAAGGCGCTGACAACGCACCAGTTTGCCAAGCCGTTTATGACGCCGGTCCAAGGCATCAAGGGCTACGACAAGATTGTCAAGAAGCGCATGGACCTCGCGACCGTCCAGCGGCGCCTCGCGGACGGCGACTACGACAAGAGCGTCGGGTTTGACAAGGCCTTCCTCGACGACATTGCCCTCATCTGGGACAACTGCTTGGCGTTCAACGAGCTCGGGTCGGGGCTCTACCGCGCGGCCGTCGACCTGCGCGACCGCGTCGCCGCCCTCATTGCGAAATTCCGAGCCGTCCACAGCAGCTAAGAGAGAGGATATATATTTTCAAAACACGCCCGCGTCTACTACATGTTGGTGGGTGCTGGAATAGATTAGTGTCGCCAGATTTTGATCGTGCGGTCCTTGCTGCCCGACGCGACCTTTTGGCCGTTGGGGCTCCAGTCGAGCGCGTACACCTCGTCGGCGTGGCCCGACAGCGTCTCTTTGGCGTTCTTGGGGTCTGCGAGCTCCCAGACCTTGACGGTCGAGTCTTTCGAGGCCGAGACAATGAGGCGCGAGTCGCTGGACCAGCACACCTGGTACACAGCACCCACGTGGCCGTTGAGCGTCGCGATGAACTTGCCATTCGCGCCGTTCCAGATCTTGACCTTCTTGTCAAACGACGCCGACGCAAAGTACCGGCCGTCGGGCGAGAACGCGAGGTCGTTGACCGGCTGCACGTGGCCCGTGAGGCGCTCGATCGGCTTCTTGCTCTCCGCGGGCTCCCACAAGAAGAGCGTAAAGTCGTCCGAGCCCGACACGAGGCGCTCGGGCTGGCCGCGGCGAATGGCGTCGTACCGCGCTTGGGCCGCGGCCTGCATCTCTTCGCGCGTGTCGAACGTCTTGAACGTGTGGTCGAACGGCCCCGTGCGGCAGACGTAGTCGACGTTGAGCGCCAGCGTGTTGATGCGGTGCGCATGGCCGACGAGCGTGCGCACAAGCTTCCCGACGTGGTCGCCCTCGACGGCCCACACCTTGATCGTGCGGTCGCGCGACGCAGAGTAGAGGAGACCTTCGCCGCCCCACTTCAAGCACTCGACCGAGTCCGTATGCCCCGAGAGCGACGCGACCTGGCGGCCTGTGCGTGCGTTCCAGATCTTGATCGAGCCGTCCTTGGACGCGCTGGCAAACCGCTCGCACGTGGCGTTGCTACAGAGCACATACTCAGAGATAGCTCTACATTCGCTGGAGAGAGCGTACCGGTGAATGGGCTCCCACGAAAGCGAGTTGACCCACTGCTTGTGGCCCTTCATGGGCTCGCCCTGCTGCTTGCCCGTTGCGGGGTTCCACATGCGGATCTCGCCCGTCTTGTCGGCCGAGATGAAGCGCGTGCCGTCCGGCGACCACGCCGTGCAGAGCACGTGGTGCTTGTGGCCGCGGCACGTGTGCTGGGGCATGCACGTGTTGGTGTCCCAGAAGCGCACGGTGGCGTCGCCGCCGCCGCTCGCGAGCTTCTTCCCGTCCGGGCTAAAGCTCACGTGCAAGATGGCCTCGGCGTGGCCCTGGAGCGTGTCCGTGCAGCGCGTCACGGGACGCACGCGGAAGACCGCGAGCGGCTGGAACGTAATGCTGAGCACGACTTCGGTCGAGATTTTCTAGGATACGAGCATGAGCAGGCTGATGGCAGGAGGGAAGGTCGCGTACCTGGCTCTCGACGCTGGCTTGGAGGTTGTGCGTGATCTCATTGTCGTTGATAAACATCGAGTAAGGGACCTTGTTCTTGCCGTTCTGGAGGAGCTGGTTCACGAGCTCTTCCATCTGCGCGACCGTCGACGTGAGCGGGATGTCGAGCTGCGGCCCGACGGGCTCGCCCTGCTCGTTCTTGAACTGCGCGATCACGGACGCGACCTGCTCGTCGTCGTCGTCGCTGCCACTGTCCTCGCCATGCGCGTCGAGCTTGGGCTTCTTGGTCGCGCGGACGTCCTCCATCGTCGTATCCAGTTTTGAGGTTCAACTGCCCGCGCTGCCCGCTCTTATTGGTTGGTTCGCAACATCCACCAATCAAAACCCAATTCGGCATATGCCGAAATGAAATCGTATCGACCATCACTCGCACCCGATATGCTCGCCAAGTGTGGGCGGCAAGCACGCAGTACTTGACTTGCTTGGCATTTCTGCCTTGGTACGACATGGGCTTCTTGCGTGCGGTGTCGCCAGCATGAAAGGTCGCGTGCATCATCTCTTGTGACTACAGCCTGGTGGGATGAATGCCGAAAATAATTGTGACCGAGGTGGCAGATGCCGAACGTACACGACCCCACACTAAATCCCGCATGGGCGCGAGTTTGATTATCCGGCGCGAGGTATTTTGGGTTTTGCCGCCCAGCCGAAGACGATGAAGCGAGGGTTCTTCCAGCGCGAGGAAGCGTGCAAGGCCACGACCAAGCGCCGCCGTGACCGCGCCTACCCCATCGGTATGTCCCTTCGCCGAGGTGGCATAGGCTAGTAGAGCTTCCAGCGGCGGCCTCGGCGGCGACGACGTCGACGCTCATCAAAATGGCCCATTTAGATGCACTCTCTCGCATGATGTGGGAGTCGACCATTGGCAAGAAGAAGACGGGCGCCATGTCGCCCTTGCGCTGCGCGACGTGCTACCACTGCGAGCGGGCCATGGCGTCGGGCGAGTACTGCTGCGTCGCCTGCACCAACGCCTTCTGCGGCGAATGCTCCACCATAAAGTACGTGTGTACGCCTGCATGTGCGCATTGGATTGACGCCTCATGGGCTAATGCTGCTGCTGGGTAGTTATTCCAAGGCGTACGACCGCGTTTTTTGTCTCGACTGTCCTCAAGACGAGTAAGCGTGCTCGTCTGCACCCATGGTCTGCACCCGCAGCCTCCTCTCGCCTATGTTTTAACCCGTTTTGTTATCATCCCTCTCATAATTACGGTCTTCGCCATGCTTGGCATACGCCTTGGTGTAGCGAGAGTCGTCTGGTTGGCTTCCCAGCACCAGGATTCATTCCATGCCTGACAGCCAGGCCTGCCTGACAGCTATGCCCGACTAGGTTCGGATCTCTATTTGATATTGTTTAAGTACGCCCCTCTCAGATACGTTTCCTTCTGTTAAGTACGTCGTACCTTTCAGAGACGCGCGCGAAAACGCGATCTTGGTCAGTTGCAGATTTGCCGGCCGGACGATGGAGCTCAAGGCGCTACTCGGGGCGAAGCTCGCGGCTTGCTTCCCCTTCGCGACGATGAACAAGGTGCAGGAGCGTGTGCTTCCGCCTGCGTTCCAGACCCACGACAACATGGTCGTCGCGAGCCCGACAGGGTCGGGGAAGACCACGGTCATGGAGATCGCGCTCCTTCGCCACATGAACGTGGCAGCGAGAAACCCCTCGACGACGCATGGCAAGGTGCTTTACCTCGCCCCCATCAAGGCGCTACTGCATGAGAGGTACCATGGATGCTCCTCCGTCGACATGTCGCCCATTGGCGTCCAAGGCTCGAGGACTGGGAGGCTCGGTTCGGTGGCTTTGGCGTGCAATTTTGCGAGCTCTCGGACAAGAACGACGCTTCTGCAAATGTTGCTCATGCAGATGTCCTCTTGAGTACGCCTGAGAAGGTAGGCGACTCTGCTTGGCACCAAGTTCTTATGCCCCTTCAATGTAGTGGGACGCTTTGACCCGGCATTCCAAGGTACGATGGCCCCGATTGACACTCTTTGCTGGAACACCTCGTGTATATAGGACGCCTTGAACTGTGTCAGTCTGCTGATGATCGACGAAATCCACAATGTCGCCGACGCCTCTCGCGGAGCGACGCTGGAGGCTCTCGTGACGCGCATGTTACACGCATCCTCTCAGGGTCAGGCAAACGGAAACAAGCAGTCGGCGCCAATTTCCAGCTTGTACAAAGCGATCCGAAGTCAATCTTTAACAGAAGCGAATGTGGGCTAGGCGAATTATTGCACTCTCAGCGACGTGCCCCAACGTTCTTGACTTTGGCGTTTGGCTCCGCTGCCCGCGAAACATGATCTTTGAGGTACTGCATTACGCTTCGTTGTGGCATATGCTGAGTGTTCGTATGTGCGCAGTTTGGTGCTTACTACCGGCCCGGTATGTTTACCCACGTCCACGCCTTCTCGTTCCCAGCGATGTCTAGTTCCACTGAAAACACACGTCGTTGGAATCAACTGCTACGGCAAGCCGTTCATGCTAGACAAGTCGTCGCGAGTCGATTCACGGCTGGGTGTTGATGCTTGTAGTAGGTACATGGATGACCAAGTGTCATACCTCGTCAAGCAGTATTCGAATGGCAGACCATCCCTCATTTTTTGCTCGTCGCGCAAGTCGGCATGTGCCCTTGCAACGTACTACAGCAGGAGCCTGATTGTACATCCAGAATGACTTATCCTAGATCACTAGGAAACTGGTCAACGAAAACACGACAATTTTGCGCCCATCAACCCAGCGGGTACGACTGCGATACAATGTGCCAGGAACTTAATCAGTCGATGCAAGTAGAAACTGGCCGACGCTAGCTTGCACGTGCGTGCATCGTCAATGTCCTATACTAAGCTGCTTGTTTGACTCGCATCGCAGCTCCAGAACGAATCGCTGCAAGGCGTCGTTCGGGGTGGCATTGGCTTTCACCACGCCGCTCTCTGCGAAAGCGACAAGTACCGCTATGCTAGTACATGATTTCAAAACTCATCGCGAGACGTAGGCACACGATTGAAGGGCTCTTTGTTGAAGGACTGCTTTCTGTCCTTTGGTATGCGTGCCAGCGTTTGGATGACGAGCTCACACTTCTTTAGCTCGACGAGCTCGCTTGCTGTGGGCGTCAATCTGGTACGGCCTCACCAAGGAGCGTCGCGCTCATATAGCGTAGCCTGCGCATCTCGTGATCATCAAATCGACCCAAATGTATCAAGGCAGTACCAGCGGATATCAAGAGTACACGCAGGCGAGCATCGTGCAAATGCTTGGTCGCGCTGGTCGTCCTCGCTTTGACACGTATGCGACGAGCACACTTTGCTCGATCCATGTGCTCAGCGCTCCCGCAGGTCGGGCACCGCTGTCATCATGACAACTTCGCAGAAGCAGCAGCACTACGAAGCGATGCTCAAGTACGATCACCTGCCAACGTCGTACTAGACACCGACGGAGCTTCTCTGTAGGCATCCCGACACATCGCCGTTGGAGAGCTCGCTGCGGCCCGCGCTTGCAGACTTCCTCAACTGTGAGGTTGCACTTGAGACGGTCTCAGATGTGTCGCAAGCGATCGAGTGGACAACGGTTCGGGTCGTATATTAGACGCCACTTTACGTCTGCTCGGGCTAGCGCTCGTTCATGCACGTTCGGTCGCAAAGCCCACTGCCGTCGACGTCGCAGACACCGCATCCTTGCTCAAAGATCGTGACCATGCGAGCCGTCGAGCACCTTGCCAACTCGGGTCGCCTTGCATACGAAGACGACTTGTTTGCTTTCTCTTGCACCGAAATCGGTCACATTCAGAGCCTACAGTGCTTGAAGCACGACTCGATGTCCTCCATCGTTTCAGCCTTCGATGAACCGCTCTCAGCGATGAAGCTCCTCGACTTGGTTGCAACCGAGGCTCGTGTGCCTCTACGTCGCGGCGAGAAGACGCTCTTGACCCGTCTGAATGACACACGGCTCCGCTTCCGTCTCGTCGGTGCCAACGGCAAACCCGTGATCCAGGACGATGTAATGAAGACCAACTTGCTTCTCCAAGCCAGCCTCGGTCACATCGACGTCGATGACGACGTACTCGTCATGGAAACCCAAGCGTCGCTCGAGACTGCCGAACGCGTTGCGCACGCTGCGCTCGACTACGCCTTTGCTCGCAGCGCGGGACGCGGGTCTCTAGCGTGCTACCTGTTGTGGCGCTCCCTGCGCCTTCGCATGTGGGAAGATGCGTCGGGCTGCCTCGGACTACAGCAGCTCGATGCCGTCTCCGCTTCTGATGCCAAGCGCCTCGACGTTTGTGGCGTACACAACCTGCGCCAACTCCAGCGAGCGTCAGTCGGCTCGGTCCAAAACTTCCTCGGCTGTTCGACAGAGCACGCGATCAACATCTACGAGGCCGCCATCGCCATTTCGAGCTTCCGCTTGCGCCTCGTCTTCCACGCGGGCAACGCGGTTGGCGGCGGCCCGGCGGGCTCCCTCGAAGTTGTTGTCGAGCAGGAGCCGAGCGGGCGCAACGTGCACAACCTCACGCACAAGCGCGATGCGTATGACCTATTTGTGATCTGCGACGACACGCTTCTTCTCTTGGAGCCCTCCATTGACGCACCAACGTCGTTTGTCGTGCACTTGACGACCGAGACAAAGGCGGCTGCGCTCACTGCGCACCTGTTGCACGCAAGCCTCATCGGCATGGACGTCAACGTCGAGTGGCGCGACACCAAGACCATTGCCAAGAAGAAGGTCTATCAGTCCACGATCCCACAGAACTTTCTTCGCGACAGCGTCGCGGCCAAGCCAGCAATCTATTGCGAACCGACTGTGCCACCTCGCGCACAGGAGCCCGCGTCGGCGCCCGTGGACTTTAGCCGGTTCAAGTCCTCGGCGACTGCACCGACGCAAGACCCGAAAAAGCCCGCTGCTCGAAAGCCGTTGCCGAGCGCGGCAAAGGCACCGGCCGTCCACGTCATTCCACCCGAGCCCACGAGCCGCTGCCGCAAGAAGCGCCGGTTCCAGGCCTACGACCAAAGCGAACTGAGCGCGCTCGAGCTCGAGTTTATCAACGACATCTATTAAGACAGATTGCCCTCTCTCCGCATCGCCTCCTCCTCTCATCTTGTACTTCGGATAACGCGCTGGCAACCACGCGCGCAAACTCATGGCGCGAATGATGGTCTTTTGGAGCCATCACTCTCGGAGCGTTTTTGCCCGCGAACATTTACATACGACAGGTCGAGCGCAGTCCGGAAGTGCCCGCCATGAGCAAGCGCCAGCAGTCCATCATGTACGCACCGAATGGCATCTCTTCCGCGTGTGGCATCTCATGCGCACGGGCGTAGGTCGTTCTTCGGCTCCAAGCCCGCGGGGGACGAGCCGGCCGAGTCGCCCAAGGCCAAGCCGACGCCGGCAACGCCCGAGGCCAAGCAGCCATCAACGAAAAAACCGGCGCCAAAGAAGGCGACGCCCGCCAAAGAAGAGGCGGCGCCCAGGAAGAAAAAGGCGGGCGAAGCATCCGCGGCGCCGGGTATGCGCTGCCCACAACGAGCGTTTACCACGTTTTTGTGTGGCGTAGGTCTCCAAGCCAGCCTCGGTCACATCGACGACGATGACGACGACGATGATGACGACGATCCGTTTGCGTATGCATGCATGTCGTATCGCTCTAAAGAATGAAGCATCGTCGGTAGGACTAAGAAGACGCCTGCAAAGAAGCCGGTCGTCGAGTCGGACGACGAGCAAGAAGACGAGACGATGGGCGCACACGAGGACGAAGATGTTGCTGCTGATAACGTCGAGTCAGATGATGGCGTCAAAGCGCCGGAAGCCTCGGCGCCCAAGACGGCAACGACACCGAAGAAGGCAACGACTCCGAAGAAGGTGACAACCCCCAAGAAGACTGCAACGACCAAGACTGCAACGCCCAAGAGGGCAACAACACCCAAGAAGGAGCCTACGTCCAAGGAGCCAAAGCCGGCAGACGACACGACCGACAAGTACGGTCTTCGTCCAACGACCTATTCTGACATGCCTCCGTAGAAAACCGGCCGACGAGCTCTCGAGCGGATTCTTTGCCAAGAAGACCGAGACGCCCAAGAAGGAGTCCGCGGCAACGCCAGCCAAAGCCACGTCGACGGCCACCATGTACCAATTGCATCTAATCCAGTAGTAGTATCTAAGCTCACTATTGTGTTAGGGGCGACGTCACAGGGTACAAGGAAAGGAAAAGGACCCGACGAAGCGCGGCGGCTGGAAAGCTGGTGATGCCGTCCCGTATGCTGCGCTTGCGCGTGTGTTTGCTCTTATCGAAGAAACCTCTGGCCGGTACGCCCTCTGCATCATCTTCGTCGCAGGAGTCACGTTGTCTTTCTAGCCTCGTCATCCAGGACACCTTGGCCGACTTTCTTCGTAGCGTGATTGAGCTCACGCCGTCCGAGCTCGTGCCGTGCATTTACCTCTGCGTCTGCACCGAGCTCGCGCCGGCGTACGAGAACGTCCAAATTGGCATCGGCGATGCGATTCTCATCAAGTCGATTGGCGAAGCCACGGGCACGAACGCCAAGTTTGTCAAAGAACTCTATCAGAAGGAAGGCGACCTCGGCAAGGTCGCGCTCAACGCCCGCTCCAAGCAGAGCACACTCTTTACGTTCCAAAAGCCCAAGCTCCTCTCGGTGCAGAACGTCTACTCGGACATGGTCAAGATTGCCCGCATGGCAGGCAACAACTCGCAAGCGAGCAAGTGCTCGATCATCAAGTCGCTCCTCGTACGCTGCGACAAGGCGTCCGAAGAGGCCAAGTACGTCATTCGCGGCCTCCAAGGCAAGCTGCGCATTGGCCTCGCTGGCCAATCGATCCTCATGGCCCTCACGCAAGCCTTTCTCCACCCCAAAGAAGCCAACGACAAAATCAAGCAAGCGGTATCGTGTCGCATTCGACAGCCGAATCTAAGGCGTGATTAGGAAGCGCTCAAGTGCGTCAAGCGCGCGTTCTCGGAATTTCCCAACTACGAAACGCTCGCACAAGCGCTGCTGACGATCTATGATCGCGAGAACGGCGGGAAGGGCCTCCACGCACCGCAGTTTGAGGAGCTTGCAGCCATGTGCCACCTAACGCCGGGTGTGCCCGTCTCGCCAATGCTCGCGCGGCCGACCAAGTCGTACGCCATGGTCCTCGATCGGTTCCAGGACCAGCCATTCACGTGCGAGTACAAGTACGACGGCGAGCGCGCGCAGATCCACATCCTCGAGTCGGGCGAGATTAGCATCTTCTCGCGCAACTTTGAAAACAGTACCGAGCGCTTTCCCGACGTCAAGCTCAGCATCCTCAAGGTACATGATAAAAAACACAAATCTTATATCGATGTGCGTGTGTAGGCGGCGAGAAAGAACAACGTGACGAGCTGCATCGTCGACGCCGAGGTCGTCGCTGTCGACAAGACGACGAACCAGCGTCTTCCGTTCCAAGTGCTCAGTACCCGCTCCCGCAAGGTACGAACGACTGTCGATTGTCGCTGCGTCTCAAACTATCCATAGAACGTTGTCTTGAGCGACATCAAAGTCCAAGTCTGCATTTACGCATTTGACGTGATTTACCTCAACGGCGAAGTACGCCCATGCTACGCTCGAGTCGACGACTCCTAAGTTTGCTGTAGTCGCTGCTCAAGGAGCCGCTGCGGAAGCGCCGCGAGATCCTCGAGACCATGTTTGAGATCGAAGATGGCTCATTCGAGCTCGCAACGTCGCTCAACGTCACCAACACAAAGGAAGACGACATGGAGACGACCGTCGAGATCGTGCGCAACTTCCTCGAGGAAGCTGTGAAAGGCAACTGCGAGGGCCTCATGGTCAAGACCCTCGAGCAAGAAGCCACATACGAGCCGGCGAACCGGTCCCACAAGTGGCTGAAGGTCTGCTCCACTGGTCACTTGTGTTGGTGCTTATATAGGTCGTGGTGTAGCTCAAGAAGGACTATCTCGATGGCATCGGCGACTCGACCGACCTCGTGCCCGTCGGCGCCTTCTACGGCAAGGGCAAACGCACGGGTGTCTACGGCGCGTACCTCCTCGCGTGCTACGACCCCGAGACCGAGATGTACCAGTGCATCACCAAGCTCGGGACGGGTCTCTCGGACGAGGTCCTCCAGCAGTTTTACACGCAGTTCAAGGACAAGACGATCGACAAGCCGCGGAACGACTATGAGATCAACGACGCGATCAAACCCGACGTGTGGTTCGAGCCGAGCACTGTGTGGGAGATCCTCGGCGCCGACCTCTCGATCTCGCCCAAGTACACGGCCGCGATCGGCCACGTCGCCAAGGACAAGGGCATCTCGCTGCGCTTCCCGCGCTTCATTCGGCTGCGCGAAGACAAGAGAACGACGCAAGCCACGACGGCCGCCCAGATCGCCGACTTGTACCGCGCGCAGGGCCTCAACACGACCAACGACGGCGACAACGACGACGACGACCTCTTGTAGGCAATCGTGTATAGACGAAGCTACCAAACGTGCGGTGTTAAATCTCTCATTCCTTGGCAAATAAGATCTGTCAAGATCATCCGGATACGAGCAACTTCAACGTGAACTGCAACCGTCGACGTCGCCAGCATCACGATGCGAGTTGGCGCAGGAGGCAGCCATGGACATGGGCGTGGAAAAACCGATGGCGGCACGTCGGTTAAACGTTTAGCGTCGATGCGTGCAATCGACGTGCCGTTTTATGTCGATAAAAACGCGCTGCATAAACCCAGCAAGGCGTTTTACCTGCCAGGCGTTTTTCGCGTCACTTGTACAGTTACCAAAAGGCATGGAGCGCACAAAGCACCCGGCCGTCTTGATCCACGGTACGATTATCATCATGCGATCGACGGCGTAAGGTTGACGCGGAGATGTGAAGGTCTCTTTGGCTGGGGCAAACAGACCCCGTTCTACAACTGGGGCCCCAACTACTGGCCGATCAAGGACCTCGACGCGGTCAACCCCAACTACGTCTTGGTCGAAGTCGGCGTCGCCTCGTCCGACCACGACCGCGCGTGCGAAGTCTTCTACCAGCTCATGGGCGGCCGCGTCGACTATGGCAAAGCCCACGCGGCCGAGAAGAGTATGGCTGCTCATCGCCTTCCATGGATGACGTCGAGGATGGCGTAGAGCATGCGCGGTACGGCAAGACGTACGCGACGGCGCTGCATCCCACGTGGAGCGCCGCCAACCCCGTGCACCTCTTTGGCCACAGCTACGGTGCGACGACAGGTGCGTACTCGTTCTCGCAGGAGCCATCGATCGAGGCGTCGCGTGTAGCGCTGGAGCTCTACCAGCTGATCTGCGCCGACTTTTTCAAGGTCGGCAGCGACTACACGTGGGTCAAAAGCATCGTGTCGATCGCGGGTCCGCTGAGCGGCGCGACCATGAGTAGGCGACCTTGGTTGTCGTCGCACTGATTGACGACGAGGGCATAGGCCACATGTGCGGGCTCCAGGACGACCTCACGATCGAGGCTGGGAGCATCAACCACCTCATCTCGATCGCCGTCTCGACGCTCTGGAAGTTCCAGCAAGTGTTTCCGTTCCTTGAGAATGTCTACCCGATCCGCATGCCGCAGTGGCTCGCCTACTGTCGCTGGTCGACGATCTTCTCGGTCAACAACATGCCGCTCAAGACGGGCGACAGCGGTACCAACGACGATCTCGCTATTGTGTCTCTGCATAGAAGTTGGCGTAGCCTTTGACTGCCTCCTTCCGGCCTACCGCTTTGCCCGCAACAGCCAGCTCGTCCACATGGACAAGGTGCACCTGATGAGCATTGTGTCCAAGGATGACGAGACGACATCGCTGCACATCATTGACGTGGCGGGGCTGCTCCTGATTGCGCTCTTGTGGCGCCGGCGCGAGGCACCAACCCGCTCCTCCTGTTGCGCGTTGCTGACACATCTACGATGTAGAAGCACAAGTGGCTCTTGGGGCTCGTTGCCGTCGTGATGCTCCAGCGCTTGCGCTCTGTGGACATTGCCAAGCTGCCGTTTTTCCTGACGCACATTCTGCGGTGGCACGCGACGACAACGTCCAAGCCCATCTACGAAGGCACGACGCCATGCGCGACCGTTCTCATCTCGACCTAGGCTTTGAGAAGGACAAGTGGGCGGCCAACGACGGCGTCGTCAACACGTACTCGATGTTGTGCCCGCGCTACTGCGAGACGTATCCTGCGCAAAGCAGCGTGCCCAAGCAGGACCTCGCGCGCATCCCGTCGCACGTCTCGATCGACATGAGCGACCCCGTGCAAGTGCTTCCAACGGTACATTCTGTCAACTCTCTCGGCTGCGGTATGAGTCGACTTGTGCAGGGCATGTGGCACGTCTACCGCGTGGCGAAGAACCACTTTTGCGGCACGGCCGGCGACCGCGACGCCAAAGAGCTCTACACCAAGCTCTTTCGACTCCTCAACATGGCCAAGTAAGAAACACAATACGATGGACTATGGCGACTCGGTGTCCGAGCCACGGCTACTGCTACTGTCGGTAAAGGACAAGGCTCCGTCGTGCGCATAGTGCTGGTTGAGGATGCGGAAGAGGTTGATGTACAGAGCCTTGGCCTGCCCGTCAAAGTGCGTGCCACACAAGTGGTTCTTCTCGAGATGGTACGTGTGCCAGCGCCCGCGCTGGAGCTCGCCGTCGTCTTCGCAGTGTTTTTCGAGGTCGATGGAGAGGTGCGACGCCGACCGACTCAGGTCTTCGTGGACCGCCGCGTCGCGCTTGGTTGTGGCGTCCGGCCCATCGACCCGCGGGTACAGCTGTGAGTACGTGTTGACAATGCCGTCGTTGTGCACCCAGTGGTCGCTGTTGAAGCCTGCGTCCCGATGAGTTGTCAATTTCCCAGTGGTGGAGCCAAACGCACCGTCGTAGAGCGCGTCTTCGCCCATCTTTTCCGTGCGCTTGCGGATGAGCCACATGAGGCCCCAGAGGCTGGTGCGAGCTTTGGAGTAGTCGAGGCGCTGCAGCCGCGAGTAGACGAGTGCGAGCACCGTGAGGCAGAGCGAGCAGCGCGTGATGCGCGTCGGCCACAGCTTCTTGCGCCGGTAGAGCAGCACGACGAGCGCAATGCCAAGTGCCCACTCGCGCAGCTATGGCGTAAATACGTTGATACCTGCAATGGAGACAACATGGCAGCGTACTGGCACGTGGTGCTGGTCCTTGGCGTTGGTGACGATGCTGAAGAGATGAACCTTGTCCATGTGCACGAGCTGCTTGTTGCGCTGGACGCGGTAGTCGGGCAAGAGATCGTAGAGCGCTACAGAAGAGTCCAGTCTCACGCGGTCGCTGGTAGCAGGTCTACCGAGATCCTTGCTGGTATGCACGCGGTTCATCGTCGAGTAAAACATGTCCCAGCCCGTTTGGTTCATCCACTGGTCGAGGCCGAGGTCGTAGATACCCTTGAGCCGCGGAAAGATAAAATTCTGCACCTTCCACCACAGACCGATGCCCATAACGGCAACATGGCCGCCGCTGAGTACTGGCATCGGACGCTCGAGGTCGGCGCTCATGAGGTTCGTCAGCGTCGACCTGCATCTCAATATGAGCTTCCATGGAAGAGACGACGCATACCCCGTGAGCGGGCCCGAGATGCTAATGATACTCTTGACCCACGTGTGGTCACTGCCAACGCCGAACGCGTCTTGGCACAGCAGCTGGTAGAGCTCGATGGCTAGTGCACGCGACGAGTGAGCTGCGAAGGAGCAAGAAGATGGAGGCACCTGTCGTCGCGCCGTAGCTGTGGCCGAGGAGGTGCACGGGGTTCGCGCTGCTCCACGTCGGATGCATGGCCGTCTCCTTGGGGTACGTAGCGCCAAAGCGCAAGTGACCTGTACGACCAGCATCAACACGTGCGCAGCGAGCCGCCGCGTACCCATGCTGCACGAATGCTTCTCGCCGTAGTCGACTTGACCGCCGTAGACTTGGTAGAACGCTTCGCAAGCGCGGTCGTGGTCTGAGGATGCCTTCCCGACGTCCACGATGTGGTGGTTCGGGTTCACTTCATGGAGCGCCTTCACGGGCCAGTAGTTGGGCATGTAGCCGTACAGCGGCGACTTGTTGCCCCACCCAAAGACGCCTGCACATACAGCGCGTCAACCTTCATCGTAGAGATCCATGCTCGCAGTACCGTGGATGAAGATAACCGGGTCGCGCGTCGCTTCCATCTCTTGCTGCCCGCTGATGATGTTGCACTTTGCATTTCACATACGGCGGAAACCCTGCTAAGTGCGATACACAAGGGCGTCGATCCATGCGGTTTTATACCAAGAGCGAAGCGTACTTTATCGAGATTCCACACTTGCGTGTGACAGTAGTGTGTGACACATGTGGGTGTAAAATAAGAAATAGTGTACGATCGCAGAGAGACCTCGCGACGCCTGCCCCCTCAGCGGCGCATTCCTGAGGCGCAGCTAGCCCAAAGGGCTTTTTAAAGTGCACAGCTCCCATTCTCATGTGCAGTCCTCCCAATCTACCTCCTTCAACGCGATCTTTGCATATCTTTACACTATTTACACTATCACGTGTCTGACTACGTAAGCATCACCCCGACCTCTAACGTGACATCAACAAACCTGTGAGACTTCATGATCCAATCGGGTCTAAGAGGTTTTTGCAATTGGCCAACATGAGCGATGGCATGGCCGAGCTCGGGTTCAACGACGTCCCACGCGGCCAGATCCTCTTGGTCAACGACGTGGTCGAGGCCAATGGCTGCTTCCTCCTCCACCATCTGACGTCCATGGCTGTCCGAGCAGGTAGACCCAGCTCTACCCGCCCTCCGTGACGCCATGTGGCTAGAGCAACGGGTGTGCATGCTCGCCCTTAGCAACAGCGTCGAGCAGTATACCAGCGTGGGCCGCAAGATGGTACGCACTGCTATGGCTCGTGATAGACGCTGTATCTGTGTGTAGGGCGTGAACGTACAAGCAGCGATCGCGCAGCAGCGCTGGCTGCACATCGATGGCTTCTCGCGCCCGTACGACTGGTGCGCTACGGCGCCGACCGACGGTTCGTTCAGCATGACCGACGCCGCCACGACCAGCGACTTGCACGCGCTCTTTCTGCGCGTCCAGTCATTTGTTGCCGCAGACGCTTGCGTCCTTGTGATCGACGACCTCACGGCGCTGGCGGCGTTCTACGGCGTCGCTTCAACGCTTGCGTTTGTCCGCTACTGCCGCCACCTTGCTCTGACAACCGAGGTATTGCGTCTACTGGGATGCAAAGGGCTCATGGGACTGTTCTAGTCGACCTTGCTCATGCTCGTGCACGGCGACGTCGACTGCGAGGATCATGCCACGGCTTTTGTACGTTCTCTTGGACACGACGAGGCATCTAGATGCGAGTGGTCGTAGATTCCCGCCGTGACGGACTTGGCATCGACGGTACTCACGGTGCGCGGCCTCGAGAGCGGCTACTGCAAAGACATCCACGGCTCGGTACTGGCCGCACGCCTCCACAGTTCCTCCATGTGTGCTGCGTAGGTGACCGTCACGCCCCGGCGGCAGCCTTCGTCGCGACCCGTCTCCTCGATACTGGCCAAGACGCTGCAGTTTAAACTCGTCGAGTCGGGCATGCGGTCGATCCGCGCCGGTCTCGATGTCTAAAAACATCGTTGTTAAAAAATAATTAAAAGGCGCAGACGAGGAGGAATCGAACCCCTGCCACGCTAATGGCCCACGGTTTTGAAGACCGCGCCCAGCACCAGCCAGGATCACGCTTGCATTCGTTGGTCTATTTTGCGCAAACCAATTAAAATGTAGCAATCGGTTCTTAGTCCTATAAGATTCTGCTGGGATGCGATCATTGGCATCGCAGGAAGGGCGGAGATTGCTGGGGCCAAGGAACGTTGCTCGAATCTCTGGCGTGCTGGTCTTTGCGGCCGATGCCTCGCCTACTGCGGTGTATCGAGCGCGTACCTCATTGCGTAGACAGGACGCATGCGCTCTGGAAGGGCCGCTTGCGGTGTCCGCGATCAATTGCTGAGGTCTTGCAGCCATTTTTCTACCAAGTGCAAGGGTAACCACGGTGACTCACATCACCTCGTTTGCCTATTGGCTATAAAGATGGCCTTTCACATAATTGCGCAATGTGATTGGTCCTGAAGGATGCTGCTAGCAGGATGCCATCTTGCTCAAAGTGCAAGATGATGCACCGCGCAGTCGTCCTCGCCGCGCTCGTCGCCGCGAGCGATGGCCTCAGCTACTCGATCAACGGCTGGTACCAGTGCAGCCTCAACTCCGAGTTCACGCCCGACGAGGCCTCGTCCATGGCCGCCGCCGACACGTCCCGGGCCTTCATGGCCCAACGCCCGCCCAACCCGTGGAACCGGCAATTCGATTTCAAGCTCGACGCGCTGGACGACTACTTTGCTGCGAACAAGAAGACCAAGCCGTCACAGACCGTCGTGCCCGAGTGCGCCGAGGTCCAAGTGCCGCTGTGCCACACGGGCCTCTGCACGTCGCCCAAGCTCATCGAGTCGTTCGTCAAGCGCATTCCGGCCTCGAGCAGCCTGCGCGGCAAGAAGGCTCTCCTTCTCTTGCAGGGCGGGCCTGGCGCATCGTCCGTCAACAGTACGACATCGATGATGCTTCGTCTCAAGCGTTGCTGATGCATAACGGCTGCTGTAGTGGAAGGACTCATGGCCAACCTCTACTCTCTGCTGGACGGACAGTTTAGCATCTACACGCTCGACCACCGAGGCACGGGCCGGTCCTCCCTCCTCGACTGCGAGGCGTCGCAAGCGACCGCCGCTGGTAGCCCGAGCGGCGCCACCGTCACGATCGACGAGCTGCCCTCGTGCCTCTCCGATCTTAACTATCAGTTCGGTACACTGCACCCTTCTCACGTGATGGCGACGACGACTCATGCTGCTTGCAGGCCTCGATGCGAGCGCCTACTCCGTCTCGAGCGCGGCTGCCGACTTGAACTACATCCTCACGATGGACCCGGATCTGTCGACCTCGGATGTCTTCGTCTACGGCGTGAGCTACGGCACGTACCTCGTCGAGCGGCTCATGCACTTTGCGCCGCCCAACGTGCGCGGGTACCTCCTCGACAGCGTCCAGGCAGAGACCTTTCCGTCGTCCGACGCGAACCTCGCGGGCTACTACTCCAACTGGGACCGGGACTATGGCCAAGTCGCAACGCGCTTCTTCAGTCTCTGCGACGCCGACGCGTTCTGCGCCTCGCAGATTGGCCCGTCGTCCCAAGCCAAGCTCATGGCGCTCTACGAAGCCCTCGATAAGAACGCATCGGCGTGCGCGACGCTCCTTTCGAGCTCCGAGCCGCCGTCCTGGACGCTGCGCAAGATCTTTGCCGGGCTCTTCATGGACATGAACAACCGGGCGCTGATTCCCGCGATCATCAAGCGCCTTGGTCGCTGCAACGCCGAAGACGTCCAAGTGCTCTCCGCCGCGCTCTCGGTCACGGCAACTTCGCCGTCCACAGTGAGCTACGTGCGCGGCAGCGACCTGCTCTACAACACGATCGTTTTCTCCGAGATCTGGGAGCCGCAGACCGAGGCGTACCTTAAGGAACTCTTCGCGGCCGAGCCCATTGCGAGTGGCTTGTACGACGGCATTACGCCGCAGTACTGCCTCGTCATCGGCAGCGCGACGGGTCCGATTTGCGCCGGGCAGGCCAAGGCCAAGACAAGAGGCTTCAAGTATACGCCGATCAAAGGCATTTGGAACACGACGGCCGCGATCCCAGCGAACGCGAGCGTCCTCATCCTCTCAGGCGGCCTCGACCCGCAGACGCCCGCCAAGTACGCAACGCTCCAGTTCGAGAGCATGCGTGGCGACCAGAAAAAGCTCGTGCACTTCCCGTTTGCGGCCCACGGCGTTATTAACACGACGCCGATGACGTCCAATGGATCGCTGCCCTGCGGCTACAGTGTCATTGCGTCCTTCCTGCAAGAGGACGGCGACGTGCGCGCGATGGACGTCTCGTGCGTGGACGGCGTCGCGCCCATGACGTTCCGCGTCCCGACAGACGTCGCGCAGTCGACACTCCTCACGAGCGATGCGTTTGACGGCGCGTACGACCCGTCGCTCGCCGTCGCCGGCAAGAAGGCGAGCGCGGTGACCGCCCTCATGAACCAGAGCCAAGTGCCTCTGATCGTCGTGTCAGCGCTCTTTGGCCTCTCGATGCTCGTCATCCTCGCCCTCGGGCTCGCGCTCCGAAGGCAGCAGGCGCGGCTCCAGAAAGGTCCGTCGTACGAAGCCGACACAGCGCCATGATTGATCCAGATATAAGAACACATTTTCGATTGGTGACCACTGCTGCATGAGCCTGCACGAGAGTATGCAGACATGGCTCGACGCCACCGTCCGGAGTATGGCAACCTTCGCGCAAGTGGCGTGCCGCGCTGCCATGTGCGCATGGCACCAAGCACAACGAGGGTGCGCCATGCTGATGCTCGCAGATCGCAATGCGCTGTTGACAGAGGTTTGGATTCCCGATAGAGATCTTGGATTGGTTGAAATATTCTTATTTTAGCCAATGGCATCGGGCGAAAAGAGCCATCGTTCGAATTTCGACTCGCGGTCCACACAAACAAGCCCGAGCACAATGGCCGACGAAGTGGACTACGACTCGGACTCGAACGCGATGCAGGAGGACACGGAGCACTCGCGCAGCGCGGCCCGCTCCTTCAAGGGCCGCGGGGCTCGGCTCGGCGGCATGGTCAGCGACAGCAAGAACTTCAAGCGCGTCGGTGCCAGCGATACCAAGTCCAAGGTCCTCGGCGAGAAGAGCGTCGAAGGCTACGTGCTCTTTGTGAGCAACGTGCACGAAGAGGCGCAAGAAGAAGACCTCCTCGACGCCTTCCAAGAGGTCGCTGACGTGGCCAACATCCACCTCAACCTCGACCGCCGGACGGGCTTTGTCAAAGGCTACGCGCTTCTCGAATTCAAGACGGCGGAGGACGCGGCCGAAGTCATTGCGGAAATGAACAACAAGGAGCTTCTCGGCCAGACGATCAAGGTTGACTGGGCGTTTGTGAAGGAGCAGAGCGGCGGCAACCGCCGTGGTGGTGCCAACCGCAGCCGGCGGCAGTAAACGAAGCGCCCTCTCCGCGCTCATACCTTTGCATACTCTTCTTCTAACTCGACCCCGATAAGCACACCGAACGATATGTCGCTACGAGCTCGTCTGTACGTCTTAGTACTAGAGGCAACATTGCAATCACCACACGCTATATTAGATACCACACTGTACGCCTAGTAGGGCGTCATGAGCACCGTGCGCGCCTTGGCCTCCTTCTCGCGCTTGCGAGCGATGAGCCACGCGCCGCCCCAGAGGATGCACGCCCACGCGAGCCACCCGTACGAGAAGGCGAGCGTCTTCTGGAGGCCAGCCTTGTTCTCGTTACAGCGCGGGTCGAGCTTGGGCTCGTTGTTGATGATGACACTGCCGCACTGCGGCGCCCACATGTCCTTGAGCGCGCCGAGGATCATGGGCGACGGCACATCGCCAAAGAGATGCAAAAGCAGCGTGTTGAGACCCATGGCAAAGCCGCGACGGCGGCGCGAGACGCTGAGCAGAATCACGATCGTCGTCGCGGGCTGCGTCGAGAACATGAGGAGGAGCCCGATGCCAAAGGTCACGAAGAAGACGATCTTGGACTCGATGAAGATGAGCGACGCGAAGAGGAACGCGAGGCCCGACGTCATCATGACGAACATCTGGAACGCCGCCGTCTTGCAGCGGTACTCGTCGTCGTCTTCGTGGCCCTTGCACGCGCGGTCGACGAGCCAGCCGCCGAGCGGCGACCCAATGAGACCCGCGAGGACCGCGACGCCGCCAAAGACGGTCGCGGCAATCGACTCGCTGAGGATGCCGTGGCCGATGAGGATCGCCGGCGCGAACGCACCCATGCCCGCGAGCGTGAACGAGTACGATGCGAGGCCGAGCGACGAGCAGAGGAAGAGCGGGCAGCGCACGATGGCCCAGACTTCGCCGAGGACCGAGACCTTCTCGTCCGGGTGGGTGGTCTGCATCATGAGGTCTTCGTCGAGCTCCTGGTCCTTCAACGGCGCGTGGCCCATCGGCAGATCAAACTGCGTCGGGATCCACTTCCAGCACGCCCATGCCATCGGGAACATGATGACGGCCGTGATGTAGAAGCCGATGTCCCACCCGATCGTCTGGGCCGTGATCGAGCCGTACGAGTAGCCGACGGCGGTACCCGCCGAGAGGCCGGCGTAAAAGATGCCGAGCCACAGCGTGCGCTTCTCGGGCGGTGCGAACTCGTCGATGAACGGCGGCGCGGTCGCGTGGAACGACGACTCGCCGATACCGGAGACGAGGCGACCGATGAGGAGCGCCGTGAAGCTCTGGAGCGGCTTGGCGAGGCCGCAGAGCACGATGGCGAGCACCCAGATGAAGAGGCCGATGGCCGCGAGCAGGAACGGGCGGCGGGTCATGGACATGTAGCCGAAGATGCAGATGAAGACCGAGTAGGACGCGATGAAGGACGAGACGAGGACGCCGATGTAGAAGCTCACGCCGCTCGGATCGACGTTGTACGTCTCCTGCACGAAGAGCTGGAACTGCACCGGCGCGCCCGGGATGATGCCCCGGTCCACGTAGTTGAGCAGGTTGATCGCGCAGAGGAGCGCGAAGATGTGCGTCGCATTGTTGAGCTTGAAGCCCATGGCGCCGATCTGACAATGGCCGACGCAGTGCAAAGGGACATCCGGATGGTCGGGCAGATGCGTCCGGATACCAGATGTGAGCAACGCCGGGTTTTTCCCGGAGATTCACTCGAGGCCCACGTTGCTGATATACAAGCATTGCGATCGTCGAGTTGTACGCAGGATGGAACATGGCGCTCGCAAGCGAAGGAAGCGCATGGGCGCATGTCGGGCCGGCAGAGACGAGCATGCAGGAAGAAGGCAGCCTAGAAGCAAGGCAAGGAGGACGTGGCGGTGGTAGTGGTTGTCTCTGGTTGTCCCGTTCCACCCGCCATGCGGACGGTCCGTGAGTGGGACTCGGCGTGTGTATCTATAGCCGGTCGCCACCTGCCGTTGGCATGTATATTCTGGCGAAGATGAATGGCGACGGACGATGCAGATGTAGGTACCACGTGCGCCAGCAGCAATCAGACGCTCCGAGTCGACTAAACAGGCACAGTGGTGCGGAACGCTCGCCGCACGCGCGCGCAAGGTGCGCCGAGAGCCTAGCTGCTTGAAGCTCAAGCAGCCGAGAGAAGCAACTCAGAGCCATCGTTCTCCCAAGCAATTTTAGTGAAGCAGTAGCCACCCAAGTAAGCTTCGGTGTCCCTGCGGCTAGCAACCGAGTGCACCCGAATCCAGCCCGTCCAGCCCACGCACCCACCCACGACAGCCTCCCAAGATCGTCGCTCGTTGTGCACGGACGCGGAAGAGACGCGATGTAGCATGGCTTCCTCGAGGCCTTCATCACGGCGCGCCAAGGACGGGATCTCGGTCGTTCTTCGGCCCTGTGTCGGCTGCCACCAGTTAGTATTTAGGTGCCATGGCCTATGCGGCGCTTGGCTGAGCGAGGCGCGACAGCCGCATGTATATACTGGCTACAGTCGGAACCGACTTGCGTGTCTAGCCACACAGGCGCATGAGCAGAAGCTTCTTCGGAAGAGCTTGATAACGCCGCAACGTCGAGCAGCTGAGCAGCACGTGGGCACAACTGATCGGACGACGTTGCACGTGCTACCCTCTCGACCAATGCAGCGCGTGTACTTCTATCTCTCTGCGCTCCGCATATCTCTCTCTCATGCGATGTTTCGCGTGCGACGGTCGGCAGATGGACGAGTGCAGAACGCTCTCTGGGAGCACATGGCAGCGAGTCTCATGCGTTGAAGACAATGTCTTGGACACGGTCGAGGAAGGCGGGAAGGGTCACGGCCGCGGACGCGTCCTTGGTGCTGTCGAACGAGTCGCGCACCTTGAGGAGAATGGTGACGCTCGTCTTGCGCGTCGCCTGCGCCGCCTCGATCGCGCCGAGGAGCGCCGAGCACTTGACCTCGCCCGTGGAGCCCGTGTCGATCGAGAGGAAGAGGTCTTCGGCTTGGGCGAGGAGCGCTGCAGGATGCGCTCATGAGCGACCGTCTACGCACACGACGTCGTACCGTCGTAGTAGATACAGAGCTCCATAGCCTCCTTGAACTTGACGTAGCCGACACCGGGCGTCTTGGGCAGCGCCGACGTGTTGATGAGGTGCGTGTTGAGGCGCGATGCGTGTGCCGACGGGAGCTCCTGGTTGACGAGCTCGAGCACACGCTGGAAGTTGCTCATGGAGACGTGCTCGTGGTCCTTCCCCAGTAGCGCCTGGTACGCCAGCACCATGTTGTCGTCGAACGCGGGGTTCGACAGCCGCGTCGACGCCAGCACATAATGCGCGCTCGTCTCGACGGCGCTGAAGTCGCCGCTCAGCATCTTGAAGCTACAGACGACGATGGATGCATGCATGCCTCGCGGAAGCGTACTGCTTGGTGAGAAAGACCAGCGGTTCCTCGGGTCGGTTCTCGACGAGGTGCGTGATGGCCTCCTCGAGGAGCAGCGTGGCCTGCGTCCGCTCTACACCAGCATGAGCTACGCGCAGCCATGGCTCGACGCACCGAGGTAGTCGTCGGTCGTCATCTTGAGCAGCTCGCGCGACGTCGTCGCGTTGCTGCCCGAGTTCATGCTCCGCGTGGAAAATGTAGAAGATCCCACCCCACTTGTGTCTTTTAATCCCAGATCGCGTTCTTTTAATACCACCACGTTTTCTTTTTGTACGTGTTGCACGCTGGAGGCCGACACGTCACGTGGTCATGGGCGTCGTGCGTAGCGATGGGCATCGCCGGCGCTGCGTTGGCAAATGACAACGGCGTCGTGCGCGCCTACAATGTACACGACGCGGCGAGGTGAATAAAAGAAAATGGAACGCGCTCTTTTATTCCGGTATCCGGGACGCCGGATAATGACCGCGAACGATTGGTCGATTCGGGTTAGCGTACGAGAGGAGGAGAGTGCAAGATGGCCGAGGACGCAGCCCGTGGCCGGCAGTACGCCTACCAGAACAACTCGAGCCTCGTGCTCGAGTCGGACACGCGCCGGCGCCACAAGGATGAGCCCACGGGCGAGGTTGAGTCGCTGCGCGGGCGCATCAACTACCCCATGGGCAGCCTCGCCCGCCGGGCCGAAGCGCCCAAGATGCCCAAGAAGCGCAAGCAGGAGACCTCGGACTCGGGGCTCTCGGTGAAGAAGCTCTTTGTCGGCGGCCACAAGGACATTCTGAAGCGCACCGAGGAGTCCTTCAGCTACGTGCCCTCCAACGATGTGAGCCGTGCGGCGTACGAAGAACTGCTACAGATCATGACGCAGTACTTGGGCGACCAGCCGTCTGAGATCATGGCTGACGCGGCCGAAGAGGTCCTTCAGATTGTCAAGAGCGAAGCGTACCGCGACGACGAAAAACACAGAGAGACGGCCAAGCTGCTGCAAGGGCTGCCTGCCCACGAGTTCAACCAGATTGTGGGCATGGCCAAGCGGATGCAAGACTTTCGCGTGCAGACGGCCGAGACCACGGACGACGCACCAAACGAAGACGACGACTTGGACAAGGACATGGGCGTCGCCGTCGTCTTTGACGAGGAAGAAGACGAGGCGTCGGACGTTGGCGAGATTCAGGACGTGGACGACGACGACGACGTACGGCATGCACCTTGCATCTCGGGTCATTAACACGCATTGTAGGACGAAGACATGGAGCGCGAGGGCATGCGCGTCAACCAAGCGATGGACGACGACGAAGACCGCGACGACGGCTTAAACGTCCACGACATTGATGCCTACTGGCTGCAGCGCCAGCTTGGCCAGTGGTACAAGGACGCCGAGATGAGCGACCGGCTCGCAGAAGAGGTGCTTCTCGTGCTGCGCGAAGCGGACTTGGGCGCGTGCGAGAACAAGCTCGTGCTGCTGCTCGACTATGACAAGTTTGAGTTTATCAAGCTCCTTTTGACGAACCGCGCCAAGGTGTTTTACTGCACGCGGCTCAAGCAGGCGCAGTCAGACGCTGAGCGCGACGCGATCGAGGCCGAGATGCACAACGACCCGGCCGGCCCCGGCATCTTGCATGCGCTGGCAGCGACGACGTCGGCCGAAGGCTGGATGCAGGCGCGCCTCGGCGCCATGGAGACCGAGACGCGCGCGGCCGCCAAGAACCTCAAGAAGATGGCGCTGGACGGCAGCGCGTCCGACGCGGTCGACGCCGAGGCCGCGAGCGTCCGGCCGCTGCACACGCTGGACGTCGAGTCGCTCGTCTTTGCCGAGGGTAGCCACTTTATGAGCAACAAGGACTGCGCCTTGCCCGAGGGCACGTGGCGCGCGCAGAAGAAGGGCTACGAGGAGTACCACGTGCCGGCGGTCAAGGCCAAGGTCGCGGCCGAGGAGGAGAAGAAGCGCAAGCTCATTTCGTCGCTGCCGTCCTGGATGCACGGCGCCTTTCCCAAGATGGAGTCGCTCAACCGCGTGCAGAGCAAGATGTACTCGGCGGCGTTCGAGTCGGGCGAGAACCTCCTCTTGTGTGCGCCCACCGGTGCGGGCAAGACCAACGTGGCCATGCTGACCATCATGCACGAAGTGAGCAAGGCACGGAACCCCGAGACGGGCGTCATCGACCTCAACTCGTTCAAGATCGTGTACGTGGCGCCCATGAAGGCGCTCGTGCAAGAGGTCGTCGACAACCTCACGCAGCGACTCACGGCCGCGTACGGCATTGAAGTGCGCGAGCTCAGCGGGGACCAGAACCTCAGCCGCGAGCAGCTCTTCCGCACGCAGATCATCGTGACGACGCCCGAGAAGTGGGACATCATCACGCGCAAGTCGGGCGACGACCGCACGTATACGCAGCTGGTGCGCCTCATGATCATTGATGAGATCCATCTGCTGCACGACACGCGCGGCCCGGTGCTCGAGGCGCTCGTCGCGCGTACGATCCGCAACGTCGAGAGCACGCAGCAGATGGTGCGGCTGGTGGGCCTCTCGGCCACGCTGCCCAACTACGAGGACGTCGCGACGTTTCTGCGCGTCAAGCCGGAGAAGGGCCTTTTCTACTTTGACTCGTCGTACCGCCCGGTGCCGCTCCAGCAGCAGTACATTGGCATCATGGAGAAGAAGGCGATGAAGCGCCACAAGATGATGAACGAGATCTGCTACGAGAAGGTCATGGAGCAGATGAAGCAGGACAACCAAGTGCTCATCTTCTGCCACTCGCGCAAGGAGACGGTCGCGACCGCGAAAGCGCTGCGGGACATGTGCCTCGAGCACGACACGCTCTCGGACCTGCTCCCGCCCAACTCGGCGTCGTCCGAGGTACCATTCTCTCTTGTTGCGCACGTGTTTCTTATAAACGAGGTGTAGATCCTTCAAACCGAGGCCGAGAAGAACGTGCACAGCGACGCATTGAAGGAGATCCTCCCGTTTGGCTTTGGCGTGCACCACGCCGGCCTCAAGCGCGAAGACCGATCGCTCGTCGAAGCGCTCTTTGGCGATGGTCACTGCCGCGTGCTCTGCTGCACGTCGACGCTGGCGTGGGGCGTGAACCTCCCGGCGCACACGGTCATCATCAAGGGCACGCAGATGTACTCGGCCGAAAAGTCCGAGTGGGTCGAGCTCAGCGCGCTCGACATTCTGCAGATGCTCGGTCGCGCCGGCCGCATCCAGTACGACACGCAAGGCGAAGGCATCATCTTGACGCAGCACGCACAGCTCAAGTACTACTTGAGTCTCATGAACCAGCAGCTGCCTGTCGAGTCGCAGCTTTTGAGTCGCCTTGCGGACCAGCTCAACGCCGAGATCGTCCTCGGCACCGTCCAGAACCTCTCGCAGGCGGCCACGTGGCTCGGCTACTCGTACCTGTACGTGCGCATGCTGCGGGCGCCGACGTTGTATGGCATTTCCGTCGACGAGCTCGCGTCCGATCCCGGCCTTCTCCAGCGCCGCGTCGATCTGTGCCACGCTGCGGCGACGCTGCTGGCCAAGCACAACTTGATCAAGTACGAACGCCGGACGGGCCACTTCCAGGTCACGTCGCTCGGCAAGGTCGCGTCGCACTACTACATTGCGCACGACTCGATCTCGACGTACAACGAGTACCTCAAGCCGCACATGTCGGACATTGAGCTCTTCCGGCTCTTCTCGCTCTCGCACGAGTTCAAGTACGTCATGGTGCGCTCGGAAGAGCGCTTGGAGCTCGAGAAGCTCCTCGAACGCGTCCCGATCCCGGTGAAAGAAGCTCTCAACGTCAACGTCCGCAGCAGCAACAGCGGCAGCGCCAAGGTCAACGTGCTCCTGCAGGCGTACATTTCGCGCCTCTCGCTCAACGGCTTCGCGCTCCTCGCCGACATGGTCCATATTCGCCAGTCGGCCGCGCGTATCTGGCGCGCGCTCTTCGAGATTTGCTTGCACCGCGGGTGGGCGGCGATGGCCGAGAAGGTGCTCACGATCTGCAAGATGGTCGACCACCGCATGTGGCTCAGCCACACGCCGCTGCGCCAGTTTCCGTCGCTCTCGGACGCCATCTGCCGCAAGCTTGAAAAGAAGGACATTCCGTGGGAACGCTACTTTGACTTGTCGCCGGCCGACATTGGGCAGCTTGTCAACATGCCCAAGCTTGGGAAGGAGCTGTACACGCTCGTGCACAAGTTCCCGAAGCTCGAGCTCAGCGCCGCGGTCCAGCCCATCACGCGGTCGCTGCTCAAGGTCGAGCTCAGCGTGACGCCCGATTTCGAGATGGAGGCCAACAACGAAGGGTTCTGGGTCCTCGTCACGGACGTGGACGGCGAAGCCATCGTGCATTACGAGTGGCTCCTCCTCCAACGCCGGTACGGCCAGGAAGAGGCCTACCTCAGCTTTACGATCCCGTTGTTTGAGCCCCTCGCGCCGCTCTACTACCTGCGTGTCCTCAGCGACAAGTGGCTCCACTGCGAACACACGCTGCCGATTTCATTCCAGGATTTGATTCTCCCGACCAAGAACGCGCCGCCGACGGAGCTGCTGGACTTGCAGCCGCTCGCCGTGACGAACGTGCTCGCCAAGGCCTGCGTGGCCGCCGGCCTCAAGGACGCGTCGCTCGTGGCCAAGCTCAAGGCGGGCCTCGAGGCCGGGCCCGACGGCTGGCACTTTACCAAGCTCAACCCGATCCAGACCCAAGTGCTGCCCAAGGTGCTTGAGAGCAACCACAACGTGCTGGTGTGCGCGCCGCCGGGCAGCGGCAAGGGCGTCGTCGCCGACGCCGCGCTCCTCCGCCTCTGCCTCCAGTCGTTTGACGACCTCGCGAGTGTCTTTTGTGTCTTTGTGACGCCCAAGCCGAGCCGCGCGCGCCAGCAGCTCGCCGACTGGTCGACCAAGTTTGGCGAAAAGAGTCTCTGGGAGCTCAGCGTGGTGGCGCTCACGGGCGATGCGACCGCGGACCTCAAATTGCTCCAGGCCAACGTCGTGATTGCGACGCCCGAGCAGTGGGACGTGCTGAGTCGTCGGTGGCGCAAGCGCCCGCGCATCCAGCAAGTGTCGCTTTTCATCACCGAGGACCTCCAGTTCCTCGGCGGCGGCGAGTACGGCCCGACGATGGAGATCGTGCTTTCGCGCATGCGCTTCATTGGGAGCCAAGTGGAGGACCACAGTATCCGCATTGTGGGTCTGGCCAACCCGATGGCCAACGCGCGGGACCTCGGCGACTGGCTCGGCGCCTCGAACGAAAACTGCTTTACGTTCCACCCGAACAACCGGCCGCTGCCGCTCGAGGTGCGCGTGCAGGGCTTTGAGATCAACCACTTTGCGTCGCGCATGCTGGCGATGGCCAAGCCCGTCTTCAACACGATCGCGCACCAGGCCGATGGGAAGCCCACGATCGTCTTTAGCCCCTCGAGCAAGCAGGCTCAGCTCAGCGCCATCGATCTCATCACGTTCGCGCTGGCCGAAAACGACCCGAAGCGCTTCCTCCTTCGCGACGACATGGAGTTCGAGCTGCCGTCGACCGACGATGCACTCCTCGAGACGCTCAAGGCCGGCGTCGGCTACATCTCGGAGGCGATGCGCCCGTCCAACCGCGAGTACGTGCTCCACCTCTTCCGCAACGGTGTGCTCCAAGTGCTGCTCGTGCCGCACTCGCTGTGCTGGGACCTCGCCCACGTGCACGCGTACCTGGTCGTGATTATGGGCACGCAGTCGTACGACGGCAAGGAGCACCGGTACGTCGACTACCCGCTCGCAGACGTGCACCGCATGACGTGGTTTGCGAACCGGCCGCTCGAGGACCACAACGCCAAGTGCACGGTGTTTTGCCACTCGTCCAAGAAGCGGTTCTACACCAAGACGCTCTACGACCCGCTGCCGGTCGAGTCGCAGCTCGAGTACTTTCTGAGCGACCATCTGAACGCCGAGGTCGTGACCAAGACGATCGAGAGCAAGCAGGACGCGGTCGACTACCTCACATGGACGTTTTTGTACCGGCGTCTGCTCAAGAACCCCAACTATTACCAGATGCACGGCAGCACCAACGTGCACCTCTCGGACCACCTCTCGGACATGGTCGAGCGCACGGTCAACGGCCTCGCCGAGTCGCGCTGCATTGCGGTGGCCAACGAGCTCGACCTCTCGCCGCTCAACCTCGGCATGGTCGCTGCGTTCTACTACATTCGCTACACGACGATCGAGCTCTTTGCGTGCAGCGTCTCGGCCACCTCGAAGCTCAAGGCGCTCCTCGACATTCTCGCGTCCGCCTCGGAGTTTGACTCGATCGCGGTCCGGTACGGCGAAGACCGCGTCCTCGAGAAGCTCGCCAAGCACCTCGTGTGGCCCGTCGCGCCGCCGTACACGGCCATCCACGTCAAGGTCCACATCCTGCTGCAGATGCACTTTAGCCAGCAGCACCACCGCCTCTCGCCGTACCTCAAGGCGGATCTGGACACGATTCTGTCGGCGTGCGTCCGTCTCTTGCACGCGATGGTGGACGTCATCTCGTCCAACGGGTGGCTCAAGCCGGCGCTCGCGACCATGGATCTGTGCCAGATGATCGTGCAGGGCCTCGAGCACAAGGCGTCGCCGCTCTTGCAGATCCCGCACGTGACGCAAGACGTGGTCGAGGCCATCAAGGACCACAACGCCGAGACGGACGACGACGACGCGGTCGTGGAAACGCCGCTCGACATTCTCAGCGTCGACGACAGCGTCCGGTCCAAGCTGCTTCCGTTCTCGACCTCCAAGATGGCGCAGGTCGCGGCATTTTGCAATGCGTACCCGGACGTGGCCCTCGAATCCGAGATTGAAGACCCAGCCGAGATCACGACGGGCGACGCCATCACGGTCAACGTGTCGCTGACGCGCGAAGGCGCTGACGAAGACGATGATCAAGAGGAAGACGATGCGACCGTCGGGCAAGTCCAGGCGCAGTTCTACCCTGGCCAAAAGGTCGAAAACTGGTGGGTCGTGGTCGGCGACCCGGCGACGAACGCGCTCGTGAGCATCAAGCGCATCCCGCTGCAGCAAAAGGCGGCGATGCGCGTCGAGTTTGCGGCGCCGACGACGCCGGGCACGTACAAGTACACGCTGTACGTCATCTGCGACTCGTACCTCGGCTGCGACCTCGAGAACGAACTCGAGTTTACGGTCGCCCAGGGCCGCGACACGTCCGGCGACGACGACGACGACGACGAGTCGGCCAAGGAGTAAGCCTTTGGTATATACTAATACATAATGATTCTTGGTGAACTGTCGTGTCCTTGGAAGGAGGAGGCCAAGTGTCCAAGGCAGTGGGTGAGGTCGCGGCGTAGAGCTTCAAGCGGTGGTAGCGCATCCACCTTTGTCGTGCAGCCGAGTGGTCGAAGCACACTCTGCCGCGGTGCGCTTTCATCGCGTCGAGCATCGGGAGACGAACGGGGTTCGTGTTGGAGGCCGCCGCCGCCCTAGAAGGGACTGGTGGGTGGGTTCAAAGAGCGTTCGGTTGCTTGGAAGATTGGAGCTTGACGATCAAATCGCAATACGGTTGCGCCGCCATCTTGGGTCAAAAGGCGGCTCGGCAAAGCGGTTCAAGATTGCCTCCCTTGCTTGGCCTTGGTCCAAAAACACAGCTTCACGCTCTGAAGGGCCTCGGTTGCACAGCTACGAGCCACAGCACCTTGTCAATGCGACGCCCGTTTCGCAAGATCAACAAACGATCGCTTTCTTCGATTCCTCTGCACGCGAAACATCGACGTTGAATGCTATTTTTGATGGTTGTGTCCCTAAGTTCTGACTCACTTTCCCAATCAAGTGGCGAACCCGCGACGCTGGCGCTCAAACTTGCTCTCGGAGATGGTCAAGCGCATCTCGACCCTTCACACCGTCGCCATGGGGGCCCTCTCGACACGCGCCTGCATTTGGGAGTCGTCCGGTGACATGATTCTTGGCAACGTGACGCTGCACTGCGCCGACGTCGCAGCCGGTAGTCGCTTGATGCCAACGAACGCGAGCGCACCGATGGTCTGGTCCGACGTCGGCGACGCTTTCGGCGTGTTTGCGCTGGAAGACGCAACGAGCCGCCGTCTCAACAGTGCCAATGACAGCACCGTGTACAACACGACAGTGGTCGCAGTAGAGTCCGGTGCGTACTCGGTCGTCGTCGCCTGCGGCAAAGTTGAGGCGTGCCACGTCGCGTGGGGTCTGCAGTGGTCCGACGCCGGGGTGCATCACGCCGTCTCAGACTGCAGCTACTCGGGACAATTTCAGACCCCGTCGTTGGGCGACAGTACATTTCTCTGCAACGCGGTGCAGCCAGGACTCTTTACGCCAACGTTCAACACAACGATCGACGCATTCAGCGTCGGCATTTACTATGGCTCGAAAGCCGTGGATAGTATGTGCCTCAACGACTGCTCCAGTGTTATCGCCCCGAATTCCTCCAGCAGACGCACGGAGAGCCTGCAACTCGCGCACCCAGGCACGTACACGATTTCGATCCGTTGCCACAACCACGACAACAACAACGATCGGCCTTGCACCGTTGGCATCGACTTCAACTTCAACACGTCGTTAATGCCGTATGCCCATGCTGAGGCCGACGCGGACCATACGAACTTGACGACGCCCACCCCGACGACCGAGTGCCCAGTCCCAGACACGTATCGTACCACGGGGCTGAGCCTGACGTTACGGGCGAACGGGACGTTCGTCGAGGTTACCGGACCAGACAAAAGTCATAACACGTGCTCGAGGTCCGGGAATTTCTCTGTTTCAGGACAAGCCGCGCTATTTACCGTCGCGACGAAGACCTGCGGTAGAAACTTTCGGCCAAACGAGCAGATCTGGAGCCTTTTTAGCTTCTCGAGTGACTGCCGCCGACTGGAAGTCAACATCACGGGCTCCGCGAGGCTACTGTGGCGGCCTTCGAGCGCGGACCCATTGATGACGGGAGCCGTCGCGTTTGGTAGCACGCTCCTCGCGTACCTCGCGTTTACGTAGTGTGCCCTGCGTTGTTTAAATCCATCCATCAAAATACACCTTGTTTTATGCACTAGACGACATATTGAAGCATAGCATAAGACCTCGAGGCCGCCCTTCGCGACCTGGAGGCAAACAAGGTGGCCCTCTCCGCCATTGCATACTACGCCGGACAACGTTGAATTCGTGTTGACGCACCCGGAAGATCTACCGGTAGCTCAACTGAAGCAATACGCTCCGGACATACTCGCCCACTGGTATCTCCTCATGAAAATAGAGAAGACATTAAGCATCGATGGGGGCTGCACGATAGCGCGGCAGCAGCTTGATCAACGGGCATTGAGCACTCGCTTTGCACTTGCCGACGACTCGAATGCGTGGTTTTGATTGGCCAATTAAATATATCGTTTTAGCCTATCCGAACCGCTATGGACCACGGCTGCACCCCGACGCCGGCACTGAGGGCCGCGACCGGCCGAATTGCGTCTCGAAATGAAATCGCTCATACTTGGTGGGTGGATTTATCACTATGTGGAGGTCCCAAAACGCAAAGTCTCGTTGCCGTACCATGTCTGTAGCCGGAGAATCGTGGTGGACAAGATCGCTGCCATGAGCCCGTTGCCCACCACGATTCTCCGGCTACAGACATGGCACGGCAACGAGACTTTGCGTTTTGGGACCTCCACATAGTGATAAATCCACCCACCAAGTATGAGCGATTTCATTTCGAGACGCAATTCGGCCGGTCGCGGCCCTCAGTGCCGGCGTCGGGGTGCAGCTAGTTTATATATGTTAGTGGCGGCTTTGGATAGGCTAAAAAGGCGATCGTATTGGCCAATCAAGAGCACGCATGCAAGTTGGAGCATTGTCGGCGTCGATCGAGTTGTTGCCGAATGTGATGTATTCTCTGCGTGGTGTCGATATTGGAATGCAAACGCGCAGCCCGCGTCGACCTCTATCGTTTCTCTCTGTTTATCATCACGGGTGATAATATATGCGTAGTAGTATTGAATAACGCCACGCTGTGACGTGGCAGTTCAAGTTTCCGCACCGCTAACTCTGCCAAGTATAACTTGTATCGACGCTCCTCACGACGTTCGACGGCCTCTCGCTCGGCGTGTGCTTCCTCATGCTCTTTGCGACATCGTCTCTCCTCGTCCTCTCGATGACGCTCATCTCGAAGCTCGTTACGGTCTCGTCGGCGCTCGGCCACGTCTTCCTCGAAGTGGAGGCGCTGGAGCTGGAGCAATTCGGCTTGTACTTGCTTGGATTGTCAGATTCGCGCATCAAGAAATCGAACATACCAGTGTCGGCGTTTCGTCGTGATGCGGAAGGATCCTCGGCCTTGCACCTGGTGCACGTCGTCATGGCACGGTCGCGAACGAGTGGGCCGGCGGTCTCGGGCTTGTCTTCCATGGCTCTCTCGTTGCCGTTCTCCTCTGCCACCTTGGCTTTGCTTCCGCTGTACTTGGCGGTCAGGTCGTCAAGTAGCGTGATCTTCTCCGTTACGTCCTTGTCCACACCCGACTGCGCTGCAGCCCAATGTTGTGTTCTATGTGGGCTTCGACGAGGGTGATGTGTCATGACATCAGAGTATCAGCTACCTCTGTCCAGGCGTTTCCAACACCGCCGCGATCTTTGGTGATCGGGCGGTCGGCCGCAGTAGCATTCTCGTTCCAGCTGCGCCTGACATGTGGAATGGCCCGCGAAATAGATTTCTGCGTTTTTCCAGCCGTTCCGCAAGTGAAACCAACCGACGAGTGGCCGCGTCCTCAGAGGCGCGGCCGTCGGTCATCCAGGCCGCGGCAGAAGGAGGCCTCGTCAGTCGACGCCTTCGCCTGCTGCGAGCCGCGCCATCAGACCAAGCGACGCTGAGCGATGAGGAACTCATCGCCACGCTGCACAAGACGACGTATCCGAGGAAGACGACGACACGCTCCAGTCAACCATCAACAAAAACAACGGTCAGGGGGACCACAACCAACATCAGATCGAATACAGAACCAACATGAGCACCGAGCACAGAGCACAGAGCAAAGAGCACAGAGCACAAATCAGCCAGCCGCCGCCACCGCCAACGCCATCAGCCATCAACCTTCAGAATCAAGATCCATATCATCCGACCCCGAAAACCAAGACATCGACCCAAACAAAGAAATCATATCCAACGCGCCACGCCGCCAAACTAAAACAAGTCAACGTGCCCAGCGCCAAAACGAAAACACTTTCATGTACGACGACCGACCTAGACGCCAAAACAAAACAACTCGACCAGTGTCGGCACCACGAGCAATCAACCTTCATCAACATCAGACCACCCGACATTTCGCGTCGGTCGCCAAGCCAACGACTTCCATCAGCCCGCGAGTTCAAGTGAGCACCCCCTGTGTACCTTCGGGTGCTGCAGCTCCAGGTCGGCCCACGGTCGCATCCAAGTG